AAGGAAGAAAGGATCAGGCCGGGACCTCCCTGGCTGGGGGCAGGAAGGAGCCTAGTAGGAAATAAGATGGAGGGATGATTTGTGCAGGGCCCTCTGTCTGTTGGTGCCTGTGCAGCTCCTCCTCTCTTGGGAAAAACACTCTGTTCTGACTTGTATTCAGTGCCTACTGTGTGCTGCAAAGCTCTGGGCTTGAAGCTGGAGTTACTAATCCCCAAACTAAGGAGTCCCTGCCCTCCTGAAGTTTTTGGAGCCTAAGAGAGTGTAGACTCATAGAAAATGGGAGGACAGAAGAGAGAGAGGTGGAGACTGGGGGAGGAGGAGTGAGATGGAATGGGGAGAGACAAAGAGAGATGGGGAGAGAGACGGAGGGAGGGAGGGAGAGACAGGTGTGGGGGGAGAAGAGAAAAGAGGAGAAGAGAGAGAAAGGGTAGGGGTAAATCAGTATTGAGCTTCTCTGGGAGGGAGTCTGTGAGCCTGGCTGGCTTGTAGGTCACATAGAGAGGAGGCTCTTTTGTGTTTTATTCTTAGAGAGATTTAAACGCTGCCTGTTAAAATTGAGTAACATTTTTAAGACTGGTAGCTTGAGTTTTTGCAAAGCAATTGATTACTGATGTCAGGGTCAGGCACAAGTCGCTGCCTCAGACTGCCCCGCTCTGTGACCACCAAGAAAAGTAAGGTTTTAGGTTTGTTTTGGTTTGTTTGTTTGTTTCTGTGTCTGCAGGATTTCAGAGAGGAGAATTATGGATAAGTAAACTTATTTGCTTGTAGCGTGCACATAGAACTAGTATTTTCTGTGTCAAAATATTTTTCTAACTGAAAATTAGAAAAATTCCAGCTAAAAATCAGCTTTTTAAAGCTGACATCTAGAAGGAATATATTGTCCCCTCAGTGACTTTCCTTTGGATTAGAAAAGTTAGAAAAACAAACAAAAGCAGTTTTTTTAGGGAAAAAATATATGAAGTCGTGGTAAAATATCTTGTTGCTAAACAAAGGGTGTTATGTTTTAAAATGAAATTATTTTCCTGTGGCTATTTATATCCTCTCCTTACTTTCTCATGGAGATTGGTTAGGGGCCAAATAGGAGTGAGATACAATGATTTCTGAAGTGACTTTATTACCCTTTTAATTTCTAAAGTAACTTCTGACTGTAGATTTTATTCTCAGTAACGCTAATCTTGTTAAAAATCTTGTGAGGCATTTGTCCTAGGTCTGCTTAAGCAGACTTTACTGATCTATGTGTGCTAGTATTTCAGAAGTTTTGTATTCACTTTCCAAAGAATGCAAGATTTGAAATGAATTTACACTTAAATAGGACTATGTCCCCCATCTCCTTTTTCCCCCATATAAAGGCTAACATCTCTGTAGGCTTTTTAAAATTTTTATTAATTTATTTTGATTTATCAACAATTACTTCTATAAGCTTTTGAGTTTTAAAAATTTTCCCTCTTCCTACTCCTTCCCTACCCAAGACAGCGTGCAATCTGATGTATGCTGTACATGTACATTCCTGCTAAGCATATTTTCACATTAGTCATGTTTTAAGTAAGAATTACAACCAATAGGAGGAACCACCAGAAAGAGGAAACAAAACACAACAGAAGAAAAAAAAACAGCAAATAGTATGCTTCGATCTGCATTCACACTCCATAGTTCTTCCTTTGGATGTGGACAGCATTTTCCATCCTGAGACCTTTGGAGATGTCTTAGATCCTTGCATTGCTGAGAAGGGCTAAGTCTATCAAAGTCGGTCATCGCACAACATGGCAGTTATTGTGTACAAAGTCCTCTTGTTTCTGCTCACTTCACTCAGCATCAGACCATACAAGTCTTTCCAGGTTTTTCTGAAGTCTGCCTGCTCATCATTTCTTGTAGCACAATAGTATTCCATTACATTCATGTACCGCAACTTGCTCAGCCATTCCCCAGTTGATGGGCATCCTCTCAATTTCTAGCTCTTTGCCACCACACAAAGAGCTGCTATGAATATTTTTGTACATGTGGGTTCAAGTTCCTTTCATGTGCTTTATATGCATTATTATATCTTTTGAGGCTGTTAGGGGATGCTTAGGCTAGAGAGCCGGGGCTGGCATCAGGTCAGATACTGGCTGTATGACTTTGGCAAATTACTTAACCTTCTTGGCCTCAATTTTCCCACCTGTAAAATGGGGATAATAATTGCAGCCACATCCTCGGGTTGTGAGGATAACATGAGATAATAATTGTAAAGGGCTTTTCACAATGTCTGGCACATAAACGAGTAACTTATGCTTATTGTCATGCTGGCAGTTGTAGGCCTCAATGCAGCAGAGGCTTGTGGTAGGGTAGACCAGGGCTGGATTTGGGGTCCAGGGCCCCTGGCTGTCGGGTGTCTCGGCTTGGGGCAGAGTGGTACTGGAGAAAGAACTCCGGCCTGTGGAGTCAGAGGCCCTGGGCCCAGATCTCATCACTTACTGTCTGTGTGACCTTCAGCAAGTTACCTGACCTCTCTGGGCTTGTTTCCTCATCTACAAAATGATGGGCCTGTCTTAGCTGACTTTCAGCATCCCTTCCTGTTCTAAACATGAGGTTACAGCCTTCTCCCCCATGGCCTCATCTCCTTCCAGTTAGTTAGCTGCCATTTATTAAACACCTGCTGTGTGCCTGGCACTATGCTAAGCACTGGGGGCATGCGGAAAGCCCCTCAAAAATGTCCCTGTTCCCAAGGGGCTCACAGTCTAATGGAGGAAACAGCATGCAGCCAGCCATGTACCAGGAAGATATAGACAGGCTATATTGGAGCTCGTACTTCCAGTGTACGAGGATACACTGGAAATCATCAGCAGGGGTAACGCATGAGCATTAAGGAGATGCAGAAAGGGGGGGGGGTGAAGGGAGCCACGGAAGCTGGGAGGCAGAGACAGGGAAGGACAGCATTCCAGGCACAGGCAGCAGTCAGTGAAGATGACCGGAGTTGGGAGATGGCATGTTTTGTGTAGGGAGCAGCAGAGAGGCCACTGACACTGGATCACGGACAGCTTGTGAGGTGTACGCAGACTGGAAAGGAAGAAATATAGGAAAGGCTAGAAAGGGACTTCAAAGCAAGAGGCACTGGGGTGAATTGAATAAGAGTGTGTGTGACACAGATTGACCCTGGAGTGGGAAGAGCCTTGAATTCAGCCAGGAGAGCAGCCAGTGAACGGGTGCTAATCCAGGTGTAAAGTGGCGGAAGCAGGACTGGCAAAGTGATGAGGAGTCTGGGATGAGACCCAGGTGGTGAGTCTGCGCGGCTGAGAGGGCAGCGGTGCCCTCAACGGTGCTAAGAAAGTGAGGAGGAGGGAAGCGTTTGGGGAGAAAGCTCCTGGGTTGCCTTTTGGGCATGTGGGTACTTGGAGAATGTCTATGGAACATCCCATTCAGGATGTCCAGTGGGAAGTTAGAGATGAGGAGAGAAGGTAGGGCTGTATGCACTGATCTGAGAATCAGTAGCATAGAGGTGATAATTTAGTCCCTGGGAGTGATGTAGTATAGAGGGAGAAGAGAAAATCCCAGGAAGGAACCCTGGGGGACACTCTTGGTTAGTGGGCTTGACCTGGATGAAAATCCAGCAAGGACACTGTGGAGGAGGGCTCAGATAGGAAAGAGGAGAACCAGGAGAAAATCTAGAGAAAGGAGATTATCCAAGAGAGGAGGGTGATGGACTGTGTCAAGAAGGAAGAGATCAGAAAAAACTATTTGATCTGGTGATCATTGGTAACTTTGGAGAGACCAGTCGAATGACGAGGTTGGAAGCCAAACCGAGGCATCGTTGTAGATGGCCTTCTCCAGGAATTTAGCCGTGAAAGGCAGGAAAATTAGAGGGCAATGGCTATTGGACATACATGGGTCAAATGAGGGTTTTAAGGCTGTGGGAGACATAGGGATGTTGGTAGGCACTAAGGAAGCAGCAATAGACAGAGAAAGATTGAAGAGAAGTGGGGGGGGTGATTGAGGAAGCAGTCTGTCAGAGAAGAGGAAATGGAAGGGACACTTAATGCATGTAGAGGGACTGGCCTGGGCCTGGAGACGCACTGCCTCTTAGTGTGAGATGGGAGTGAAAGAGGAGACAGTGGGGGAGATGGAGGAATGAGGAGGGGAGAAGGAGGAGACTCTTGCTGCTCAATGTTTTTTAGGAGCCAAGATTCACAACTAAAAGAGTGTGCGTGTGGGGAGCGTTGGGAGGTTTGAGAAGGGGTGAAAAGGCTTTCCACAGCTGTTGTGATGAGAATTAGAGAGATCTTAAAAGCTCGCCTTGTTACAGTGAAGGCCCAGTTGAGATTGTGTCTGAGATAATTTTTGTAGCCTATGTTTATAGTGGACCCAGTCATCTTGGAGCTAAATCCAGGACACCAAAGGCACCTGGGAGGCTGCTGAGTGCAAACCCTTTCACTTTACAGATGTAAGGATGAGAGCTAAAAAGATGCCTTGTGTGACCTGGGTCACACAGGCATGAGATATTGGAAATGAGATAGGAATACGGGGGGCCTCAGTGCCGAGGTCAGTTCTCTTGCCACAGTGCTGCGGCTTTGCTCACCTCCCTAAGAGGCTTTTTTTTGTTGTTGTTTTAGTTGCTGAAGCACTTGGGGTTAAGTGACTTGCCCAAAGTCACACAGCTAGTGAGTGTTATATGTCTGAGTATGGATTTGAACTCAGGTCCTCTTGACTCCAGGGCTGGTGCTGTATCTACTGCACCACCTAGCTACCCCTCCGAATTGGCTTTTTAAGTGTCAGAATGATGAGATAGGAGGGACTGGCCTTCGACAGCCCAGGGACCCGGAGGGCCCCATGCTCCAAGAGTAAAATGTATTGGGAAGAAAGGAAAGTTCTTCCCCTTCCAGCAGCCCACTTCATATCTCTTCTATTCACAAACGAGTCTGGGAAGCACACCTGTTTTACTTTAGTTTCTCTACCTGTATTTGTCCCTAAGGTTTTACATGCAGTCATGCTGTTAAGTCATTCATGTTTTGCATTTTGTTTCATTTCAGGCCAGCCTTTCCATATGGGGATGGGGAAGCCTTGGCGTTGTGCTTTTCCTTGTAACGTTTGGACCCTTTGCTATCTTTTACTTTGCATTTTATATCCTCTGCTTTGTGGGCGGGTAAGTACATGTGTCTGCATTTTATCATTCACAATTAAGAATGTAGTTCATATTTCATAATTGACACTGAGAAATGATCATTTGTAATGTTTTGGTTGAAAAAAAGACATACTTTCCCAGAGGAAGGGAAGGACAATTAAGATGTCAAAAGTTAGAACAGAGAATCAGAGGATATTAGAATCATGAGGGATGTCTGAGCCTCTGTTGGTGACAGAAATGGGAGTCATGTTCCCCTTCACTTTGGGAACTGCCTGCCATTTTTTGAAGACTTAAGAATTTGCATTAGTAACAACAATCACCACATTATCTTGGAGTCAAATTGTTTTATTTTTTTAACTGTATTTTTTGCCTTGAAATGATAATAATTGTTTATAGAGCACTTTAAGGTTTGCAAAGCACTTTACAAATACCTTGCTTTATTCTCAGAACAGCTCTGGAAGGAAACTAAGGTCAAGTAACTTGCCCGGGGTCACACAGCCAGTTGGTGACTCAGAATTCAAAGTCTGGCCTCCCTGATTTCTGATCCTGCACTCACTCTTCCTTGAGCCACCTGGCTGCACAATTACTCAGTCCCATAACATTAAAATCAATGTGAGTTACATTGGACGGTTATCTTGGGTTTTCCTCATCTGTGTTACTTTGCCTTGGGCTAGTCACTTAACCTGTTGGGGCCTCAGGTGAGGGTACTGCTGCCCTCTTCTAAGAGTGACTCCCTGTCATTGGCCTTCCTTTTTCACTCCTCTGAGGAGCAAAGATTTCTTCACTGGTGAAGGTCCTAGTACACTCCGTTATTTGGTGAGAGGCTCCTCATGATATGCTGTGGCCTGGAAATCCCTGAAGAAGTAGCTGCTGGTCTCGTAGAGGTGCTGAGCCCTGAGCTGGGCTTGTTCTGGGGAGCTCAGTCTCAAGGTTGGGCCTTTCCAGGAAGTCTGTCTACCAGGACTTGGGCCCTGTTGGCTGAGCCTTCCAGAGCCCTTGGGGAGATCACCAGCTGACAGTTTTTGGTGCTTGTATTCCTGTGTTGCCTACTGCAGACTTTTAATGAGAATGTTTATTGTTCCAGTGTGGGTGTTCCCATTTCCTTGTGGAAAAGTAAATCTGAAAACACCTGCTTTTGTGGCTACCCCCGGGTACGTTAGAGGGGATTCCTTCTCAAGTGTGGATGGGTCCAGATTTTATTATTCTGGGATAATGTCTTTTGGCATTTCCATTAAGAACAGTATTCAAGTTATAGTTTAGCTTACAGATGGGGTAGTGGACTTGGGAGGCCACAGAACCTTGGTCTGAAACCTTGCCAAGCCACTCAGACTCTTGGTGGGAGCCCTTTTCTTCATTTTCAGATGGGGATAATGCCTATAGCTGCTTTGCTGGATTATCCTGAGGTTGTGAGGAGCTTGTGAATGTAAATCAGCGCTTGGCAAATCTTCAAGGGCCATTTTAGATGTCTTTGGTTGTCATCAGGAAAGAGAACACCTCGTATTGCCTCCCAAGCCCACCCTGGGAGAGGGAAGAAAACTTCTTTTTTGCCCTATACAGCTCCGTCCTTGCAGGAGTCCAGGTTGGCGCCTTCTGTCCAGTATTGCATTCATGTGGTTGTGATCGGGGCGAATGATGACCTCTGAAGTGGCCTGGGTGACGGTGGGCTCTCTAGCAGTGGCCATCGCTGCCCGAGGCTTAGTGTGACGTCTGGGGCGGGGGCTGGGGTTCGGGTTCGTTGTGTAGAGGTCTTCTGTAACTGCTCGGCTTTTCTGTGTCCCAGGATAACCCTGTGAATTGTGTCATCTGTCAAGTATTTTAAAACTTGGACAGCAGTTTGACTTTTTTGTGTGTCCTTTGAATCTCACATTCGTCGATTGGTGTTATCAAATCAACAATGTGACTGTAAAATCTGAGGGACATGGAAGGATTTTTCTTTTGGAAACAAGAGTATTTGTATTTCTCCTGTTTGCTGTTTATAAAAATGCCAGTGTCACTGGCTTGCCCATTCACCGTGGCTCATCTTTGTTCAAAGTGAATTGCTTTTCTCTTGGCATAAAGGATACTCTTGGAAAGAAAACCTATTTTCTTTCAATAGGTGACCTCAGTGCCGTTTAAAGGTTATGCCGTCTAGCATTGCCTGACTTTTGTTGTGTTCTTGGGCAGCACAGCTGCCCTGTAGTTTCAGTATTCTCAGAACAACTTAAATGTCAATGCACACAACTTAATTAGGTTCTTTTTAAGATCACTGTGTTCCCAAGATTTCCCCAGCTAGAGGTGTGTTTAATCGTTTTCAGTAGGATGATGCTTACTTAATTCAAGTTATATTAATGTGTGAATCTGCACATTAATATACTCCCCTAACCGGGTCAAACTAAAATACACAGCCAGTTCTTGATCATCCAAGTCAGTGAGGTCAGGCATAAATAACGTGGAGAGATGAACTCCACAGATAATCTCCAAATCTAATTTTAGGTGTTGCCTCAGTGGCTTCAACACCCAAAGCTTGTACCACAACTGCAGATGCTGCTTAGAAAAGTGAACCAAGATGGACTTAAGAGTACTGAAGTGTTTTCTGCACAGAACCTGCATCACTATCACCCCTCCCCAAAAAAAGGAGAAAGGCTGATTATCTTTGAATAATCGAAGCTGACCATATTCAGATGTCTTTTCTCCCTCTTTTCTTCTCTGTTCGCTCTTTCCTTAGCCTGAGAGCTCTGGAACACTTAGAATTCCTTTTTTTTTTTCCTGAACACTCCTGTGTTTGTAGGCACTCCTAAGTGCAAAGGAGAGCCAGGATTGAAAGTAATGTACGTGTGTGTGTGTGTGTGTGTGTGTGTGTGTGTGTGTGTGTGTGTATGTGCGCGCGCGCGCGTGTGCTGGAATGAATGGAGGTTGAATGAAGAGAAGTGAGAATGATTTAAATTGCTCTAGATTTTTTGTGGGACTAGTCCCACCTCTTTTCTTAACGCTATTAAGAAAATATTAATTAACAGAGGTAGCTGGTGACACAGTGGTTAGAGCACTGACATGGAGTCAGAAAGACCTGAGTTCAAATCCATCCTCAGTCATTCACTAGCTGTGTGACTCAGAGCCAAGTTACTTAACCTCTGCTTGCCTTAGTCTCCTCATCTGAAGAGTGGGGATAATAATAGCACCTACTTTGCAAAGTTTTTATGAGATTAGACGAGATCATATTTGTAAGATGCTTAGCACGATGCCTAGCATATAATAAGTTATTACTAGGTTAATAAACCAAACAGAAGGGACAGGTTGGCACTCTTTGAGGGGTGCAAGTGTAGTCTTTCTTTGGATTTTGTATCCTTGGCACTTGGCACAGTGTCGGGCACGGAGTTGGCAATTAATAAATGGTGTTTGATTGATTGTTGCTTCTGCAAAGAACAGTGACTTGAGCAAGCTTTCTTTAAATAGGTATCCTTTTTCATGAAATCCTAGATTTAAAGGTGTACCTCCCAGAGAATCTGGTTCATCCTCCTCATATTACATTTTGATGAAATCAAGGCCTCGGGGGACGAGAGATGGGGACTGACCTGGCCAAGGTCTCCCGGGGGTTTGCAGAGCGCTTCCTTTCAAGTCTTGTTGTCTCTTGATGTTGCTTTGATACATTTTAGAAAATGTCTACAGTTTGACAGAAATGCATTACTAAAATATTTTGAATACCCATTCTTAGAGCTCCAATTTTCCTTTATTTTGAACATTTTGTAGTCTTTGGAGGTACTTAACAGTCAATTTATTGAATGAGACCACTGATTTCTAAGGATGTTGGAAACGTTGACCTAGAGGGAAAATCTAAGAAGGGTCACAAGTGGGAATGTTGCAAAAATGAGGACTACACGTTTGTGCTGGAATCCTCCTTCCCCAGGGAGGAGCTGCCCTCAGAAAGTCCTCCATGTAGAGACTTTGCTCTGAGTTGCCTTGTGTAGTGGGAGGGGTAATTTCTGTTATTGCCGTTTTAAGAACCAGAGAGGATAAACTGAGGCTCAGAGAGGTCAGGACTTAGCGCCCTAAGGAGCTAGGGCTCTTCTTTTGCATCTTTAATTAGGATATTTTAAGGTACAGTTTGATTAAGTACCTACAGTTTAAGCCTTTGGAAATTACTCACTGATGTGAACTGCACAGCAGCATAGCTGAAAGGCTCTCTCTCTCTCTTATTCTCTCTATACAAAGAGGGAAATCATTAACTGTAAAGGGTGTGACATTGTATACCATGAAGTGGTTTGCAAATATTAGCTATGGTAATAAATCTCACCATATCCTAAATGTGACTTACGTTATTTTTATTTTATTTTATTTTGAACTTAAATACCAAAAAAAAAAATTTTTCACATCCACATCATGATTCTCCATTTCATACTTCTTTGCTTTTTAAAAAAGGTGTACAGTATATTTCACACATTGCTTTCAAAATAGTCCACTTGTCTGTGCTTCCTTCTGTTCTGGTCACTTAAAAATGTTTTTGTGGACCAAACAAGAGATAGAAAGCATTATGAGATGTAAAATGGATAATTTTGATTATATTAAATTTAAAAGTTTGTGCACAAACAAAACCAATTCAAACCACGTTATAAGGAAAGCAGAAAGTTGGGAAAAAATTTCATATAGCAAGTGTCTCTGATAAAGGCCTCATTTCTCAAATACATAGAGAATTGAATCAAATTTATAAGAATACAAGTCATTTCCCAATTGATAATGACCAAAGGATATGAACAGGCAGTTTTCAGATGAAGAAATCAAAGCTATCTGTATTCATGTGAAAAAAATGCTCTAAATCACTGTCAACTAGAGAAATACAAATTAAAACAACTCAAGTATCACCTCACACCCATCGGATTGGCTAATATGACAGAAAAAGAAAATGGTAAATGTTGGAGGGGATGTGGGGAAATTGGAACACTTAACACATTGTTTTGGGCAGTTAGGTGGTTCATTGGACAGGATGCAGGGCCTGGAGTCAGGAGATCCTGAGTTCAGATTCAGCCTTAGACACTTAGTAGCTGTGTGATATTGGGCAAGTCAGTTAACCCTGTTTGCCTCAGTTTCCTCATATGGAAAATTATCTGGAGAAGGAAATGGCAAACCGCTCCCATGTCTCTCCCAAGGAAATGCCAAACGGGATCACAAAGAGTCAGATACGATTGAAAAATGATTCATCAACAACAACGGAGCAGCTAGGTGGCGCAGTGGATGGAGTATTGGCCCTGGATTCAGGAGGACCTGAGTTCAAATCTGGCCTCAGACACATTACACTTAGTAGCTGTGTGACCCTGGGCAATTCACTTAACCCCATTGCCTCCAAAAAAAAACCCCCCAAAACAAACAAACGAAAAGAAATGCAGTGTTAGTGGAGTGGTGACTGACCCAGCCATTCTGGAGAGCAATTTGGAACTATGGCCAAATGGTTATAAAAGTGTGCATACCCTTTGATCCAGCAATATCACTACTTGATCTATATCCCAAAGAGATTAAAAAAGGAAAAAGGACCTATCTGTACAAAAACACTTATAGCAGCTCTTTGTGGTCCCAAAGAATTGGAAACTCAGGGGATGCCCATCAGTTGGGGAATGGCTGAACAAGTGACATATGACTGATGGAATTATGATTGTGCTCTAAGAAAAGGCAAGCAGGGTGATTCCAGAAAAACCTGGAAGGACACCTGAACTGATGCAAAGTGAAGTGAGCAGAACCAGGAGAACACTCTTCATAGTAACAGCCACACTGTGCGATAGACTTAGCTCTTCTGAGCAGTGCAGTGACCCAAGACAGCTCAGAAGGACTCAAGAGGAAAAATGCTGTCTGCTTCCAAAGGAAGAACTTACGGAGGCAGGATGCACAGCAAAGCATACTATTTTCTACTGTATTTTTTTCATGTTTATTTTCTTCCTGTTTGGTCTGTGTTTTCTTTCACAACATGACTAATATGGAAATATGATTTACAGATTGCACAAGTATAATAACCTCAGTCAAATTGCTTATCATCTCAAAGAGGGGGGAGAAAGAGAATTTGGAACTTAAAATTTAAAAAAAAATCAGTGTTCAAATTGTTTTTAATCACTTAATTAAAAATTATTTAAAAATGTTTTTGTGGGCCTCAGTTTATTGGTGTCACTATACTAGCCTCCTTCTCCCTCTATTAGCCCCCTCCCCTCTCCATTTAAAAACATAAATGAATAGAGGTAGTTAAGCAGCCCAAGTCCATCCTCTGCCTGTGCCTTCCTACTGGCCCTTGAGATGTCCAGGGCTTTGGAGACCTGTACCAGAGAGACTGGGGCAGGCCCAGAGACAGACCATGGGTTAACCCCACCCCCCTGCCACCCCGGCTGGCTGCAGGGAGACCCCGCGCTGCTCCCAAGGAACAGGCGGCTGCGCATCTCTCTGTGGGTGAATGACTGCAGTTGTGGGTGATAGTTTTTTAATCCATGTTTCTGGCTAGTCCCTTGTCTTTAAATGCAGTGGGATTCAGCAGTTATTTAGCGAGTGGCTCCCTTCCAAAATGGTCAAAGAGGGAAGCGACAAATGTGGGAGGGGATGTGGAAAAACTGGGACACTAATTCATTGTTGGTAAAATTGTGAACTGATCCAACCATTTTGGAGAGCAATCTGAAATTATGCCCGAGAGTTATTAAACTGCCTATATACCCTTTGACCCAGAAATACCATTCCTGGGTCTGTTTCCAAAGATGATTACGGAAAAAAGAAAAGAACCTATATGCTCTAAAATATTTATAGCAGCTCTCTTTGTGGTGGCAAAGAACTGAAAATTGCAGGGATGCCCATCAATTGGGAAATGGCTGAACAAGTTGTGATATATGATTATGTTGGAATACTACTGTGCTATAAGAAATGATGAGCTCAGTGATCTTAGGAAAACAGGGAAAGACGTGCAAGAAATAATGAAGAGTGAAATGAGCCGAACCAAGAACATGTTGTATACAGTAACAGCAAATTGTTTTAAGAATGACTTTGAGTGAATAAGTTATTTGACTCTTATAATTACCCAGATTAACTGTAAAGGACATACTAAGAAAGATGCTGTCTGCATCCAGAGAAAGAACTGATAAGATGAAGTATGTTTAGAATAGTTTTACATATCTCTCTGTCTGTCTGTCTATCTATCTATCTTTCTGTCTATCTCTGTGTCTAATGGTAGCCATCTCCACAGTGGCAGGGAGGGAGGAAAGAATAAAAAGGAACAGAAAAGACATTTACATGATAACTTTGTTGTATATTTGAAAACAAGAGCAAGTTGTGCATAGTGGGTTTACTTTTATGTGCAATCATCTTTTTTATTATACTGTTAGTGAAATGCTTGTTTTATTCCATAAATTAAAAATAAAATAAATGTGGAAAAAAAAAGTAAATGGCTCACTTGTGCCTGGTATTGTGCTGGGGATACAGAGCCAGAAAGGGCAATTCCTCCGGAAGCCATTTTCTCCTTGAAAGAGGGGAGGCTCCTTGTACCCAGATCAGTCAAGAGAGAATATGTAAAGAGTAAATAAAGAGTAAGGTGATAGGAGATCTCTGAAAACGGATCTGGTCAGGGACGCCTTCATGGAGGAGGCAGCTGCCTGTGTGTGCTGAGCCTTGAGAGGAATTCCTCCAGGCAGGGCCTGTGTGGGGAGTGAGGAGGGATGCCAAGTACAGGGCCATGAGTCAGGGAGTGATGGAAAATCAATCCGAGGAACAAAGTGGGATCTTGGGGGGGGGTGAAAGTCTTGGGATACCACCCAGGGGGAGTTGTATTTTATCCTGGGCCCCTTTAACGGCTGTCAGGAAGCTGCTTTCCTTTTTATCTTTTCTCTCTTCTCTTGGCTTTGTTTAGCTGGTCAGATGTTAGGTCACCTAGCCCCTGGTGATCAGGTAGAAAAGTGGTCATATTTCCTGTAGCCACCACCTATTTCTGTTTAACACATAGGATCAAGTTGGAATGAGAACAGCCTTTTTTCCTACAAAACTTTTTTGCTTTTTTATTCGATTTGCCCACTTAAATTGCAAATCTCAAATGAGAAGCCTCCTTCACTCTGTTTTAAATAGAGCTTTAGCTTCTTAGCAACAAATGTCTGGATTATTTGGAGATTTTCTGAAATGGGAAAAAGAATTTGTAAATACTGTTGGGCTTGGATTTTCAGTGATGGCTAGTTTTAATTTTTTTTTTATGTTATTGTGATGGCTAGTTTTAGTGAAAGTAAAGGGAATTTGCCTTTTTATGCTTGGTATTTTTATGTAAACTTTTCTTGGATTGTTAACATAATTAATTTTAATTTTTTGAGCATTTCTAAAATCATAGTCATGAGGGCAGGCCATTAGGAATCCAGTCTGTTACCATTGGGAGATTTAGTGTTCTCTTGTCTATCGTTGTGATTTTAGGCAGATAAGTGGCTCAGTGGATGGAGTGCTGGGCCTGGAGTCAGGAAGAACTGAGGTCAAATTGAGCTTTAGACTGATGAGCTAGGTGACTCAGGGTAAGTCATTTAACCTCTGACTCAGTTTCCACATCTTTGAATTGGTGATGAGAATAGCACCTACTTCACTTAGGGTTGTTGAGGATAAAATGAGATAATATTTTGAAAGTGCTTTGCATACTTAAAAGTTCTGCATAAATGTTAGCTCTTGCTGTCATCATCATCATCACCATCACCTACCATTACCACCAGCTCATTGTATTAAAAAAAATTCTGGCCTTAAGAAAAACATAATTAAAGAATTGTTTTCATTGTTTTCATCATCTAAGAGCGTGCTAGGCAGCTATAAATTATGGCAGGAGATAGATAACATTAACTTCTTCTCTTCTAGGTTTTCTGAGCCATTGGCAGTGGTGGTGAAGTGTTTAGATATTTAGGGCCAGTTCCTCAAAGTACCTTGACTCTAAGTAAATTAATCTGCTTTTATACTTTGGTTTTTAACTCCTCCAAAATACTCAGCATTTGGGGAAGTATTGGCAAACTTCATTACAGATTGGGTGTATAGAGGAGGGAATAAATGTTTATGCAGCGCTTGCCCTGTGCCCTGCACTTGAGAAATACCATACAGAAATGTACCTACTGCTCTGGTAGAAAAGGGAGATTTATCTTATACCTCATGGATTACTTATTAATAACTCGAAGACTTAAGAAACAACAAGTTGATCTCCGGAGGGTTTTTTTTTAGTTCGTTGTTGTTTTACAGAACAACTTGGGGGATATTTTTTGCTTGTGAGAAATAAATTTGTCAGAATGGAATTCTGAAGCTCTAATACTTGTCATTTAAAATTCCACAGTAGTTTGGTGAGTATGTGTGGATGACATGCTTATTCAGTGTTAGGAAATACTTTCCAAATCCCTTTAGCTAACTGTTTTTGCTGTGTGTGTCTGGCCACTTGTCACCCCCCCCAGCCCCCCGATATACTTTATCACAGATATGCTTTTTGAACGATAGAGTTTGATTTATATAACTATAACTGGATACTTTTTCTCCTATAGGGGTTTTGTGGTCACTCTCTTGTTTGGAAAAACCAATTCTGAGAAATACCTGGAGCAGTGTGAGCACTCCTTCCTTCCTCCAACCTCCACAGGGATTCCTAAGGTAAGCCCCTTGAAGGGCTGTGTAGGGGGCATTCCTCTGTCCAGGGACAGGAGCTGCTCTTATGGTGGTGACAGTGATGGTGATGGTGATGGTGATGATGGTGATGATGGTGATGGTGATGATGGTGGTGATGATGATGGTGATGGTGGTGATGATGATGGTGATGGTGATGATGATGGTGATGATGGTGATGGTAATGATGTTGATGGTGATGGTGATGATGATGATGATGATGTGAGATACATGCCAAGCTCTGGTCGCTTTTCCTAGAATTAGCTACTTTCACTCATGTCTCGAGGCAAGGATTTCTAATCATTCTGTGGGAGTTAGTGAAGTACCATCCAGTTGACCTTACTATTCACACAATAATCATGGTGATGTAAAATCAGAGCAGTAGCAGAGAGACACTTTACTTGCAAGTTGGTCATCACTGGGAACTTCCAAACAGATTGTGCATTTTTGGTTGTAAAAGTGCTAATTCTTGGTTTTGAATGAAGTACTCTATTTTCAAGGAGTGGGAACATTGGTTCACAAGATTGTTGAGGATCAGATGGAGTTATGTCATGTTCTTAGCCAACTTGAAGTGCCAGATAAAGGCTGGTTGTTGTCAAGTGGAACTTTTTTAAAAAGTATAGCACCCCATCACATTTTCTCCAGCCTCTGCCTTGACCTGCCAGTGGCAGCCTTGCCCCCCTTTGGATCACTCCAGTCATCAGGGTGAAATCTACATCTCTTCAACTGAGATTGTTGTTCTTAGCTTGGGCATGGGCCTGAGCGGAGAAGTCTGCCTGACAGCCTTTCCAATAGATAAGACTGTTCTCACGTCTCCCTTCAGTCTTCACTTCTCCAGGATTGACATCCCCACTTCCTCCAATGAATTCTTCCACAGCTTGATCTCAGGGCCCTTTCCTGTTTCTACTTGGGCCCTCCCCTGGTTACTTGACTAACCTAAACTAGGACCTTCCACTTTATCCATGTTCTTCCAAAAATGCGGCCCTCGTAGCCGAATGTAATCTTCCTGGCTCTTGCAGTTATCTTTCTCTTGTCCTGCAAGGACCTTCTTCTGCTACCTCCTAAGAGACATTCTTGTTTTGGAAGCGGACACATAATAAACTTGAGGCCCCCAGGTCCTTAGGCCTTTTCCAGATGACCCAGGACGCGTGTCATCCTTGGTACTTCCTTCAGTCTGTCTTATCCCCAGGGCATAGCATGTAGAATTCAGTGCATTCTTTTTTCTTTCCTCCTTCTTTCACTCGCATCTCTCTGACTCTTCCTCTACAACACCTCTCCCTCTTGTGGCCTTCCTTTGGGTTAGCCCTGAATCGCCTCTCACCTGTACTGTGGCTTCCTCTTTGGCCTGCCTGCGTCCAGTGTCTCCGATCCATTCTCCCCACCATTGTCTAAGTGATAGTCCTCTCACACAGATCTGACCATGTAACCCTCCTGCTCCAGAAGCTGCTACTGGGCTCCCATGCAGACGTGTTAGGTGTCATAGTCTACTTGCTATCTCACAGACCTGTGTACTCCTCGTCCTTCCAGGCAGTTGTACCCAGGATTCTTCACATTTGGCATGCTTACCCTCCCCCCTGGAACCAAGAGCCCCTTCCTTCACGCCGCCTTTCCTGATTACACCCAGGAGTCACCAGGGTCTAACTCCCCCTCCACATTAGTTTGCATTTATTTTACATTAGCTTCTCTTGGTTTGGGTTATTTCCCTCCCAGCAGAATGCAAGAGTCTTGATGGCGGGCCTTGGTGGCAGGCGGTGGTTTCATTTTTGTCTCCACATCCTCAGCCTCCAGCAGAGAACCTGGCGCAGAACAGGCGTGGGAGAAAAGCCTGTCCACGTGGCTCGGTTTGAGCTCTTTCCAGCTTTACGTCTGCATCCCTACTAGGGGAGTTGTTGTTTTTAACCCAAGTGTAGGACTTTATATTTATCCCTGTGAAATTCTCTTTTTTTTTGACACGACCATATTTCCTAGCTTGTTGAGTGAGACCTTCTGGATCCTGCCTTTGTTCTTCCAACATCGTAATCATCTTTCTCCACCAGCCTGCCATTTCTGTCTTCATTCTTGTCCTTGATAGAAAGATTAAACCTGCAGGGCCAAAGGCAGATTCCTGTGACATTCAGCTGGGGTCCTCCTCCCTCAGAGTTTCTATTAGGTCATGACTTTCTGCCCCCTCATTTAGTCATTTCGGGTTTCACCTAATTGTCTGTGGCTCGCCATCAACTTGGTCAAGTATAAAGCTGTCCATGCTAGGGGGTGGTTCAAAGTAGACTGGTTGGTTAGGTTTGTCTTGAAATTGCCAAAAATGACAACAAAAGGAAAAATCCATTTATGTCACAAACTCAATTGAGTAGAGTGGAGTGAATGTCAGTGACAGCAGTTTGAAACTGAGATGCCAGGTGTACTTGGAATAGATGGAGTTGAATCCCCCCCTTTTTTCTTAAGTTCCTTGAGGAGAATAATCTGGTTTTAATCTGGTTTTTATAGACTAGTGATACAGTGCTTTCCTAGTCATTTGATTTTATGATATGATCATAATTAATGATTATTGTAATACAGTGCTGTGATCAGAATTTCATTCGCATTGTAGAGGTTCCCAAACTTATTTGGCTTACTGCTATCTTTAAAAAAAAAAATTACTCAGCGCCCCCCTAGAAATCTACTTTCTTTAACCCTTTAACATTTTTTTTAAAATTTGCATCATTTAAAACTACTACCTCCCCCTGGCTCGTTCCAGCACCCTGCAGGGGGTGATATTGCCCACTTGGGGAACCTGTGCATTAGGGCGGGGGTGGGGGGAAACCTGCAGCCTCAAGGTCACGTGTAGCCTTCTAGGTCCTTGGGTACGACCTCCTGACTGAGTCCAAGTTGTATAGAACAAATCTGTTTGTGAAGGAAATTTGTTCTGTGAAGTTTGGATTCAGTCAGAGGGCCAGACTTAAGGCCCTAGAGGGCCACATGTGGCCTTGAGGCATTAGAGCATAATAGAAATTTAATAGAATTTTTAGGAAACTATTGGCTTTCTATAAAATCCTCAATTTTTAAAAATTATGACTGAAGAAGATTGGGCCATGATAGGCCAAATGATAAGGATATTTATGTTGAATGAAGACTCTCTGGTAACGTGTGATGGCTTCTCTTTAAGTGCTTAGAAGAAATGAGACGGGAAGCTCGAATGATTAAGATTGATCGAAGATTGACGGGTGCCAATATCATTGATGAGCCTCTCCAGCAAGTAAGTGCCCAGAGTGAGCAGAGCACTTTGTACCTCGTGGGCTGGCTGGGCTTGTTGTCATGACCGCTGAAGAATGCTGTCATTATTGCCGTGATGTCACTGACTATTTGATAGGCCACTGGCCTGTGTTCAGTCCTTGGGCATAGCTACTGTGTAAGCATCAGGTGAGGGCCCTTCTGGGTGGCGGGGTGTGAGCCTGCTTGGCTGACTGCATCTGTGTCGGATGCTGCCAGGAGGGCCAGAGGAATAAATGAGGGAGCGAAAAAGACAGATCCAGTGTTTACTGTGTGCAGAAGCACTGTGCTGAGTGTTGGGAATACAAAAAAGGGAGCAGGGTTCAGCCACAGGCCTCCGAGAAAGGCTTTCCAGCGGCTCTTAGTCCTCAGTTCAGTGAGCCTGGTGAGGCCTAACTGCAGATGTGGAGCATGGGGGCTGTGGTCAAGCTGGGCAGTGTGGACAGTGCAAGGGTAGGGCTAGTGGCAGTGCCCAGGAGTCTAGAGGAGGCTACATGAGGGCAGAGAGTAAGGTCCAGACGACTGCCCTCAGAGGGGAAGGGTTTGAGTTGGTTATCTGAGGGGCAGGAATGGCCATGTCTGCTCCACAGCTGGTGAGGTTGGAGGATCCCAGATCAGTATTGGGAAGTGCCGCTGAGGGTCTTGGTAGAGCAGACCATTTGGGCTTCTGCCTAAAGGAGGGAGAGATGAGAGCACTGGACTCTGTCTAGGAGGGGGACAAAGAAGGGGATCATTGGCACAAAGGTTGGGAGGACGGGGAGATCCTGGCGGGGGGAGGTCCAGGCAGATCGTGAACTTGGAGTAAGGGGAAAGGCCCTCACAGCTTGTTCGGCTTCCCTTTCGCCACACTGCTGGGATTGGGGTTGGGGTGGGGAGGGAGAAGAGGACCTTGTTCCGTCAGGACCTGTGTGGTACTGAGCAAAGTGCATCATTATTTATGACAATTCAGAGTGTGCCTCTTTTGATGGGTGTAACAATTCAGTAGTCCTCTCTAGGACATAGGGTTAGTCAGAAATACTCTGGCTTTCTCCTTGGATTATGGGAAGGAGAACAAATATGACAAAAATACATTGACTCCCTTCCATCCTTCCTTCCTTCCTTCCTTCCTTCCTTCCTTCCTTCCTTCCTTCCTTCCTTCCTTCCTTCCTTCCTTCCTTCCTTCCTTCCTTCCTTCCTTCCTTCCTTCCTTCCTTCCTTCCTTCCTTCCTTCCTTCCTTCCTTCCCTCCCTCCCTCCCTCCTTCCGTCCTTCCTGTCTCCCTCTCCCTCCCTCTCCACTCTGCACTACCAAAGGCTGCCATTTCACACCTATTTATGTATGTGTATGTATGTACACACATACATATACACACACCTACATATGCATACATACAAATACATGTGTGTGCGTGCACACAAATGTACATGTGCACACAAAGCCATGCTGTCATACTTTTACTTATCAGGTCTTTCTCTGGAGATGGATAGCATCTTCCTTCATAGGTCCTTTGTAGTTGATTTGAATATCTGTAATACTTAGAATGGTTTAGTTGTTCACAGTTATTCTTTGAGCAATGTTGCTGTTACTGTATACAACATTCTCTTGGTTTGTTCATTTTGCTCTGCATTATTTCCTGCAAGTCTTTCCAGGTTTTTCTAAAGTCTGCCTGTTCATCATTTCTTATAGCACGGTGGTATTCCATCACAATCATATACCACAACTTGTTCAGCCATTCCCCAATTGATGGGCATCCTCTCAACTCCCAGTTCTTTGCCCCCACAAAGAGGGCTGCTATAAATAGTTCAGACTATGGGGTCCTTTTCCTTTTTGCCTCATCACCTTGGGAAACAGACCTAACAGTGGGATGGCTGTACACAATTTTCTAACTCTTTGGGCGTAGTTCCAGCTTGTTTTCCAATATTGACCTTTTCTAATGCAGACATCTAATGCCATTTAAAACCTTTTTGAAATTAGAAATTTGTTTTTTAAAAGCAAACCTCCTAAAGATTAACTTCAAGTTATAGCATTGTCTGAATGATCCAGTGTTGCATATTTTTCCTTGCATGTTTTAAGTAGGATTTGTGATTCTCTCTGTTTTAGAAGATCATAGGGGTGTTTTCATTGTTTGCTTTATACTGAATTTTGCCTGTGTGACAAATAGTGGCAGAGTGAGTTAGAGCTACCCCAGTCAGTGGAAGCTCAGGAAGCTGGCAGCTGCCGTTCTGATGGCCTCGGCTTTGCAGGGAGATCACCAGACCAGGGCACTGCCACCGGCAGCAAACTCCTTTCTCCTGGGAACCCTCCCCCTTTATCAGAGATCGGCCAGGGAGGGACCTGCTACCCCCTTTCAGAAGCAGTTCTGAGCTTGGGAGCAGTGGAGGGCTGAGTGGCACCCCGGGAATGAGTGCCCGTCAGGCCCATCTGCCAGCGCCAGCGGTGTGTCAGTGAGACTGGCCAGCCACTGACAACGCCAGGGCCTGGGCGTTTGGGTTTGGTTTTAGTTGGATGTGCCAGTCTTCTGATCCTAACAGGTGTTTGTGGTTTTTTCTCCCTGACATTTTCAGGTGATCCAGTTTTCTTTGAGGGATTACGTCCAGTATTGGTATTACACATTAAGCGATGATGAATCTTTTCTCCTCGAAATCAGGCAGACGCTCCAGAATGCGCTCATTCAGTTTTCTACCAGGTAAGGCCATGGCACTGTGCTGAGACAGCACAATTTAAGGATGGTGCATGTATGCATAGAAGGTTAACTTTGAAGTGCGGGGGAAAAAGAATTTTCTGACGAGGTAAATACACAGAGGCAGCTTGACCAGTGCCCAGAGTGCAGGGTCTGGAGGCAGATCTGGGCCCTCATCTTTCGCCTGCTTAGTGATCCTGGGCCTCAGTAGGGTTGGGGATGATAACAGCACCTGCCTACAGGGTTGTTGGTTATGGGGATCAAATATGGTAGGAATTGTATAGCACTTTGTAAACTTTAGAGCCCTGTACAAAGGCTGTACAAATGCTAATAATCCTTGTCATTGTCAGTGTGAGGTCAGTGCTAGAGGGGTGGAAGGGCACCTCCTGTGTGCTGAGCACTTTGCTCAGAACAGCCCTGGGTGGCAGGTGTTTTTATTATGTTCTCCATCTTAGAGTCTGGCTGGGCCAGGCCTTCTGCCTTCTCCTGGTTTGAATCAGGCTTTTCATGAATGTTGAGCTTTGGGGGAGAAAGGGGGCATGACCCAAGGCTCCCAAGAGAAGATGAACCTCGTGTCATTGAGGCGTTAAATCTCAGAACTGCAGGAGGCTGTCCTGAGCCATGGACCCCAGACTTCTCAAGATCCTTCTGTTGTTCGTGTGAATGCAGCTCCCTCCTTGTATTAATGGAAGTACTTCCAGGCAGCACAGCATGTGTCTTGGGGTGGTGGCAGCCACAGCATCGGGCCAGATCCGAGGGGTACTGCCTCCTCATTGACTAGCCTCTTATACCTCAGGCCTCCGGTTTGCAAAGCCACATCATCGCCTCAAGCCTTTAGCCTCTGCCTTCTAGGGAACAAAACTAGCATAGTTAGCATAGCAAATATTGTTCCTACCATACCTGGGGTCAGAAGGACACAGGGACAGGGTATGTGGGAAGGCTTAGAGGACCCTTGGAGGATGCAGAGGTAAATAGTTGGGCCTGCTGGTCCTCTGACTCACTCTGAGGATTATAGTTGGTTATACCCTCTCATCAGCCAGATCCACTGCAGGGTGAGGAACTGGGAGGGGCCTGGCACACCACCATTGTGAATTGGGAGTGAGTTCTGAGGGGTCCAACTTGTGGAGTGGGGTTGGTGGGTGGATGGGTGTGTCTTTCCACGATGGGGAAGTTTGAGTGATCAGATCAGCTACAGCTCAGCTGTGCTGAGGTGATCTCGGGTGCCTAGGTTGGGAACAGAGAAGGAAGGAGATTGGGGAGCCCTCACCTTCCATCTTGGAGTTGAGCAGGACTCTACCCCTTCACTTGCTTCTTGGATGTTCACACACACCTGGCATTGCCAACCGTTGGCACTTTGGGGGTGTCCTCAAGTTCCCTGCTGTCTCCTTCCCAGGATTCTTTTCCTCTCTCCTTCAGCAGCTGTGGGGAGGACACAGATGTCCCCACTGCCTTGGCCTTTCCCTCTCCCCACACCCCACGGAATGCCGTTTCCCAAAGAAACAGTGCTATAAACGATGGGAAGCTTCTGAGGGCAGCCCATGGAAGCCCATTGAATCCATCAGATAGGTGAAGTAGTCACGGTTAACATTTAGGTAGCGTCTTGTTTAAGGTTTGCAAAGTGCTTTAATTGGGTCCCCAGCAACCCTGTGAGGTAGGCACCGTTATTGTCCCATTTTGCAGATGAGGAAACAAGCTAAGAGAGTGGGTTAAGTAACTTGCCCAGGGTCACACAGTCAACAACATTCATTAGCAGGTCTCAGTCACCACGCCACGTGGTGCTGAGGATACAAAGAATGGTAAAAGAAAGGCGCTTCCATGCCAATAGGGGAGACACAGACAGGGAAATGGGAGCGAACCCACAGAGGGAAGGCATTAACCTTGGGGATCGGGGGGATTTTCGTGGGGACTTGAAGGAAGCCAGGAGCAGGGGAGTACAGGGGTTCAGGATGGCCAGAGAAGAGGCCCCATTTGGAGATGGGTTGTCCTGTGCCCGGAGTCCAGTTAGATGTCTCAGAGAGGATTCGAACTCAGGCCTTCTTGACTCCTAAATCTGGCTCAGTACCCACTGCATCAGCTGACCCACAGGTGCTGGACTTTGTCACGAAGATTGTTTTCTCCTACTGTTAGTGTCAGTTCAGGACCTTCTTTAAGACCGCCTCTTGGCTGCTCTAGGGGCAGACTTCCTGGCTGGCGATCAGGAGTTCTGGACTCTCCCTTCATTCTTGCAGGTGTTTGTCTTTGCTTTCCGTGGCTCTGGAGGTAGCGAGCCCCGCACTGAGGTCTGATAGGCTTGTTGAAGTGGTTTTGGCTTACGGGCTTTAATTATGACCTGATCCTTTAACAATTAGAGAGCCAATTAATGACTATCCTAATAATGATGAGCATTTTTACAGTGTTTGCTGTGTGCCAGCTGGTGTGCTAAGCACTGTACAGTTGTGAGGAAGGGGCTGTCATTGTCCCTGACTGACAGATGAGGAAACTGAGGGAGTTGAGTCCCTCGTGGACTTCTGAGGCCAGATTGGCACTGGGGCCTTCCTGCTTCTGGCTTGGCGCTTTATCCACTGCACTGTCTGGTGCTCGCCCTTGAACGGGGGCGGGGGGGGGGCGGGGGGGGGGGAGCTTTGAGAAGCCTCTGTGCTCTGCTGCTCTGGACTTAGGCGTCTCTGATGAGATTGTGCTGAATCTGGATTGTTTGTTTTCTGTGGTAAAATTCCCCACACATTTTGAATGTTCTACTTGACTTGTAATTATTTTTAACAGCTCTCAGGGAGTGTTAATTAGATCCAGATGACCTACCTTGGGATTAGAATGTTCTAAACTTGTTTTATATTCTGTTAGAGGGAGAATTGTCATTTGATTTAGGAAACTTATATAAGCCCTGAATTTCTAATTGTCTGGAATTACTTAATTTAATTCCAAAGAAAAGCATTCTCTTTTAGCTTTTTACATTGATTGGCTGGGCTTTATAAGAAAATTTCATTTTGCTTGATTAACCCAAACTAATACCTTGAACAGAGTAGATACCCAGAAAATATTTGTTGAGTGAGTGAATGAATGAATGAATGAATGAGTGAATGCATTTCAACCTTGACTCCATTTTTGACTGACCTCTGTTTGCTGGGAATCAGCATAGAGCTGCTGCCTCCTGAAAGCACTTGAATATGGGCCTTCCCAAGTACTAAGGAGAAGTGCAGAACAATTTTAAGATGCATATTTCATTTCTCATTAAGGTGCTGTGCATTTCTTAGACTCTTGTTTCTCACTGTGTGATTGAAGACCTCATTCCACTTCCAAGGACAGATTGCCTTTGAAGAGCTCTGACCAGAAGCTACAGTTTTTATTGATGTTCGAGAGAGGATTTTCTTCTTATCGCTGGCTCGAAACATTTATGGCCTGATCTTGTCACATCCCCCTGGCGTGACATTCTGCCTCCTCCACATAGTCCCCGATGGAGGCGCTGCAGGCAGACCCACATGTTATGGATGCGGTAACAGGCTCAGAGAACAAGCGACTTCTCTCCTTCACTTTGAGTGTCCCAGTACTAGAAGCCAAGTGCTTGCAGTCAGTAATTAGGCTGAGGAGGAAGGCTTGTGAGCCGTGACCAAGTGATCGTGTGCCTGACTCCATCAGTGTCAGTGACAGAAACACCCAATGGCCTACAGCCTGGGCAGTTGCTGCTCTGAGGGAGATGGCCGTCTGCATCATCAGGGGCAGACAAGAGGGATGGAGTATGGAACCTGAAGGCAAGAGGGAGCCACTGAGTAGTGGCAGGGGACATGGTTAGACCTGAGCTTTAGGAAGATCATTTCAGTGGAGGATGGACTCGAGTGGGGAGAGCCTTGGGGCCAGCAGACTCCAAAGCAGGCTACTGCAGTAGTCCATGCATGAGGTGCCGAGGGCCTGCACCAGGTGGGGGAAGGTGTCAGAGGAGAGAAGGCGGCATATTTGAGGGATGTGGTAGAGATGAAATCGACAGGCTTTGACAATGTCCTAGACGTGGGGGGTGATAGATAGTGAGGAGTCCAGGTTGACTTTTAGGTTGTGAGCCTGAGGGACCTGTAGGGAGGAAGGAAAGGGGAGGCTTCAGGGGGAAAGATAATGAGTTGTGTTTTGGGCACAGTGAGTTAAGATGTCTCTGGACAGTCACGAAAGGCAAGTGAAGATGGGAGCTTGGAGGTAAGCAGAGAGGTTGGGGCAGGACAGGTAGATTTGAGAATCTTCAGCATAGAGATGGTCATTAAGTCCATGGGAGCTGCCGAGCTCACCAAGGAGGTGGTACAGGGGGAGAGGAGGAGAGAAGAGAGCCCTGAGGGGCGCCTGGAGGGTCTGATCTTGAGCAGAGGAGCTGGCAGGAGAGGAGGAGAGAGAGGGCCGTCTACAGAGGTCAAGGGGAAGGAGGCTGGAGAAAAGGCCAGGAGCCATCAGTGGCTTTGGAGAGAATGACTTCAGGGGAATGGCAAGGTCCGGAGCTGGATTGTGAGGGATTGAGCACTCAGCCCCCCATCTCATCCGTGAGTCATCAGGCAGCTTTTGCCATGTCAACAGCTGCCCTCCAATCATGGCTTCACCATCTTGGGCCTGTGAAGAGGAGTTCATCCAGCTGGGGAACTCCCCACGTGGAACTTACCTTCATCCATGCAGATTGGCATCTCTCCTGCTATTGACATTGTAGAGAGCTACATGGGTCTTCTTGACTCCCCCTCTATCATGAAACTTAGATGAAGTTACAGGGATAGGTAGCTTCCCCCCCCCCCAAGTACTGCTAACAGAATATAAGACAACTGTATTTTGATGAGTAACATCAGAAGGTTGTTGGACAGACAGACTCTTATGATAAATATCTCTGAACAATAACTTGGGCCTCATGGTCTGCTGAAAACTGTACTCGTGTCTTAATATGGAGAACGCCTTTGGAAGTAGTCTCTGACTTTGTTCTTGAATCATTTCCCTGCTTTCGTGATTGTTGGACGTGGGCCCTTTGAATGGATGTGTGAAATGCCCCCTCTTCCCCAATCTCCCCATTGCAGGCATTTGTATAGAGTCAGCAGAAATGGCTTTTTTGGCAAATAATCTCCATTTTTAGTATAACCTTAATGCTTTTACATTTTCATTTGGTCATAAGTCCCTATGTAGTATTGACCTGTGCTTAACATATATTAAATTGAAGTTATCTGCATGGGCTTAAATATCAACAAATTAAATAAAATACTAGGGAGTGGAGAACAGATGGTACTTGATTCATGGTTTGGTATTCTCTCTCCAAAATCTGTTACAATAAACCTCCTTTCAAGGACTATAATAAACTATTTCTAAATAGTATACTTATTTTTATAAAACTGATAAATATGGACACATTTGAAAATCATTTGTATACTGATTACCAAAGAAGCTTCTGCTGGCTTCTGGCATGGAGGAGGCAGTTCATTATTTTCAAGTTGACGACCTGTGCTAAGGCTGGAGATTTTGAGAGGACTTCCTTGCACATATGTAAGTTGGGGGATGTTTTATTAGCCATAGGAGAGAAGGGCTTGTAGGTCTGGAGGATTGTTTTAAGAATTAGATAAGATTCTGTGTAGGGCAGGCCTTTTGCAGACCTTATAAGCACCATTAAAACATGTGGCCATGGAATGATCCACTTACCTGCTGCCTGATTGTGTCCTTTGGGGTTCCCTCTCAGCTTTTCCCATGATGTGTTAATATTTTACATTGATAACACTTCATTTTTACGTTCTAATTGACTTTAATAATGCCATGAGCCTTTGTTAAGTTTACTTATTTTTACTAATGCTAGCTTCTGGGTAAACTATAAATTGGGTTAGCTATAGCTTTTTTTTTTTTAAAGCCAGTGACAGCTAGAGTTCCCTGACCTCCTTCCAGTTAAGGATGTGGTGATTCCCATGTCTTTTTACATGTCTCTTCTTGCCATGATTTGCTGAGATAAGGCCAGACTCGGAGCCTCCTTGGGCTGGCTCTCAGTACCCTCTGTTGGAATCTGGTCACTCCCATTACTCCTTCCCCCCCTCCTGCTTAAGAATTCACACTTAAAGAAACGGCAGATGGCAGGAGCTGGCACCATAATTATTTAATTGTTGATTGCCCACTTGGCGGATTATACAGGAATCCTTTGTTGACCTCAGTTTCATAGGATCGTACTGGAAGAGACTTAGCTTCCAGTCCTACTCCAATTTTTCATATGAGAAAGCCACCCATGGTCCAGAGGTAGTAAGAACCCAAGCCCAAATGCAGAGCTGGGTCCCCGATGTTCAGTCCAGTGCAGTCCCTTTCCATGTGGTGCCCCTTTTCCTGCCACCCATCCATTCAATTGTCCAGTTATTGCCTTCTCATCAGTTATCTGTGTATCAGTATGTTTCTACTATTAAGTTTTTAATATTAATAAATTTCTATTGATTGACTTAATTTAAGCTAAATATTATTGAGAAAGTGATTCTATTTCATTGTCCTAGAATTAATTGCGGAGACAAATGCAAATTGTTCTTGGATCATGGACTAACTCTGGAGCATCTGTGACGACGCTTCTTTGATTTTGTCTAGCAGACGTTTGGCATTTTGCATTTTTTCCCCCTGAGTTCATTCCTCTGAGAGGCCATCGTAGGGTCTTTGGAATCACAGTGCCCCAGGTTTAAGTTTTGCTTCTGACCTTTCCTTGTGCGACCAGACAAGTCATTTGACCTTTGTTAGGTACCTCAGGCCTCTTGCAGGTACAGAGGCTTTTCCACATCATAGAGTTCCTCACACAGATTAAATTAAAAAAAACAAACAAACAAGCAAAAAAATGCCTATGACCAAACTGGTTCTTCCACAAACAAATGCAAATTCAGAGCAGACGATAAAGAAAGCTGTCACTTATTTTAACAGTCCCACACTTTCATTTTCATGTGATGCCTTGTATTGGAGAAGCCTGTATGTTATTTTGTTAGAGGACATAGTGAAGGAGTTTTGGCCTAGGAACCAGAGCTGGAAGGGTCCTAAGACATTTTCTAATGTCTTCCCACCACCTCCTTTACAAATGAGGAAAATGAGGCCCAGAGAGAATGGTTGACTTGCTCCTGTAGCTTCCAGAGGACTCATAAGAAATGTGTGAAAATAATAATTGCATTGGTCATGAATGATAACGCAATGTCAGTCTCAAAGAAACAGCTCCCCATCCCCATTGAAGCTCAGAAATGGCTCTCAGCATGAATGTATTTCACTCATCTTTCTCTAGGTCACAGTAGCCTCCCTTCCATCCACCATCTTTCAATTGCATTTCTGTTGCTTGATCCAAAGCGTGGTGTTGGTAATGCCTGCATTCTCTGCATTCTCTCGTGTGTTTGTTGTTAGGTCGAAAGAGATAGACTGGCAGCCGTATTTCACCACACGCATCGTGGATGATTTTGGTACCCATCTGCGAGTGTTCAGGAAAGCCCAGCAGAAGGTCACAGAAAAGGATGAGCAGGCGAAAGGTAGAGCTCGCCCTCCGTCCAGGGACGGGGATGGCCTTTGGCTATGGCTCTCCTCCTTCGGACTCCAGCTCTCCCACCCTGTTTCCTTTCTGCAGGTTCAGCCGAAGACCTCGTAGAGACCTTCTTTGAAGTTGAAGTCGAGATGGAGAAGGACACTTGTCGCGATCTAGTCTGCACCTCTTCCAAAGAAGAAGAAGGTTTCCTTTTCTCCTTGTTATAATCCTACTGAAGGTGGTGGCCTGAGGTTAAGTTGGGTAAAGAAGAGTTAGCTTGAAAGGTGAAAATACAGAATCCAGCAGTAGAACTGAAGGACCTTACGGGTCATCTAGTTTGAACCCTCCTTCTGAGGCCCAGCCCAAAGGAGCAGTGACTCACCTACGGTCACACAGCTCCCAAGTGGAAGAAACGGCTGGATTTTCACCTTTGGCTTGCAGTCAGCCTTCTGGCCATTGGCTCACCCTGAGGGTGTGTGCTTGATAAAGAACTCTTGCCTCAAGAAGGTGGCACAGAGGAGATAGATTGTTGACTAGATGTGTATTTTCATTTTATGCATTTTGTTGGAAAAGTGATTGAATCTCCCAGGAATCTCCTCTTTATTCCATAAACCTGGGGCAGGAGCGGTCTCTCTGGATAAGGGGGGGGGGGGAAGTAATCTTAAGAGCCTTGGTTCTGTGGCAGGGTCTGGGCCAGACTGGCTGTCCTCCTTCCCTGGGCTCGTTCCATGCTGGCGATGTTCCCTAGCGGTCAGCCACTGCTTCAGCAGTCGTGGTTTACTCCTGGTTGTTCAGGGCCCTAGGCTTGGGGTGGAGGGTCCCCAGGTCCTTTTCTCCCCTCTAGATGCCACCTTTTTTGCCCTTTGCCTCCTTGTTGGGATCCTGGCGGAGGAGACAAAAAGCCAGTGTCTGCAAGAGGACATGTGGATTTAGCAGCTTCAAACAGGATTGGAAATTGAGTTTAGAGATCACCCATGGGTTTGAAGTACTCTCGCTGTCCTGTAACTGCAACTGACCCATCTGGAAGAGGAAACAATACCATACTTTTTCTCTCTCAGATATTAGAATACTTGATGACTTTAGCCAGGATTGGAAGTAATATCTTTTTTTAATTTTATACACTTTGGGAAATGGTTAATACAATTTGCTTGCAAGATATGAGGTTAAACACCTGTAAGTTTCCTGCTAGGCAGCATGGCCCAGTGGGCGCAGAGCTGGACTTGTAAGCAGGCTTCAAACTCACCACTGACCCCATTAAGGGAATGTCTGTAGGCAAGTCATGAGCATTCTTGGGGGAGGCCTCAGTCGGACCTGCTGGTACCTGCCTCAGGTTGTTTTCCCACTCAAACGAGATTATGTAGAGAGCTTTACAGATTAGAAAGTATTACATAAATACTTTTAATGTCATTATTATTCTTGTCACTTTTTTTTTATTTTAGAAGTTTAAAACAAAATCTCATATAGTAGCTTAATAGCTTTAGTATTAACTGGGCTTTGCTTTAACTACAGATGTGGCTTCTTTTATGTAATCGACATTTCTTGAAAAGTGAAATATTTGACACATTTTAAGAAATTGAACTTTGACTAAATTGAACATTCGTGTAAAGTTCAGGTAGTTAGCTCTTGATTTGATTTTTTAGTATTATCAGTGTGTAAACTTTTAGTTTTAAGGCTTCTGCCCCATCCTTGCTGTCAGGAAATTCTAGCAGGAAGAGAAATTCAGACTACTCTTTAAAGGAAGGACATGTTTTGTACTGGCAAGAATAGTCATCCTTCACTTTCTTTCAGGACTGGGGGCCTTGGTGGTTTTCTTAAGGCGGTGCCTGTGTATATGGGCTGCATGTGGATTGATCACGTGGGGTGCCCTGAAATGGGGAGTTACATGTGTTAGACTTGAGCTGGTTGGAGAAGACTCAGAATGAGGTAGAGCCTGAGACACACATGAGGCCAAGTATTTTAGGAATTCTCTGGAATTAAGAGAATCCTAAAGGTGACAAGTTGGGGACACCTCCTGTGATGGATGCGTGATTCCTCTGTACTATATTCTTAATAAATAGGCATCTTTGGCCTGTCTAGCATATCATTCTAAAATGTAATTAACAACCACACTTCTCTAAGATTCCAGAATAGATTTTGGTGGGATGCTGCTCAGATTTCATTGTAAATAGCAAATTAAATTGATTGCCTTTTGGCTTTTTTTTGTAAATACATTTCTATTTAAATGGACCTTGGGTTGTAAAAATAGTTCTCGTGCCCAAACACACTGATTTAAAAGCAGAACTGAAAATACTGCTGAGACAACTTGAATCTTTTATTTTTTCCTAAAGGTTTTGACTAGAGTAGTTACAATGCAATACAGTTTGGATGTGGACACTTCAGACTATATGCTATTGCAAGTAAACTCTCCTAAAAACCTCTTTACTCTTCTTTTAACATATGAATCTTGATGTGGTGCTGCTCTTTCTGTTGCTGAACTGATAATGAAGGAGATTGGCCTTGGTGACGTTGTCATTCAGCTCTAAATCTGTGAGACGAAACTTTTATTGGCATCTTCCTCTGGCCCCATAATTAAGAAACTGACACCAGAGAGCAGCCCTGTTGTATAAAGTGCGTTCTTTTAAACACAGGAAAAGCACATGAATTGTAGTGTTTTCCTTTGCAGTTATTCACCAAGAGAAGGAGTAGAAAGAAATTGACTAAAACTTGTCCAGGATTTCTTTAGTATGTAGTTTGTAGCCTTTTCTCAAAATTTCCTCATAATCCTCCCCCATTGAAAAGACTAATATTTCTTTCTGCTCATTATATTATTAGAATGTGATACAGGAAGTCAGGTAGTCAAGGATGCGAACTCTCCTTTGGGAAAAAACAAAGTCTTTCATAATTTAAATTCTGCATAACATTCAGTGGATTTGTGGTTAAAACTAAAGAATTCAACTTGTCCCAGGATGATTAATGCCCAGTATCTTATCTGGAGAACAGTGGAGAAGTGTATACTTTGTGAATCTGTACTGGTATGTGCTTGTCACCAAAGTCACAAGCTGTTACAGTTAGAGAACTGGAGAGGTTTTCTTATGAGGCAAGATATTTCAGGAATGTTTAATACGTAAGGAGCACCCACAAAATTAATGTGTTAAGGGCAGGAAGACTCTGAAGCAATGATAAGTAGGAAAATGATCAGGAATAAGCCATTTAAATAGGCCTGGAGACATCCTCAGGGGAAAGTTTCCTGCCCTGGACTGTGCATTTTCCAGCAGTGAGAGCCGTGGGAGCCCTGTTGGCTTGTGCCTGGTGTGACTGACTGTTTTCTCTCTGCCTTCTAGGATTCCTTAGGGATCTGTGTGAGGTGTTACTGTATTTGTTGCTACCTCCTGGAGACTTCCAGAACAAGATCATGCGATACTTTGTCAGGGTAAGCAGCAACATCTCCTTTGGCAAAATGGGTCTGTGGAAGGAAGCTAGCTTTGTGTTCTCCCCCTGGCTTTGTAGGTAGCATAGGAAAGGATGGTAGTCATTACCTTTGCATGTCCCTATAGTCCCATGGTATTAACATAAAGCTTCCAGGCATATCATTCACTACATAAAAAGAGTCACAAAGTCATAGACCTCAGGATGTCAGAAGCCTTCTGGTCCATCCCCCAGGGAAGGAGTTTCCACTACTAGATAACTTACAAGTGAACGTCCAGCTTTCACTTGGAGATATCCAGAGAGGGCACACTGCCCATTGTGAGGCAGCCACTTCTGCTCTGGGACAGTTCTCATTGTGTGAAGGCCTGACATGGCATCAGATGTCACCTGGCCTCTTTTTTAACCCCCCTCCCCCTTCTCTCCATTTCTTTTGGTTCTGCCCTTGGCCACCGAACTGCACAGTCTCTCTTGGACCGGCTGGCCCTTCACATCCTTGAAGCCAGTGTTCCCTTCAGAGGCTTCTCTTCTCCAAGCTACGCAGCCCCCATTCCTTTAGGGCTGGTCATATGTCTTTGCCATCCTGGGGGCCCTCCCCTGACACTCAGGTGTGTTAATGTTCACCTGAGCACATTGTTCTGATCAGAGCCGAGTGAGGGAAGCCTGGGGTGGCCGTGGGGAGCCACGTAGCTAGGACTATGTCTTCCTCTTCTGCTGGGAGTCGTTGAGGCCAGTGGACAAGCTACTGATCATTGTTTCCCTGGAGACACAGCGTGTTGGCTGAAAACCAAGCTTCTGGCCATGCTGCTTGTGCTCACCCATCTCACTGACCGTTTCACCAGAACTTCCTTTAGTGTTGTGGTTTATGCCGAAATTTGCCTTTAAGTACGCTGTCAGGCTTCTTCCTCCATCAGAGATCCTGCAACAGAATCAGGTTCCCGGAGAAGACTTCTGTGTGTCTGCCCTTGGCTCTCAGATGCATTGCTTGGGCTCGGGTGTGTTTGCTGGGTGGAATTCCCCCAGCACCTTGTTAGGATCACTAGCTTTGCCCAACCCTGCCATCATCTGCTTCTCGCCAGTAGTTGTCTGTATGGACACACATGTACATATGTGTGTGTTGTATTTACTTAGTTGTCATCAGCATTCACATTACTATATCCTTCTGCTTTTAATTTAAAGTTATCCTCTACTTTATTGTATCAATTTATTTCCCACAGTTAGTACCTAGGTGTATGCCCTGGAGGGCATTTGAATGATTTCCAGTTTTTTGGTATAGACAATGCTACTGTGGAACATCTTTTCATCTTTTGTATCATTTCATTAGAATACATTCCCAAGGTTTGAATTAAAAATTATGAATATTTTTATGGCTTTTGTTACACACTTCTAAGTTACTCTCCACATTGGAGAATTTTCATTCGCTTCTAGAACCAGGTAACCTCCTTTCCTTCAGAAACACAGTTGTAAATCAGTAGAGCTTCTTGGGGTTCTTTAATGTTGGTATTTTAAGTTCCTGTTAAAGCTTTCCCGAGAGGAGATAAATACATTTGTTTCTCCACTTCCAGGTAAAATTCCATATTATCGTTATCATTGTCATTGTCATCATTGTTGCTAGTCTGTTGGGTGTGCCTTACGGTCCCACTTACAGAAGTGATACTGTGATGTTTAATTTACCTTTTTGAAACTGCTCTTGAGATTGTACCTTTTTACAAAAATGAGATGCTCTGAGCTCCATAATAGCATTCAGTTTTCTCATCCAGCTCAGTAGGCTCTCGTGAAATCTTGAAAATGACTTCAGAATACAAAGCGGAGCAATGAAGAGGGCTTTCCCTGGCCCTCTCTCCCCATACCAGCCCTGAGTCGATCTTCTTTTTACAGTTGTTTGTATCTTGTCTGATTGTTGGCTCCTTGAGGTCAGGGATGGTTTAGCACAGTTCCTGGCACAGGATGGGTTATGCTCAGGGCCTTCAGAATGAATGTTCATAGAACTGTCTAGTCATGTATCCGATCCTTTCTCTGTATTTCATACAGAGTTTTCTCCCTTTGAGGATCCATTTTTGAAGGAAAGCTGGCGTGCTAGTTACCTAGCTCCCGTGGAGTAGTCTCAGTGTCCTGTCGTGTCATAGTGAGTGAGCTTGTCTGCGTATGATGAGGACATTGAAGACTCTTTCTTAGAGTGTAAGGAGAAGAGAGCCATTGACGCCCAGGACCCAGATGGTTACCCAAGTCTGCCTCTTACTCCCCTTTCTCCTCTCCCACTAGAGAGTGAAAATATATGTAGTGGGGAATCAGGGGAAGATTAGGGGAGCAGAGTCCCTGCAAGAAGGTATTGGAAGACCCAGGCCCGTAAGCAGTGAGACTATGACTCAGCCTCTGCTTGTGAAGCTGAGGGGCCTCCAAGAAGTCTCTGGAGCCTCTGCCGCTGATGCTCAAGTTCTGGTGACTCCCCAAGGGGTAACTGGAGAGAGTGGTCAGCTTTGAGTCTGCAGGAAAGACAGCGGGGAGGTTCTCTTTGGCTGTGCCTGAAGGGAAAAATACGCGAGGCTTTTACTTCAGACAAACTTTGGAGTTGCTCCTGTTATCCGGTACATTTAGGAAATGAGCACATGGAACAGAAAAAAGACTGAGCCAAGGAATTTTGAGCCTACTTTCAGTCAGTCAATCAGTAAGCATTTATTAAGTGCCTACTATGTGCCTGGCACAGTGCTGGACCCTGGGAAAATCAAGACAAAAGGGGAGCCATCTCTGCCTTGGAGGGTGACACTCTAGCAGCCCAGCCCTTCAGACTGAAGCTCTAACCCTTAGATCTTCCCGACAAGGAATCCTCCAGCCTTTCCTTTTTAAAATCTTTCTTTACTAACATCTTCTGTCTTCACAGTCATTTCTTTGCTCTGTCTCTGATTAATGCTGCCACGTGAAAAAGAAACAATGGGAAAAGTGCATTGCAGAGCAGCATGTCAGCTGGGCTAGAGGGGCTCCCTATCACCAGCCCGTCGGCAGGCCCTTCTAGAGTTGGTAGCAGTTGGCTAGAGGGGGCACAGGGCATCCATCCCCCGCCATGGCAGCTCTGCCCAGCTGAGCACAAATGCCCTCATTGGGACGCTTTCCAAACAGCAGGCTGATGTCCCTGTCTCTGTCATTTTTGCCTGTTGTTTCCAGCTGTGCCCCTAAGAACAGGCAAAGATTCAGAGACAGTCTTCCCTAAGCTGCCTCCACCCATCGTTCTGTGGCCTGGCTGTCACCCTCTCACCCCGGTTCCTCTCTCTCCTTAGCACAGCTTTACTTTCACGGTGTTCTTTCTCAGACGGGACGTCCAGAGTGGAACCCAGCCCGTTTGTTTCCGTTGGTGCCAACGTTGTGGTATTCCTTACTTCTCCCTCACCCTGAGGACCAGGGTTTATGGGCTTGCATTGAGGTCCCCCAAGCTCTTCTCCTTTTGCCTTACTCTCATGTCCTAGGCATCCTGCTTTTCACAGAGAGCCCGCAGAAGCCTGTGAGGGCCTCCATCACCGTATGCTGCCTCTGTGCTGGAGCTGGGGCCTCTTTCCAAAACTTAGACAGGGGAAGAAGAGCCGAGGTCCGTTCTTGCCACTCCTTTCATTTACTCAGCAGACAGTAGCTGAAGCCTTGAGTCTGAGTGCTGGACACTTGTTGTTCTGGAGACACAGACGGAATGACGACACTGCCTCTGTTCTCCTGGAGCTTCCTGAGAAGTAGGAGAAGGCAGTAATGAGAGCAGCACATGGTTTGTATAGACCAGCACTTGGCAGAGGACCTCTTTGTACTTGAAAAAATTATGCCCTCACCCCGAAGAACTTTAGTTCATGGGAGTTTTATCTGCTGTACTCACTGTATTAAATATGAAAACATTGTAGCACTGCTTTGAAAAGTTTTGACCTCATGAGCTCACTAGAAGGGTCTTGGATCCTCGATGAGTCTCTGGATCACATTTTGAGGACCGTTGGTATAGACGGTAAGCGTTACTGGCAGGAGATAGTCAGGGAAGTCTTCCTGGGAGGCAGGGACTCCAAGCAGTGCTTCAGGCATCCAGATTGAGGGGCCACGTTTGCATTCAGGAGTTGGTGGGGAGCCATCAAAGCAAGATTGCCACTTGTAGAATCTATGCTAGTGTTTCTGAAATCCTTTCTTGCTCACTATTCGCAAGTTTTACCATGTTTGACCCTTCATGGAGCAGTTTTTGAGTTCTTGGCAGAATAAGAATTGTTAATAAATTTATCGTACACACCAAAACCAACAGAAACCACATGATCATCTCAATAGATGCAACGCCCATTCCTATTAAAAACACTAGAAAGCATAGGCATAAATGGAGTCTTCCTTAAAATAATAAGTAGCATTTATCTAAAACCTTCAGCAAGCATTATATGTAATGGGGACAGGCTAGAAGCATTTCCAATAAGATCAGGGGTGAAACAAGGATGTCCATTATCACCACTGTTATTCAGTATTGCACTGGAAACATTAGTTTTAGCAATAAGAGAAGAAAAAGAAATTGAAGGCATTAGAATAGGAAAGAAGAAACAAAGCTATCACTCTTTGCAGATGACATGATGATATACTTAGAGAATCCTAGAGAATCAAGTAAAAAACTACTTGAAATAATAAACAACTTTAGCAAAGTTGCAGGCTATAAAATAAACCCACATAAATCATCAGCATTTCTATATATTACCAACAAAGCCCAACAGCAAGAGATAGAAAGAGAAATCCCATTTAAACTTACTGTAGACATTATAAAATATTTAGGAGTCTACCTCCCAAAACAAACCCAGGAACTCTATGAACACAATTACAAAACACTTTTCACACAAATAAAATCAGTTGGAAAAACATCAGTTGCTCATGGGTAGGCCGAGCTAATATAATAAAAATGACAATCCTACCTAAGCTAATTTACTTATTCAGTGCCATACCAATCAAACTACCAAAAAATTATTTTATAGAGTTAGAAAAAATAATAACAAGATTCATTTGGAAAAACAAAAGGTCCAGAATATCAAAGGAACTAATGAAAAGAAATGCAGGGGAAGGTGGCCTAGCAATTCCAGATCTTAAATTGTATTATAAAGCAGCAATCATCAAAACTGCTTGGTACTGGCTAAGAAATAGGGAGGTGGATCAGTGGAATAGGTTAAATATGCAAGACACAGTAGTCAGTGACTATAGTAATCTATTATTTGGTAAACCCAAAGACCCCAGCTTCTGGGATAAGAGCCCACTCTTTGAAAAAAACTGCTGGGAAAACTGGAAAAGAGTATGGCAGAAACTAGGCATAGACCCAAATCTCACACCATATACCAAAATAAAGTCAAAATGGGTTCAGGACTTAGATATAAAGGCTGATACCATAAGTAAACTGGGAGAACAAGGAATAGTTTACCTGTCAGATCTATGGAGAACAGAAGAATTCATGACCAAACAGGAGATAGAGAACATTATGAAAAGCAAAATGGATAATTTTGATTACATTAAATTGAAAAGTTTTTGCACAAACAAAGCCAATGCAACTAAGATTAGAAGGAAGGTAGAAAATTGGGAAAGAATTTTTACAACCAGTCTCTCTGTTAAAGGCCTCCTTTCTAAAATATGTAGAGAATTAAGACAAATTTATAAGAACACAAGCCATTCTCCAATTGATAAATGGTCAAAGGATATGAACAGACAGTTCTCAGATGAAGAAATTAAAGCCATCTATAGTCATATGAAAAAATGCTCTAAATCATTATTGATTAGAGAAATGCAAATCAAAACAACTCTGAGGTACCACATCACACCTATCAGATTGGCCAACATGACAAAACAGGAAAATGATAAATGTTGGAGAGATGTGGGAAAATTGGAACACTAATACATTGTTGGTGGAGTTGTGAAATGATCCAACCATTTTGGAGAACAATTTGGAACTATGCCCAAAGGGCTACAAAAATGTGCATACCCTTTGATCCAGCAATAGCACTTCTAGGGCTATATTCCAAAGAGATCAAACAAATGGGAAAAGGACCCACATGTACAAAAATATTCATAGCAGCTCTTTTTGTGGTGGCAAAGAATTGGAAATTGAGAGGATGCCCATCAATTGGGGAATGGCTGAGCAAGTTGTGGTATATGAATGTAATGGAATACTATGTGCTATAAGAAATGATGAACAGGCTGACTTCAGAAAAACCTGGAAAGACTTATATGGTCTGATGCTGAGTGAAGTGAGCAGAACCAAGAGGACTTTGTACACAATAACAGCCACGTTATGCAATGACTAAGATTGTTAAACTGAACCCTTCTCAGCATTACGAGGATCTAAGACATCTCCAGAGGCCTCGGGACGGAAAATGCTGTCCACATCCAAAGAAAGAACTATGGAAGTCGAATTGCTCTCACGTATTTTTACCTTCTGTTGAGTTTTGTTTCATCTTGGTGATGGTTCCTCCTATTGGTTTTAATTTTTACTTACAACTTCACTAATGTGAAAATATGTGTAATGGGAATGTAAATGTAAAGCCTATATCAGATTGTATGCCGTCTTGGGGAGGGTGGGGAGGAAGGAAGGGGGAGAAAAATTTTCAACTCAAAAGCATATGGAAGTGGTTGTTGATAAATCAAAATAAATTAATAAAATTTTTTAAAAAGTCAACACTAAAAAAAATAAAATAAATTTATCATACAAATGAAAGGTAGGAGCGATTTACATGTTTGTTTGTTTGTTTGTTTGTTTGTTTTTAGGAAATCCTTGCACGTGGAGTTCTTCTTCCATTAATAAACCAACTCAGTGATCCTGATTATATTAATCAGTATGTCATATGGATGGTAAGGGCTTTAAATTTTTTTAAACTTCTACCCAGTATATTAAGAACATAATTTGAAATTTTGTGTTTGCTTATTAAAATAGTCATGGTTTAATTGTAACGAGTGAAATTGGAAGAAAATTGCCTTTATGAAGATGATAGGTCAGCCTTCCACATGACTGTGCTAAGATGTATGTATTTGGTGATGATTTTGTAGCACCTCCGCAGCGGGAGGGGCCTCCCAGCTCACACCATCTCACTCTTCCTGAACAGGGACTTTCTCTTCAGTTTTCCTAGCACGTCAGCTTGGTATCACTGGAGGCAAGTCTTTCCATGTTGGATCAGCTGTGATGATTAGGAAGACTTTCCTCCTAGATAGGGAGTATTGTGGGCCTTCAGTGTGTGTACTGCAGCTTGACCCCTCCTCATGGGCTCAGCAGATCACACTGAGGGTCTGCCCCAGACTTAGAATTCACTCGTTTGGGGCCCTTGCTCCTCTGGCACGGATTGCAGCCCCTTCTCTTCTGTTGGTGGCCTGCTTCTGAGAGCGGCTGAGGAAGTACTAAGGCAGCAACGCTGTAAAGAGAGGTTGTCTGACCCCTAGCCCTCACGCCCTATTTAATATTTGCGTGCACTGTGAGGGGAGGGGGCTCAGCATCTTTGGGAGAAACTGAACTTGGAGTTAGTGAATCCTGCCTGTCACTGGCATTGTGATCTTGGCCAGTCACTGAATGTCCATATTCTTCTTTTACTCCTTTCTAAAGTGGTGTGGTGGTATCAGGTTACCTTGGAAGGACCTTCCAGCAATAACACTTGATGCTTTTGTGATTCAAAGGTGGCTGTACCTCTACCATATTTAACCATATTTATTTCTCAATAATGGTAGCACCCAAATTGTCATGGAATTGAGCATTGTCATCTGGGTCATTGACATCTATATTGCATGCTGAAAACAGTTATTTGAAAGGACTAATAGTATATGCAGCTAAATAGTGTGCTTGCCATACCAGTGCTGCTCACTGCAGAATACACATAGTCTGTCATTGAACATTCTTGGTATGGTGACTATCCAAAGGGATGCCATTTTTTTCTGAGACTTCTATCCTAAAATCAGACCTGTTTTCCTAAGCAGAGAAGAACCCCAGCAAAAGTCCCCATAGATTGAATTGGAAGCATGTTTACCAACAGAAAGTGGGATATGCCGTGTCTTCCCTGGAGTGCTTTCCCATACTTTGGAAAGCCTCCCTCTTGCACCTGGCATTGTCTCTGCAGAGTTGGCTCCTCAGAAGGTCTGACGCCTTTGCCTAGGGCTCTGCCCTCCTGAGTCCACTCCCACTAACTAATGGCTCATGAAGCCTGGTTCTCTTTCATTTTTTGTCTGTTTGTGCTGGCTAGGAGGAGGGAGCTTGGCTTTGTTGGGCAGTGCCTTCTTTACCAGCAGGCATCTCTGGGATGAGCATTTCTCAGGCTGAGAGCTTTGGGGATAGTGAACACACAGCTGGGCACACTGTCATTCACAGACTAGCAAGGCTACTGAGACGCCAAGGATCCTTGTTGAGGTTGTGTGGAATGGGTACTTCTCCAGAGTTTGTCCGGGTTCGTATTCAGACTGGATGAGGGTGCTGTGCCCTCTCTGACGCTCTTTTCTTAGGTTTTCATGACATTCCTATTATCTGTTTTAACTGACTCTGCCTTCTTCCCCTAAGAAACAAACAAACAAAACTCCCCAACAATGCTGAGTTTGTCATGGTATGACTTACTCTGTTAGTATACGTAAGTAACAGTGGAAAATTATAATGTTGTCTAAAATATTTGGAAAGAAGCTCACCAGAGGGGCTTCCAACAGTTGTCACTGAAAACTTTTTTAAACAGGTTAGCAATTTAAGGAGAAAGTGTGTAGTTGTACTTACCACAGAATCACTGTGTTTGGACTAATAAGTAATCTGAACAAGCTTGGCCCACCCATGTTTCATTAGCTCTACCCACCACGGAGGAGATAAGAGTGATTTTGTGTTGTTTGACTCTCCCCAAGTATATTCAATAAATAAGCACAGAGCTGCTCATTCCTCTCCTTATCCACATTAGAAGGGCTGGCCATTCAAAGAATCCAAGCTGGAATGGGCTTGAAGAGAACATTGTTCGAAGGTGCTTTAAACATGTTTTCTGCATTCTTGTTTACACTCAAAAACCTGTGTTTCTACCTTTACTTCACGTATAATAGTGGTCACTGCCTCCCATCCCTACCCACCATCCCCCTCACACAATATCCAGTGAAACTGTCTTCTTGGGTTTGGTGTGGCCCTTTACAGACATGGCCTGGGGCTTGAGGGTTGTCTGATTTTTCAGGTGGTCCCCTGGGTAGAGGGTGCATTGTTTTCCTCATCCTCCCTTGGGCCTGGCCATTTGTGCCCATTTGTGAGAGGGGACCCCAAGGAGGCATGGTTCTGACCACCCAACGTCCCACGCAGGGTCCTGGCCTCTTCCAGTAAGCCAGCCACTGCTGCCTTGCATAGCCTTAATCACTGTCCTTGCCGAATCTTACTGGTTTGGGATTTTGGTGAGGCCAATAGAATGTGCATTCTGAGAGGGCTGGGGCTCATTTGGCCTTGGAGCTCAGGGAGTGGTGCCAGACTACCATAAGGTGGGTTTGTCTGTGAATCCCCACTGCTGCTATTGTTATCACAGGAACAGTCCTGGTGAACTCATGCAGGCTCTCGTGGGATTCTCACGTCAACCCTGGGAGATGTGTCCTGGGAGTGGAGGAAACAGAAGCAGGCAGAGACGATGTGACTTAGCCAGGATTCCCCAGTGAGGGAGGGGCTCCTTCAGCTTTTGAACTTGGGTCTGTCTGACTCCAACTCCAGCATTCTGTCCACTGTACTCCCTAGCCACCCTTGCCAGACTCTTTTTTCTTTTTTTTTTTGTTTAGTGCATTTCAATTGATTTTAAAGTCCTTTGTGACAGATCAAGGTATATTCAAAATGAACTTTAGTCCATTTGGAGAAGAATGGATTATGCATTTGTGTAGAGACACAATTTTTCTTAACTAATGAACTGGCCTCCTAAATTTTCAGATTTTTGTCCCGTAGATTCGTGATTCCAATTGCAACTATGAGGCCTTTATGAACATTATTAAATTAAGCGACAACGTGGGTGAGCTCGAAGCAGTCAGGGATAAGGCTGTTGAAGAGTTGCAGTATCTTCGATCCCTGGATACTGCGGGTGATGGTAAGTCTGGGGAGGCTAGTTAATTGCCTGAATCTTAGACTTTGGGATTCCCACATCATTCTTGTCTTTAAAGCCAAACATGGAATTGTACTTCAGGAAGTGTCCTATACCAAGTGTGAGGTATGCTATCAGTCACAAGACTTCCATACTCACGTCTCTGTTTCTTTTTCTGTGAAAGTCAGTGGCACTTTCCCAGAACCTGTTCATTAATGAGCAGCAGTCCTTTGTATTTCCTGCTACAACCACAGTGTGTATGTACAGTGATGGAGGAGACAGCTTTGTTGTGATTATCTAATGAAACTCCTTGCCTGCATCAGATCGTGCTTTATCAAGCAAATGAACTAATCTGGAGAAGGAGGTTGGACTGGCTAGTGATAGAGTTTTTCTTTGGCTTTTGGAATGACCGTAAACACCCCAAGCCACAGTGGCTCTATATCTCTGTGTGACATGGGGGAACAGGGAAAGGCAGATATCAGGGGGCTTGGCTTCCCTTGGACCGTCAGGGAGCAGTAGCAGTCTGCTCAGGCACACAGGTGGAGGGAACAGAGAGACTATGGGCTCTGGCCACATTGGCTGCCTGAACAACTGCTGTTCACTCAGTTTCCATACTCCAGAAAGCTGCAGGCAATAGAAGGAGGGATAGCCTCCATGCACCCAACCTCCTACTGCGACCAGAAGACCAGAGATATATGTAGCCTGAAAATCTCTGTCTGAAGGTAGCAACAGCAGATAGCTCTCCCGAGAAAGCCCCAGGGACGTGTTAGAATTCCCCAGTGGCATCAGAAACCCATAGCGGAGGCTTTGAAAACCCAAAGGTATAGATGGCGGCAGCCTATGTGATGTTGGAGCAGTCAGCCTGGGGCAGCGGGAGTACGCAGGAGCTCTCTTGTGATTGGAGATGCCATAGAGGGTCCTGAAGCCCCATCTTTCTGAGTCTTAGAGATCCAAGGTGATATCACCTTGGAAGGTGGGCTGGCCTGTAGTCCCAGGACAAAGACCCATCCAGACTCATCACCTCCCCCAAAAGCACGACAGCTTTTGGCCCCAGCACAAAGCTCCAAATGGGGAATTACAGCTGTAGAAGGAATAAAGTGAAGAAGACACCAGCCACTGTAACAATTATTGTAGGCATCTAGATGGTTAAAAATACTTCCTAGGAGGAAGTGATTCCATAACAACTGCAATTGGACTCGCAAAGAAAAAAATCACTACATAGATACCCAGAAGAATTGAAGCCAAGAGAGTGAAAAAAAAATGATAGAAAAACTGTAGAGGAAAGATAATAAACAGTAAGAATCATTGGGCTCCCTGAAAACCATGATTAAAAAAAAAAGCTGGGAAACTATACATCAAGAAATCATAAATGAAAATGATGAAGACTCCAGAGCCCCAGCTTAGAAGAGTCAAAGTGCCGGTGGCCTCTAGTCAGGAAGCTTCTGCGATGAACAGGAGGAGGTCTTGGAATGCAGTTTTCCAAGAGGCAAAAGGGAGAGCTGATCACTAGGAAAATTTTACCCTGCAAAGCTGAGTCTAATCCTGCAGGAAAAACAATGATCTTTAATGGAATCGATAACAAGACCAGAGCAACAGGAAGTTGGAGATAGAAACAAAAGGGTCGAGAGAAACCTATAAAGGAACATTCATTCGAGAAAGAAACGTCTCTTGAGAAATACTTCCGAGGATAATGTCTTCCAGAGATACTGAGGGAGGTAAATAAGAAAAACAGACAAGCTAGGGTGGGAGGTGGAGGGGGAGGAATTGGTTCTTTTCTGAGACTTTAAAGAGGGGACGAAAGAAAGGAGTGTAAAAAGGAGTAATTAAAGTAGAAAGGAGGAAGAAGAGAGTGAAAGGCGACATTATTCATAATTGGGGTGCCTGAGAAGAAGACTATAGAAAGGTGGTGTGAGGATATCAGATGAACGTCACCCTCGTGCATAAATGAAAGACAATAGCCTACATTTGTAGTGGCTGCGGGCAGAAGTGTTCCATGGTTTTCTCCATCTCTTTTTGCAGTATTTGTGTAGGTGCAAAGATAATGAATGGCGGGAGTGATTCAAGCCTGAAGCGTAGCTGGACGTAGTTAGTGATATGATGAGAGGACTGGGAAATCAAGACAGGAGGACAGTGTAGAGCCGAAATGGAGAAGGTGGCAGGAAGACTGTGTCATTAAGGGAAGGCCAGGTTTCAGTAAGAGTTAATGGCTTGAAGGAGTAGAAGAAAGGATTTAAAGAGGAGGGAAATTTATTGCCTGTGGAACAGGCATTCCAGAGGGCACAGTGGATGGACTTTAGGGTGGGAGGGCTGAGGGGGGAGAGGAGGAGGAATTGGATGGTAGTGGATGTTGAGCGGAATTTGGGTGGTCTGCAGGGGTTCAGAGTCATTGGGGTGTGAAAGACTGTGCCCAGCTTTAGACATACTGAGTTTAAGATGTCTTTGGAGCAGTCTACTCAAGATGTCCAGTAGGAATTTGGAGATGAAAGTCAGTAGAGAGGTTAGGGCTGGGTAAGCAGATTTGAGAATTATCAGCATAGGAGAAAAACAACTGAATCCATAGAAATAAGATGAATCTCAGTCTTATGAAGGAATGAATGAATAAATGGCTAAGGATATTGGTGGCCAGAACTTCCTTTTTTGCGTCTTCGGTAGCTGTGGCTACAGCTCCTGTAGAAGCCATCAGTCTTTAGGCTGCCTCTCCCAGGGGTAGCTTCCTAGGATGATGGCTGAGGGTCCTGATCTGAAAGTTTTACTGTTGTCATCGCTCTTGGGCTCAGGGTCCTGGACTGTCTCCATCAGCATTTGAAGGGAGATGGTGGTCAGGGTAGCGGTGGGAGTTTGACCCTGGCACCTGCCACCTCCTGCGTTTCTCAAGGGGCCCTGCTGCTTTCGCTAGGCTGTTGTGGCTGCCTTGCAGGTGGCAGTTGGTTGACAGCTGGTGGAGATGGCTGCACAGGAATTGCTTCCATGATTAAAAAAAAATTTTCTTATCCGAAACAAAGAAGGGTTGGACACACATATACACACACACACACGTACACACATGCACATGCACACGCACTCACAGATAGATATATATGTGAATCAGACTCAACAGAGAAACAAGCGGGGATGGGCATAGAGGTGTTCAGAGGGAGAATAATGCTAAGAGGAAGTCATCGCAGGCAAAACAAACTTCCTGGTCTTGAAAAAAAGGACTAAGGGAAAAAAAAAGAAAAGCAAAGAACTAGAATTCCAAGGGTATCCCCCAGTGGGAAAAGGGCTGAATAAATTGTCCTGTGTCATTGTAATGGAATATTATTGTTCCCTAAGAAATAATACAATGACTTTCCAATCCTGTGGAATGTGAACTAATGCAAAAGGAAGCAAACGGAATGAAGAGAACAGCTTTTTCAAGAACAGCATAAAGAAAAACAATTTTAAAAGACTGCGGCTCTCTAATCAAATGCAAAGACCAGCTGTGTCTCCAGGGGACTTTGGGTGAAGCTTGTCATTCACCTCCTGGCAGTGGTGATGGACTCAAGTTCCTTAGGCTCTACATAACCACTCTGTGGATTCATTTTGACTTGCTTTAATTGGGGGGATTCCAGGGGGCTAGCCAACTCAACAGTGGCCATTAGATTGGAAAAGATCAGTTTATATCCCAGTCCTAAAGAAGGACGATGCCAAGGCATATTCAAATTACTGAACAGTTGTGTGCCTATTTCATACTCCAGCAAGGTTATACTTAAGATTCTGCAAACTAGGTAGGCTTCAGCAATATGTGATCCAAGAATTAGCAGAAGAGCCAGGTTGGTTTTTGAAGAGGCAGAGTTACTAGAGACCAGACTGTGCCAGTGTTCACTGGGTTATGGAGAAACCAAGGGAGTTCCAGAAAAAAAATATCTACTTCTGCTTCGTTGACTACACTAAAGCCTTTGCCTGTGGGAATCACAACAAAATCTGGCAAGACCTCAAAGAGATGGGAGTACCAGATCATCTTACTTGTCTCCTGAGGAACCTGTATGTGGGTCAAGAAGCAACAGTTAGAACCAAACATGAAACAACTGATTGGTTTAAGATTGGAAAAGGAGTAGGCAAGGCTGTATATTGTCACCTTATTTATTTAACTTATATGTAGGGTATATCATGTGAAATGCCAGGCTGGAGGAATCAAAAGCTAGAGGTTAAGGTTGCCGGAAGAAATATCAACAGTCTCAGGTATGCAGATGATACCACTCAGGTGGGAGAAAGTGAAAAGGAATTAAGAAGCCTCTTGATGAGAGTGAGAGAGGAGAGGGTAAATGCTGGCTTGAAGCTTAACATCAGGAAAATTAACATGGCTTCTGGTCTTATCACTTCCTGGCAAATAGAGGAAGAAGAAATGGAAGCAGTGTTAGATTTTATATTCTTAGGTTCAAATCACTGTAGATGATAACTGCAGCCATGAAATTAAAAGATTCTTGCTCTTTGGAAGGAAAGCTGTGGAAAATCTGGGCAGTATACTAAAAAGCAGAGACGTCACCTTGCTAACAAAGGTCTTTATAGTCAAAGCTGTAGTTTTTCCAGTGGCATTGCACGGCTGTGAGAATTGGACTCTGAGCAAAGCTGAACACCACAGAATCAGTGGTTTCAAATTGTAGTGCCAGAGAAGACTTTTGAGAGTCCCTTTTACCCCAAGGAGATCAAATCAATCAATACTTAAAGAAATTAATTCAGGCTATTCACTCAAAGTTGGATACTGAAGCTAAAATACTTTGTTCACACAATGAGAAGATGGGACTCACTGGAAAAGACCCCGATTTTGGGAAAGATTGAAGGCAAAAGGTAAAGGGGAGAGCAGAGGATGAGATGGATAGATGGTGTCATGGAAGCAATGAACATGAACTTGGAGAGACTTCTGGAGATAGTGGAGGATAGAAGGGCCTGGCATCTTCTGGTCCACGGGGTCACAAACAGTAGGACATAACAACAAACAAACACAAAAGGGGGCTAGCAGTTGTGATGCCAGAAGGTCATTGGAACATTTTTTTAAAATGCGCAGAAGAGAGCAGAAGGAAATTAAGAAAGAAACACAGGCAAGTTGGACAGCTTTGTTGAATGCAATCCATGGAATTTATTTTATACTTTTGAAAAAGCAAGGTGTATAAAATAGTAATTCATGGTTTCCTATAAAATTCTCTTTGGTATTTTTTTATTTGGAAAATGCCCTCTTTGGTGTTTAAATTCTGAATAAAAATAAAAGAAAGAGATCACTCATAGCTAGGGAATTTCTGGGGGCCTCATTAATAAAAATAGAAACATTAATGAAAGCAACAGCACATGCCTTGGACAAACACTAATTTCTTCTTAATCACCTCACCTAGATCATCATCTCTTTCAGGGAGAGGAGCCATCTGTGACTTCTCTGTTCATACAGCTTCCCTTTGGCCTGACTCAGTGCCTAACAGTCATTCATCAATTGAATGTATGTTCAGAGTGCAGATCGTCCACTCAGGTGCACATGTGTGGAGTCTGCTCAGTGGAGCAGTGGTCCCCTCCAACTAAATACTAACGCTGGCTGCTCTCTCCTTCCAAAGTGAAGTTCGTAAACGTGTTCCCCAAATGCTCAGCTCCCCAGGCTTGAGAGTGTTCATACGGCGATAAACATGACGGAAGCCAGACTTGGGTGGTATCCTTGTTCCCATCCCCATTCTTCTTCATCAATGAATCTTGGTCAATAAATGTCTCCATCAGTATATATATTATGTGCATCATATATTAGGTATGCATGGTATTTGTTGTGTCTTGGCCATGTATCATGATATATCATTTTATTTTCTGATAATAAGGAGATGAACTATTGGAATAGAAGAATATGATTTTCACTGTTAACCAACAAGAGTGATGATATCAGAACAAGTATAAATTTACTTAAATTGCCACATTATATTATTCAAATTTTACCTTTCATTGCAATAAAAAATTCTAAGATTTTTTTTGCTAAATTATAGTGTTTATATATCAAAATATTTGTAAATGGCATGTACTTAATCTCTAATATATGTTCATTGTGTTTGTTTTTAGATATCAACACTATCAAAAATCAAATTAATAGTTTATTATTTGTAAAGAAAGTATGTGACTCCAGAATACAGAGGTTGCAGTCAGGCAAAGTAAGTAATGTATTTTTGAATTAGTATTTAATTGTGAATAATTAGATTTAACTGAAGCATCAAGTAGATGACTGATTGTAAACCAGAAGGAGGAAAATTGAATTTGGTTTGATACTTTCCAAAAGACCTATAATTAGATAGATTTTCCCATATGTGCTTGCCCCTATGTAGGCAGAAATATCCAAATATGACATAATTACACTAAAGCACGTAGGGACTGTCATATACCAGCTGCACTCATTGTCAGTGGCTTAAGTTACTGTATTTGGCCTTTTGTCAGAAACAAGTGTTGTTTTTTTTTAACTTCATTTTTATTTTAGTTTGTCAGACTCTTAACATTTTAATACCAAAAGCGCATTTCTCTATTGCACTGAGTAGATAGATGGTCTGTGGAAGATTGCTGGGGGAACTTGGTGGAGAATTGTTCAGAAGATGTGATGGACTGCGTTTTGTGTCAGGAGAAGAAATATCTGCACCATTGACAGTTTGGCTCCCCCACAGTATCCTGCAGCTTTTTCTGTGGACCCCATGCCTGCGGCTCTTCAGTGGGGTCACGTGGCTCCTTATGGGCCAGAAAATCTTAGCTTCAAAATAGTTACTGTTGTATGGGACCCTGTGAAGTAGCTGGAGCCAAGGCCACTGCGGCTCCTGTATTAAATCTGTGAACACCAGAGTCAGGTCATCAGGCTCTTTCCAACTTTGCATCACTGTGATGTTCGGAATAGAGAGGAGGAGTAGCATGGCGGGCCTTCCTAACACCAGCCCTGGAAGTGTTGCCAGGATGGTTCTTGATGGGCTAGTGTGATAGCTGAGGGTCCTTAGCACTTACTTGTGGTTCAGAACATGGTGTGTTTAGTTGTGTTTTGTTTGTCCCTTTGAAAAGGACCTTAAAACTTAGGTTGGGGTGCATTTTTATAATCATGGGATTACGCTGTCAGCAAGCACTTACTGTCTGCCACGTTCCGAGCATTGTATTAAGCACTGGGGGAACAGAGAAAAGCAGTGAACAGCCCCTTCTCTTAAAGAGCTCACAGTCAGATCAGGGAGACAACATGCCATCAGGCTACAGGCAGGATAAATGGGAGAGAATGAGTGGAGGGAAAGCCCTGGTGCGAAGGGGGATCACGAAGGACTCTTTGTAGAAGGTGGGACCTTAGCTGAGACTCCACGGACCCCAGGAGGACGAGATGAGGATGGAGGAAAGTCCAGGCATGGGGGGCTGCCAGTGTCAGAAGACCAGTGTCTGCAGAGGGGGCAGGCGATGGAGGGCTTGAGAAACCAAGTAGAGGAAACCACTGGAGCCTACTGAGTGTGAGGGCGACGTGGCCGGACGTGAGTTTTCAGACCTGCTTGAGGGTGGAATGGAGGTTTGGCTTGGAGCGGGAAGGCAGGGAGGCCAGCTCACAGGCTGCTACTGCGGTGGTGCAGGTACAAGGACCATATGTACTCCTTAGGGAGCGACAGACTAGTTGGAACAAATATTTTGGTAGCGAGGGAACCGGATAGCAGAGTAACTTACAGGAGGGTCGGGTTTTGTAGGAGAAAAGTATGATTCCGAAACCCACGTATCAGAAACCTCATCATATTGAGTAAAGAACACACGGAGAAGCTGAGTGCTAGAAGTTTAAGACAACCATATCCGGATTGACCCTTTATTTCTTATTGCTCAGCCATTTCAGCTGTGTCTGACTCTTTGTGAGCCCATTTGGAGTTTTCTTGGCAAAGACACTGGAGTGGTTTGCTATTTCCTTTTCCAGTTTGTTTTACAGATAAGGAAACTGAGGTAAATAGGGTTAAGTGACTTGTCCAGGGTGGCACAACTAGGAAGTGTCTGAGGCTGGATTTGAACTCAGTTTTTTCTGATTCTAGGCTCAGTGCTCTTTCCACTGTGCCACTTAGCTGCCCTTTATTTCTAAGGGAAAGCTATCTGAGAACAAGAGGGGCCAACAAAGAAGGAGATGACCATGCCTTCAATCCAGTGTTTATGCATGAATTATATACTGACCTGATCTGGCAAAAGACTGAAGTGTGACAGGTGGAGAGGAGGAAATGGTGGAGGTTGTAGAGATGGTTCTCAGCATTGGCCATTTCTGTGATGGACTGTCTCCTTTTTCTTTTTCCATGGAAGAGAAAACAGGCACACAGAAAGACCAGCTGCATGGCTTTCTGTGCCCTGGGGGCCCAGCTCCTTTGTGCTTTGGTTTGTAGGTCCGGGAGTCAGGTGGCAAGCATTTCACAGTTTACCTAGCAGACTCATGGTGGCTTTATGTGTCTAAGTTTCATTGCTCTGCATCATTAGTCTTGTTACAGACTTGATTCTGTTACCTCTAAGGTATTCCTGATTTGTGGGCCATGGGGCATGGTAGCTTCCAGGGAGCCAAGTTCCCTCTGAATTGTCTTTTTTAAGAGGCCACATGGTGCAGCATAAACACTCCTGTTTCTGGAGTTAGAAGGCCCTGCCTGCAGTTCTTTCTGGTTGTGTGACCTTGGGCAAGGCATTTTATGCTCAGGTTTCTGATCTGTAAAATGGGAATGGGGACATAGATGATACCTAGGATTTCACTGGTACAGGGAACTTGTCAGTGAGGCCATTCCCCCCAGCAGCGAGGGCAGCCCTGGGCAGGAGAGTCACGCGGCTGGCCTGCAGTCCAAGTCTTCCCATCTTTGAGGACAGCTCTTTGTTCATTATTGTACACTTCCTCCAGTAACATTCTCGTTTAGAACAGTGGAATAATGAGGCTTCTGCTAGTGTGAGCGCTGCCGGGTGTGAGCTGTGGTGGGCAGCATGTGGTTCTTGTCCTTGTCTGGCCGCCCCCCAGCTGCTGCAGAGCCCAGTGGGATTCAGACTCATGGGTGGCATCTCCCTGAAGAGCCGCCTTTTATTTTAGTGGAGCAGCTGTGCCTTTCACGTATAAGGAGGGAAGCCTGCTTGAAGCTTTTATGTCAAGATAATCTTCAGATCAGAAGAGTATCGAGAGATAATGTTGTAACTTTCACTTGTCTTTTCAGGAAATAGATACTGTGAAACTGGCAGCGCACTTTGGGAAACTTTGCACAGTCCCCTTGGACAGCATTCTTGTAGACAATGTTGCACTACAATTTTTCATGGGTAAGTGCTTAAAGAAGCAGAAACTGCACCCCAGCTTCTTCATGTTGCCCGCAAAAACTCGTTGAGCTTGTCTCCCATTTTTCAGGATCAAATTCTCAAATCCTTGCTGATGTTGGAGCTCAGCACATTTATGAAATCATGTCAACCTTAGAGATGCTGCAAGTGCTCCGTTTCCATCGGTGTCAGGAGGTTCCTTGACCCAGTACAGATTGAGGACTTTCTTGCCACTCGAGGCACTCTGATGCAGCACTGGAAGCACAGTCTTCCTTCGTCCCAGGCTCACTTTCTGTCCACGTTGAGCATGGGATCTTCATGTTCAAAGCGTTAGGACTGTGGAGACAAGCTTCTCAACACCACTTTTAGCAATGCTATGTTGTGAAGATGTCAGATTTTAAAAACAAATAAAAATTACTTTATAGGTCTTAATTGAAATCCCAGTATTATACAGTGGCTGGTCCTTAAAGGACACCATCTCTCTTGATACCATATTCTCCTGAGCATTTCCTTACTGTTCCTGTAAATGCTGAGTTCTGCTGCATTAGTCATGAGGCAGCCAGTGGATGGTGTAGCCTGCCCGCTCCATTGGAGTGTGACCCTGAGGACAGTCTCATGCCCCCACATGGCAGGTAGGGGCCAGCATGTACATCTGTTCAAAGGGCCACCACCTCTGGGGGGTGGAGAAGAGGCCCTCATAGAGATTCTGAACAGATTCTTTTTTTTTAAGAGTCCTCTTATGTTCCTCCATTTTCAATTTCCTGTGGCTTTTGGTGGGACGATATGCCAAATAAATGATTTTACGTCACGTCAGAGTTAACGAGCCTGGGACTTTTGCCTGTTAGATTACATGCAGCAGACCGGAGGTCAGGCTCATCTCTTCTTCTGGATGACAGTGGAAGGGTACCGGGTCACAGCCCAGCAGCAGCTGGAGGTGCTTCTGAGCCGCCAGCGAGACGGGAGACAGCAGAGCAGCCAGACGAAAGGCCTCCTGAGAGCCGCTGCGGTTGGCATTTATGAGCAGTACCTGTCAGAAAAGGTAGAGACGAGCTCCAGCTTCATTGTTACTTTATTCTTTGCCACGAATGGAGAAGGCCAATCTTTCTCTTGTCATCAGGGACTGGCTAATTTCATTTGGGAGTAGTTCTAGGCAGTTGGAGTTTTCTTAAGAAAATATCATCAAAGAGATTTTAATTTATTCAGATTGGAATATTTGTTGATTCTTTAACACAGTATCGAAAACCTGTACTCTTAGTAAATACGGTGTTTGTACTCAAATGCTCTCCTCTTTTTGTCTATTCAAGGCTTGATTTTAGTGTTCAAAAGTATGTATTTTTAATTCATAATCTTTTAAAGAAATTCTTGAATTTTCTCAATTTCTGCAAATGTTGATTCAGCTGGAAACGTGAATGGTCTTAAGTTATGATATTTAGGAATGATTTTAATCAGAATTCCCATTCTCTTTTATAAGGGACTAATTTAGAGAGAAATAGAATAATGGACTGGTTTTTTTGTTTTGTTTTGTTTTTGTTTTTTTGCTTGAGCCAGTAGCAGTGAAAGTTTTTCCATAAAGGGAGAAATAACATGACTTCATTTCCTTAACTCCTCTTTCAAGTACTGTGTTTTCCATATCATTGAAGCCTTTTGACCTAAGTTTGAGGTTGCTGTGAAACTGGGTGTGGATCATTATCATAGCGCATGGCCCAGATGAGGGCCTGGGCCAGACCCCTGACCCAGTATGCATCTCTAAGGTGCGCTCAGGCTGAGGCTGACGATGTCCTCTCAGGATGGCCAGGTTTGCACTGTGTGGCCACGTCTTGCTGTCTCAGAACTCCACTGGTTATCCCTTATTCTTGAAAGGAGACTAGCCCAGCATTTTTCCTGCTCCTGTGTTTCTTTGGTGATATCTTTCCACCAGTGCTGCAGAATCCTTTCTTGTTTATCGTGTGTGGCAGTCTGCTCCCATACACCCACACACTGGGCAGCTTACCTTCATCTGAGGTCTTCAGGTACAGCCCGAGGAGAATTTTGGTATCAAAAACATGAGATACTGTTTCAAGTAAAAGTTTGGGGTCACAACAGTAACTTTACATGGTTTCCTGAAGGCGATCCATACTGCCCTCCTCCTGCCGTTCAGCTCCGGACCCAGCTTATAGCTACTCCAGATATATCGATTGATGGATGAACTTGACACATTGCCTGGCCACTTTTACGTGAGGGTGTAAACAGCAGCCTTTCTTTTGTCCAGCGCGTTGTGTCCAGAGCGGGTCCTGAGAGTGACTCAGGAGTTCCCACAGGGTCATCTAGGGGACCTCAACACCCCTTGGGATAATCCCCCTTTTGTTATTTTGTCCTCAGAACACCTTGTGCAGAGAGCTTTTGATGCTCTCAGCATGGCCCTCGTGGTCTTCTTCAGCTGCTCTCCTCAATTCTGTTGTTGCTGAAGCTTTCAGTTTCCTCAAGAGCCAAAGGCACGGCTGGTGATCAATCATAGCAGGAATGATAACAGTAATAATAATCGTAGCTGCTTTTATGTAGCACAGTTCATTCTTGGCTTAGAGCCCAATGTGGTGGTTTCACTGTCCTTAATGGTGAGAGAGACTTTGTGATAAAAACCTGGGTAGATCTTTTCTGTTTTTCTTCTGATGTCATCTGAAAATTGGTCCTTACATGGGAAGGACTGAGGGTTAAGATTACCTCCTAGGGCCAAGCTGCGCTGTTTCCTTTTTGGTCTATGAGGCACAGAAAATAAAGGTAGTAGCATGAAAATTTTTATTTTGAAGTAAAATCATAATCTTTTTGCATCAGTTGATTTTCCTGGTCTTTCTAGCGTTGAATGAGCTTGCCATAAGTGTTTGGGTTGTCGGTTTCTTGGGGAGGAGTAAGAACAGGGGCCTCTTTGGTTGTTGGCATGTGAACTTCAAGCAAAGCCACGTGGCCCCATCAGGGTACTTGGTTTAGATATCCTTGATGAGAACTCCCTTCCTGGGCCGTCCTGAGCTGTGGGCTGTCTGTTCTGTTTCCAACAGGCGTCGCCGAGAGTCCACATCGATGACTACTTGGTGGCCAAGTTAGCGGACACGCTGAACCACGAGGATCCGACGCCTGAGATTTTTGATGACATCCAAAAGAAGGTACTGCCGACCAACTGGAATCTTTTTGTGTAGAAGGGACAGGCATTTCATTTCTTTTGTTTGGCGTTCCTTGGCTTTTCTGGGGTTTCAACAGGAAAACAAGGCAGTTCAGTCCAGGGATTCCACGGCTTCTGAAAAGCTGCCTGTGGGATGTATTTAATTCATTATTTTCACTCTGGGACTGGGCAGGAGTGCTACATTGTGACATATCCTTGTGGTCAGCTTTCTGAGCCGTCTACTTCAGTGCTGCCTTTCAGTAAGGAATGTTGGTATCAAGTGCTTTGGCCTGTCTTTGGGGACAGAGACTGACTGGCTTGTTTGCTGCTGGGTTTTTTGGACTCATCAGTTAATAACATTCATTTCCTACCTCACTTTTCGCGACATGTGTGACGAGATTGATTTTTCAAATTTTCATTTGATTATTGAAAAACATTTCACTACTGGATCTTATGGAGAAAATTGTCTTATATGTTAGGCACTTCCATACAATAATTACTTGTTTTCCAGAAAGTGATTGAAACCTTCAGGAATTCTGAGTGTAAAAGAAAAGTTTCATAAATACATGGCAGCTACAAAATGAGACATCTCCCATCCCTCTTCTTTCTTCTTTTCTTCTTTTATGAATAGAATTCTGCACATTTTGAATGTTAAGATGAATGTATTCTTGTAGTAACGAGAGTGAATTAGCCTTGAGTGGGGCCAGCGTTCAGCCTTGCTCAGGCTGCAGCCTAGTGATGACTGGTGTCCAGGAGCAGAACGTCAGCCCGGGTCCCGGCCTTCTCGTTGGGATGTTGCACTTCCTGGTTTTTGCTTCTTGATGACACCACTGTCCTCATGTCATAACACAACCTGTTTCAAGCAGGACTTTGACGTCACGCAAGCAGTTTCATTACCAGAGTACCAGTCAGCAAGCACTTTTACTAAGCACCTGTGAGGTGCCAGGCAGGCACCATGTGTGCCCGGGTGCTGGGGCTTCCTTCCATTCCGTGAGGGTACGGCGTGTGCTTGGCTCCTACTCTCCAGAGGGTTTGGGAAAGGCCCATGGAGAGATGGTGCTTGGGTGGAGCCTTGAAGGAATTTCTGCCCTCTTAGGGGCCTGGTGAGGAGGGAGAGATGGCAAATGGAATGTCATGGTCAGCTACAACAGGAAGGCCAGTTTGGCTGGGTAGGGCAGTAATTAAAGGGCTTTACAAATGTTGTCTCATTCGGTCCTCACAACAGCCCCGGGGGGTGCTGATATTATCCTCATGTTACAGATGAGGAAACTCAGGCAAACAGAGGGAAAGAGATGTGCCCTGGGTCACCCAGCTAGTCATGTCTGAGACTGGATTTGAACTGGGGTCTTCCTGACTCCAGGCCCAGTGCTCTGTGAAGCGTGGTGCCCCCTAGCTTCATGGCCTGGAAGTGTCAGAATGGATTCCTTCTAACCTGGATAAAATAACATCTCACTTCAGACAGCCTGTCTTGTGGAACAGGAAGCTGCCTTTAGAGCAAGTAACCTTTCTCATCTCTTAGCGACGTTCACTAATGGTGCTGTTTCATCTTCCTCCAAGGTGTATGACCTGATGCTGAGAGATGAGAGATTTTACCCGTCCTTTAAGCAGAACGTTCTCTATGTGCGCATGCTGGCCGAGCTGGACATGTTAAAGGACCCTAGCTTCAGAGGCTCTGATGATGGGGATGGAGGTAAGGCATACCCATTCTCGTTACAATTACTAGTGAAAGTACAGCCTTTTAGACAATCCATTCTTTAAAACTGAAATAGGGCGACATATGTATGTATTACATTAAAATGTCAACATTTTGTAAACTGTTGGACCCTAGGAGCTCTTCAGGTGTGATCCTTGGGCTCTTGAAATGAGACTGTTTGGCATCATTGGGGTGGAATCTCCTCAGACATTTGACTTGCTGCATTTTTTTTTCTTGCCCCTGATAACAGATTTAGGAGTTAAATTAGATAGTCTCTAAGCTCCTTTGTAGCTTATAATTTTAAGTTATATTTTCAACTCATATCTAACTATACGCTCCAGTGCAGAGGTCCTCTAGTCTGTGTGCTCATTTTATAGATGAAGAAAGTAGGGCCCAGAGAGGACATAGAGCTGCTTTGGGGTACAGCCAAAGTGAGGTTCCAGGTCTCCCGACTCTCCTTTTTTCTAAATCTTTTTGGACATTTAATGATGATAACTATTGGCCCCATTGCAGCGTGGTGCACAAATTACCTGTGACGTCTGTTGGTAGGTTGACTTCCTGTGGAGGGCAGAATCTTTCCTGAAATGACAGGACTTCATTTAGTCTTCACTGTGGGGGAAAGGAAATGGCAGCGCTTCTTCCTCGAGCCGGGTGGGGAGGGCATAAGACATTTCCCCTGAGTAGAGTGCTGGAGTTGGACAAAGGTAGAAACCAGGGGAGGCCATTGGGTGGTGGCCCTTCTTAATGAACGTGGGAGAGAGCAGGGCTGAGGGTCTGGAAGTGAAGCCCCTTGGCTGGCTTGGTTCAGTCCCTCGATACAAGGCTCCAGGGGCTCCAGGATTCAGTGGAGATTTGGTAAGAAAGGGGAGCATTCCTCACCTTCCCGACATCCTCATCTGCCATTGACAGACCCCAGGTGCCAGGAGTTTCCGACCTGGGGATGACAGAGAAAGTCAAACCTTGGCCTTTGATTTCCAGGAGCCTTTCTGGATGAGCATGTGTGCACACATCAAGTGGGTGTCATCGTCTGATTAAGTGCCAACATCAACTGTGCAGAGAATAGGTGCTCTAGACATTCAGAAAAGGGATAAATGTCTGTGTTTGTCCTTGTGAAGCCTGCAGGACGCATTGGAGCTGGACTCTCTTGGTTCAGTTCAGTCAGCATTTGTTAAGCACTTACTATGTGCCAGTGCCTAGGGGTACTAATAAGAAGAAGAATGGCAGTCCCTGACGTCCAGGAGCTTACATCCTGATGGGAAAGACCGTATACTCAAGGAGGTGGAAGGGTAGGGTGGGGGTGGGACACTAAGGCATCACGTTCTGTGGAGTGGAAACCAAGCGGAGCCACTGATGGCTCTGGATGATGGAGAGCTTCTGAGCCCTCAGTAAAGAACGTTTGTTAAGCACCTACTGTGTGCCGCACACTGTGCTTTGCCAGCTCTGAGGCCCTTCTGGCGCCATTTTCGCAAGGACCCAGACTGGCTTTTCCTCAGTCACACGTCGACTGACTCTTGACTTCTCTTCCTTCTCCTTGTTCCTCTGCCCTATGGTAGCTAACCTCTCCCTGCACTCCGCCTTCTCTATAGGTGTTATCCTCCCCTGTTACGAGGTAGACTCCCTGAGGCTAAAGACTTGGTTGTTTATTTGTGTTTTCCCAGACCTTAGCACAGGGCCTGGCACATAACAAATGCTCACCCTTCCTTGCCTCTTCCCACTGTCTCTCCCGTCTATTTATCCATTTATCCATCCCGCTTCTTTCTATCCATCCAGAGACATGAGACCGGTACGCCCAGAGTATTATCTTAACAGATGACCCAGCGCGTGTCAAAGATGGCCGAATGCTTCCTGCATTGCTGGAGGCTCCTCACTCTGATAGATGAGGGAATTGGGCCTCAGAGAGACTGAGTGACTTGTCTGTAGTCATGCCATTAGTGATGTTAGAGTCAGGATTTGAATCTGTGTTTTCCTGACCCCCAGTCCAAAACGCTTTCCAGTCAGTACACCTTATTACCTCCATTTTTGGCCTAGAATCAGCGATGCCAGTGATTCAGGGGGGCAGGTGACAATGGTGGGCACCGAAAGGGAGGTTTAGGTGTGGGAAACATTTTCAGTTAGTGAGGACCTAAAATTAGAGAGAATTCAGCCTGAAAGACCATTGAGATTAATGCCCCCATTTTACAGATGGAGGAGCTGTGGCTCAGGAACTCTTGTTAGCCATCAGTCCAGCCGAGGGCTTCTTCCAGGCCAGGGTCATCTGCAGTGTCTGGTTACTGGTTGTAAACTAGAGTAGTGATGTTTCTTTCCAGGGAGTTAGATGAGGTACCTGGGAAAGGGAAAAGAGTGATGAGTTGGCGTGGTTTTCAGTGTTTTTTTAAGAGAGGCAGGTCTCCCTCGGTCGTGGAGAAAGGGCAGGAGGGTCTGTGCTACATCCTGGAAGGGCGTGTGGGCCTCGTGCAGCTCTGGAACACTGTTCTGGAGCTGTTGCTGACCTGTCGGCGTGGAGCTACTTTACACTGAATCCTCTACACAGATGCAATAATGGGTCTGGACCAAAAAAATTGATTAGCCCGGAGATCCAAGAGAAATAGTGTGAACAGCTGGAGATGAGGAACTCAGAACTTGGGTGGAAGAAGAGGGTGCCATCCATGAAGAAGTAGTCATTTGAAGTTGTAAGAAAGGTCTGAGAAAGAGCGAAGGGCATGTCTGGTTGTTAGGGGCTTGGGAGGCCTTTCTGAGGAGAGCCAGGGTGCAGTTGTGGACACAGAAGCCATGGCAGGGACGGTGTGGTCGTGGAACTGTAGACTTCAACTCTCATTTTGTCAATGAGAGAGGGTGCGAGGGGCTGAGACAGGTCTCCAGAATCCCTTGGCCCTGCCTTGACCCCTTGAGAAGGCACATCTGTAGGGCCACTCATTAGGGAAAAGGAACTTGAAAAGAAGTAGTGGACTTTTTTTTTTCCATACTATCTGTTACTTTGAAGATTCAGACATGTATATCACTCAATATTTTAAATCCAGAAAAGCTTAAAAGGAAAAAAACATTCAAATTATTAAAGATTTAGGATTTAAAATTGGAGGTGTTCAATATGCCTATTTTAGTTGCAGAAACCTCTATATCTGGTTCTTTTTTTCTGGCTAAATAAACATACTCTGTAATTTCCGCAAAGGTGATCAGAGCAAAGAATTTTCTTAAAAGTTGTCCAGCCCTGAGCCGCGAAGCTAGGATCATGCCAGTGACTGTCTGCCCCTGCTGGTGTCTGTGGCCTCCCCTTGGCGACCTGGCTATTGTGTGCCACACCAGATTTTTTCTCCTGACTTATCGTTCATCAGCAGTATTGTTGGAAATGGATTTTCTTGATCTAAAATTCACTTATTTTTAGAGTGCTTTTGAGTCCCAAATTAACATGACCCCCATTTTCCCAGTGTGAAAACAGCTTTGCCCTCATGCCAAGTGGTGCTGATGTGCTTGAGCTGGCATTTTCTTTGTGCTGTTTGAGGAGAGAATCAGCTTTACTGTCTGGAGAAGGAGGATCTTTATGGGGTAGGGGAACCGCAGTAAGCTTTGGGAAAGGAATCATTCCAGATATGGTTGGTAGTAAATCTACCCTGGTTGGAGTTCACCCTTTATTTAGTGCCCACAAAAGTGTATGGTCCTTGTTGGCTCAGGCTGCTTCTCATCTCCATGGAGGGACACTGAGAAGAGCCTTTCTGTCTGTCTGTCTGTCTGTCTGAGCACACGGCCCTGTGGCTGGCACCTGAAGGTGCTTCAGCAGGACTGATTGATCTTAAACCTTGAGCATCGGCACACTCTCACACACACACACACTCTCTCACACACTCACACACACACATACACACACTCACACTCACACACACGCTCACATACATACATAACTGTAACTGGGGTTTTCTACCTGATGCTCTAGACAACTTTCTTAAGGTTTCTGGTTTGGATTCTTCAGTCTCATGAATGAACCCCGAGCTTGGTCTTGCTAGGTTTCCATATTGCAAGGGGACGAATGAGCAGAGCACCTGCCCAGGGCTCACTGGCTCTAAGCTGGGAGCTGCCCGGCAGCACCTTTGATATTCGTCTTTGTTTTGGTTTTTGTGGTGCTCTTGTCAGGCCATTTCTCAAACAGTGAAATACCCTGCACAGTAGCCCATGTAATCCCACCACTGGTTGTATGGCCATGGGTCCATGTCTGTCTGGGAGAGCAGGACTCACCAGGCAGGGAGATGCACAGGGTACACGGGGCTAGAGAGAAAATGTTGGCTCTGCTGTAGGACATTCGCTTTAAAGGGAACACCCCAAGAATCTCATCGGCCTGGCCCTTCAGGAGGTGGGATAGACCCCTGGAAAGCCGCAGCTACATGATTTCTAAAACATTCTGTTATCGGGGCTTGTCTCTCCTTTATGAGGAGGGAAGAGGATATTCTGTTAATTTGTCTATCCGAGTAGACTTGAATTCTGATTTTGCCTTATCACTGATTTATTCTAAAGCTTTGGGCTTTTAATTGGCAGCTCAAATTCTGCCTTTCCTGGAGTACTTTTCATAAAGTTCTTGAAAAACACAATGTAAGGCTATGTGGAGTAGTGGGGAAACTCCTGGCCCCAGATCCAGGAAGCCTTGAACACCAGTGTCATCTCTGACACAGACTGGCAGATCTCTTCTCTCTGTGCTTGAGAGCGGAGAGGTCTAAGGTGCAGCCTGCAGCTCCCAAGGTTTAGCCTGGACCAGATCAGAATATCATTGGGAAACATTTAATGAAATAAATAAAAATGCAGTAAAACATAGATAATATTAAATTTTAAAACTGTCAGCGTGCATCCACAGGTATCTTTACCTATAGGTCAGTGGCCCCCCATTCCTGCCCCTGCCAGCTGTCTGACGCTTGCCATGGCACAGAAGGGGCCAGTCTGTGTCAGGAAGAGGAGTTTCCTTCTCTGAGCACTTCCTGTACGAGTGAGGTCACGGGTACCCTGTACTTGCACAGTGTAATTCAGAGTAGAGGATGTTTAAAATGCCCTTCCTGAGTTCCTGTGAAATCAAAATTTGAAGCCTTTCACCATTCGTATCTAACATTGGATATATTCGAGAAAATAAAATATTTGATGCCAGTTTTAAGAAAAGCGACTGTTAATTATTAGGAATCCAAGAAAGAATAAACATGATTGTTGGATCCCACAATAATCACAGTAGCTAGTGCTTTAAGGTTTTCAAAGTGTTTTACAAATATTATTTCATTAGATCCTCATAATAACCCTGGGAAATAAGTGCTGTTATTATCCCAGTTTTACAGGTGAGGACACTGAGGTAGGTAAAAGTTAAGTAACTTGGCCAGGGTCCCACAGCTAGTAAATGTCTAGGGCTGCAATTGAACTCAGGTTTTCCTGACTCCAGGCCCAGTACTCTAAGCACTGTGCTACCTTGCTGCCTCTATCTCATGAAGTTTAACCCTCCAGAATGCTTATTTTGATCCCACAATGGCATTTATTGATATATTTTTAGGTTAATATATAATTCTGATTGGAAAGGGGTAAAGCAGTCATATGCGAAATGGGAGTGGAGTTGAACTCTGAGGATGATGGCCAGAGGCGTAGCTGTTTACCCTCCAGCCAGTTGGCCTGCCTCTACCTAATAAAAGTAGTTTATGAGTCAAAGTCAACCACTTTAAACCAGGCATTACTTGAAATACGGAAGCCTATTGGTCATGGGTCTGGTTTCAAGGGAACTGTGACTACTTCTGCCATAGAGGCAGCAGTTGGGCCTTTCCGCCCAGGTCAGGGCCATTTGGGGCTGGCTAATCGAGGGCAGCTTAAGGTGTTTTCAGCTGTATGATTTCATAATTTTTGTCCTACGTTAAGCAGTTGAATGTGGCCCTTTGAAAACTGTGTGTGTCGTAAAAATCACGAAGGTACAAGAGTGTCACTGGTCACGTTGGCCCAAAGTTCTAGTCATTACCTCATCAGTCCATTGGCCTTGGGAGTGGGAGTCTGGCTGCTGGCCATTGCACAGGCTTGGGGGAGACTCTGAACTTTCTTTCTGTTGGCTTCTTTGCAATGGTCATTGTTGTACGCTTTGTAAGCTTATTTTTCAGGAATTTTACACTGGCCTTCCTAGCATCCTTTGTCCCTTGTTTTGCATGTAGATACTTTAAAAGATATGTTAAGCCAGTCTAGAAATCAGTGAGGAGGACAAAAAGCCTTCTGTATGAGAGGTGTGAAGCCCCACCCCCCCTTACATTCTCTGTCTGGACATGTGCCGTGCCCTCTGCCATCTGCTTCAGCTGAGGCGGTGAAATTAGGACTATTTGGGGTAGTCCCCAGTAATGGGGATTTTCCTTTTGGAGCCTCTTCTTTCGTCCTTGGGTCTGTCTGGTTGGAAAAGAGATGACTTGAAAGGGGTTTTGAGCTCCCTAAGTTTTCTTTCCCTTGGTTTCATTGAATTTTAGCTTTTTCTGTTCCTTCTTTCCACATGAAACAAGTCCCTTTTTGGCTTCATCTTGGTGGAGATTTAGCACCTTCTGGATTAACTTTGGACCAGTCTAGACACTGCTTGCATGAACACAAACTGTTTTTATTGTCCTTGGCTCTTATTTCTGGGGTTTGGGTCAGAAGCTTAATTTATACTTCATAGGCTTCTGAAGCAACCTGCAATAACTCTGCCTGCTCTTTTGAAAGTATTTTTTTTTTTAAAAACAAGGAGTCAAAACCACTTGAATCCTGAACTGTACAATTGCTTTGTGTTGGAAGCATTAAATGAACTAAGAAATGAGCTTCTCTGTTATGAGGCCCCAGGTGAAACTTTTTTGCATTGTTTTCACTAACAGAAATATTAGGAAGAGGAAACCATGAGGAGAAAGTCCCGAGGAAATGACCCAACCCCAAAGTTTAGGAGCTGTGGAGACAAGAAGGGGCTAGAGATTTGGGGTCTCTGCTACCTCTCTAGGAGGGAAGGAATCACTCTGATGACCTTTCTGTTTTGTGGAAATAGTGACCTTCCTACCTAAGGGAGAAGAAGAGAAAGGCTGGAGTGGGGAAAGGGATTTTAACTGTTAGGAGGGTGTTCCTCTGCTGGACACTTAGCAGGGCTTTTATGGGGAACGTGGGAATTGTGGGGATCTGGAAGGGCTTCATGTGGGAGGTGCAATCTTTCTGCCTTCTAGATTAGAGACCAGTCCCTGTTCTTGCCCAGTCACGGGGGTTATTGGTCATTTTTCTTAACCTGATGATGCCCCAGTGCCAGAATGTAGCAGCAATAGCCTTCCTTCAGCATGACCTTTCCCTCCTGCCTGCCCTCGACTGAGCCTCCATCACAGTCTGAGCACCGCCCAGACACCCTGCTCTTTGCTCTCTGCACTTGCACACACATTCTCTTTGAAATGTTGGGTCAGGAGGCCTCAGAAACCGAAAGATTTAGAGTTTGAGTGTTTGCCATAAATGCATTTTTCTTTAATATTGTGTCATATTTCAGCTGATGTGAATTTTATGCCTGACACATGAACTTTAGATGAAACCACTGTTTAGAAAGCATTGTCTGCATTCTAATTAGAGGCATATTTTTTTTTTCCCCACAGAATCTTTTAATAGGTCCCCTACAGGGAGCATAAATTTGGTAAGTGTGATGGGTCCTTTAAATATCATAGTAGCCTTAAAAGTTTTAATGAAAGTTTTAGAAAAATATATCATTTTGTTCTATGTGATCAAATGGTCTGCCTCAAATCCTTCTTTATTATATTAAATGATTATTAAATTTTTGAAAAATTTTAGTCTTTGTGAATTACAAATCAAAATGAGTGAGTGAATGAATGAATGAAAGAAAAAGAATTTCGTAAGTGCTTACTCAGTGCCAAATGCTGGGGGTACATATACAAAAAACAAAGTCTCTGCCTTCATAAACCTTAGATTCCAACGTAGGAGACACCAAACAACAGGGAATGGTGCCCAGGAGGGCATTTGATCTGGAGAGTTTAGGGAGAGTGATAGTAAGGCCAGACCTTACCTGGGATCAGTGGCAGAGTTGACTTGATCTTGGTTTATTGTTCCAGAATGACGGGAGGTGGAATGAGAGGAAGGGAAGAGAAAGGTCCTTGAGAGTGGGCAAAGTGGTTTGTGAGGCTAGCAAGGAGATGCTGAAAGAGGCAGTAGTGAAATGAAGCAGGGTGGGAGCTTTTACCATGAGCAGGATCTAATTTTGAATGGATGTCTCTAAAACCTGAGGGCATTGATTTGCTTTGTGTAAAGAATTCCAGTTTCTGTTCTTTTTGAGTGTGTTCTATCAAGCTTTCTCCATTCAGTCAGAGCACCAGACTGGGTGCTGAGGTCAGTGCTCTGCTGGGTGTGAATGCATGAGAATGATTTCCTAGGATTAGAGGATCTTTGATCTAGGGCTGGCAGGGGCCTCAGGGCCCAGCCAGGCCAACCCTTTATGTTAAGAGAGAAGGGACATGGCCATCTCGGCCAGCATCCATCCCCCAACTAGTAAGCATCAGGGTGGGTCTCGAGCCCTGCTCTTCTTTCTGTGTCCAGACTTACTGCTCTTTCACCATGGAAATGGATGCTGAGCTAAATTTGCTTTTGCATTAAAAGTGTTTTTTTTTCCTTTAAGAAAATGAGTTTGCTTTCATTGAAGGTACTTCCTTTCTGTCTCATAAAATATTTTAATCTTTAGTTCTTTTTCATAAGCAGTCATGGCCATTTTTACATGTTCATCTTCAAATGTGAAATCATGACTATTTAACTGCTCTGGGTGGTTTAGGGCTGTATGTAGCAAATGTTAAAGCCCCTCTCTACCAGGAACTAATTTTCTCAATAATACATTTTCTAGAAAAATGGCAGTTGGCAGTCAGTACCTCCTTGGTGTTCCTGCTCACGTTGCAGCCTTGTGTAGATGGTCTTGTCGGCACTGAGTCATTTCAGTAAAGAGACTGGTGCTCACCCTCTCCCTCTGTGCCCATCCTTCCCTTCTTTGGTTTCTGACTCAGCAGAACTAGCTGATATTACCACTTATTTTAGCTTTGTCTTATGCAGAGTTTAAGGTTCTCTCTTGGTGGAGGGGTTGATTTCTGCAACTTGCGTGGTGTTTTTCCTGACTTCTGGTATGTAGCCATCACCCTGATGCTCGTCACACTTCCAACCCTGCTTTTTAAAGGGGAATAACCCCCAATACATAGAAGTGTTTGAGAAGATAGGCAGGAGGCTAAGGAAAGGGTTTCCAAACCCAGAAGAATGTTTTGCACTGCCTCACTTCATCTTCTTTGCTCTTCCAGCTGGTCCTATGGGTGCAGGTGTTGGAGCTTTTTCTGGCTTTGCTCCAAGTCTGAAATAACTTTGTCCTCAAGTGATATAGCTCCTTCCAGACCCCGTTTATGCACAGCCCCACAGTCTACACATGGGAGCAAGGCCTCCGGTGGGGACTAGGCCTTAGGGACTTGGCGTGTTTGTGAGTCTTTTTAGTGGAACAGGCTCATGGCTTTGTGGTCCCTACTCTGGAATTTTAGTAGTTGTATATTCTTGCCCATAATTACAGTTTTCACCTTTGCTTATATATATTACATATGTTTCAAATGGAGAATGGTCCCATATGTCCAACAAAACAGATAAAAATCCCAACATTCCACGGCGTGTTTGTTGACCATTCAACAAAAGGCTGGCTAGCAGTCAATCTCACTGGATCTGAGCATTTGCCTGAGTGAAATTTTCCATTCCAAACTTGAATTTTTAGGTTTTTTGGCATAGTTGTAAAGAGACCTTTTATTTGGCAGCTGGGAATAGGAGAGCCTTCTTGAATTGTTATCTTAGTTGCCTAAAGGCAAAGAGAAAGAGATTTGTTGGGTGGGTCTCCCATCTGCATTGTCTGATTCCATTGTAATCCTACCAGTCATTTTATTGTGGCTTAATTGCAATATCTACAATTTAATGACCAGATATTTGCATGCAAATTTAAAAACCACTTTAAAACTTTCTATTGACATTTTGTTTTTGTATCCCCCAATTTTTTCCTATGGGCCTCCCAAAAGCCTCTTATAACAGAAAATTCTTAAAAAAAAAATAAAAAGAGAAGGGGGGGACAGTCATCAAAAACCCTACTTTTTATCATATTGTTGATTTAAGGAATATATAGAGCTTATGTTTAATATCCAGCATATTGCTTTAACAACTTCTTAGTACCATGGCCTAGGCTGTTAGACGTTATTGCTGAGAGGAAGGATGATCTTCAAGAGACATTTAAAATTTTCCTTTTTCCTTTGCTGGTAATTTATGGGATGGGAAGAGATGTATAGTAAAACATGATGTTAGTTCAGGGGAGGGCATTATTTTCCTTAAAGGTACTGCTTTTTGCATACAGATACTTTTTAAGACAGAAGTTATTTCTATCTTCATTATAGGTCACCTAGTTTGGCTACCTTACATTTATTTTCCATTTTATGCTTCTGAAAACCCTTCTCCCAATATCATAGTTCTGAAAGAGTGTTATGCCCATTTATAGATAGAGAAACTGAGACTTCTTCAGCATCACACAGGGAATCAGTTGTGTGACTTGAGCTAGTGCTAGGTCTTTGAACCCTAAGACTGTCTATTCTTTTCTCTTACTCCAGGAGTTCTTAGTAAGAGTCATGTAAAATTATTACATTTGGCTTTATAATAATCAGCCTTCATTAGATGTGTTTTTGCAAAAGATGCTTGTCTCAGAGTCACAGGGCCATTTTGTTTTTAACCCATGCTCTTAAGCTTGCCCAGGCCTGCATGTCAGGGACTAGAAGTCTCTCTCCTTCCAGTGATGCTGACAGTGCCATGTTAAATTTCTGACATGCTTTCACACTTTGGAGATTGAAAGTGGCCAAAATTGTGACTGTTTGTGTAATTTCTGCCAATACCTCTTTGTTTCTTCTCTGAATAAATAACCTCCAAAGCAGGTGGGGGAATTACTATTGCATTTTTAAAAATTGCCATTCTTTTCTCAAATTCTGTTCTCAAATTTTTCTCTGTCAAAAATCTTAATGAGAATTTCCCCGTTAAAGAGAATTTTATAGCTATTTCCATATTACAAACATAAGGCTATGCCCATTCGCAGGTCCTCTCTTTTTTTTCCCCTCACCTCTTCATTTTGAAGATTTTCTCATAATGTGTGGGACAGAGTTGAGAGGCAGTGTGCTCAGCTGTCCAGAGCCTGGAAGAAAGAGTTTGTAAGAATGTTAGAGCTCTGTCACCGGGAAGGTTCTGTGGCCTCGCAGGCCTGAAATGCTCTCCTCCTTTTCTCTTCTTCTTGGCCTCCCCAGCTTCTTTCATGGCATCTTCTGCAGCTCCTCCGAATTCCCTACCTTTCCTAGCCTAGAGAACTTCAGCTTAGACTCTATATGGAGCTTGTCTGCACATAGTTGTTTGCATGTTGTCTCTCCCATTCTGCTCCCTGAGGGCAGAGACTGTCTTCCCTTTGCTTGTATCCCCAACACTTAGCACGGTCCCTCTGGTGCATAGTAGGCACTTTATGAATGTCTGTTGACTGATTTTCCCTTCCCTTCTGAGGTACAGTATCAGAAATCTGCTAGCAAGGTGCTTCAGGTACCAGCATAGACATATTCAGAAGACAAGTAATTGGCAGGTGAGATGTTAGTGGGGACGTGAAGGAAGCCAGGAAGGCGGGGAGGCAGAGCTGAGGAGGAAGAGTGTTGCAGGGGTGGGGACAGTATTTTTATTTAGGCAGAATGCACATCATTAAAACCTATTGTAACTTTTCATGATTATTTTTCCATTTCTTTGAAATCAATGGACCAAAACACTGTTTTAAAAACAACTTATTTTCATTATAAAACTCATAAAGTACTTCAGTGTAATTGTAGCTATTAAACATGGACAGACATAGAGTTCCTGAGTTACACTTCTCAAATTAATTTTAAATTTCTTTTTCTGCAGTCTTTAGACGATCTTTCAAGTGTGTCTTCTGATGACTCGGTACAACTCCATGCTTACATTTCTGATACCGGTAAGAGCTTCTGTATTAGAAATGCCCTTCCCTCCTTCTTTCTCTTTTCCTTGGTATTTTGTATTGATTTTTAAATGATGCTGATTCATTATTCAGAGAATTATACACATACTCATTCTTTTCTTTCCCAAGCCATCAAATGTCTAGCCTTTTGTGTTCAGTATTGTTTTTGAAAGTTCTGCTTAATTCTGCACTCTGTCTTTTGAGAATATTATGCCTAGAAGGTGTGGGCACTTTCCTCAGCTTTCCAAACCTGTTTTTTCAGCATTTGAAGATTAAGTATTCAGACCATGCAGGATGTCCCATTTTTTACCGGTAGAACAAAATGCCATCTCATTTTTCTTCTCCTACCCTTAGTCCAGCAGGCTGTGCATGCATACTTTGAGAGGTCCCAGTCTAGATTGGAGATAAAGGGACCCCTTGTGCGCAGTGGATTGAGGCACTGGTGGGGAGAAGTGGGCATCTCTGCTGGTCAGGGGAGCCAGAGAGGCATGGGAGAGACCGGCAGAGCTATTCTTTGTTTCTTCCAGAGGCATGGGAGAGACCGGCAGAGCTATTCTTTGTTTCTTCCCTCGGCTTTCTAGAACAGCCATATTTTTCACATCACTTTGTGAGATCAAAAAATTTCTGTTCACGTTTTCTCTGAGGCTGTCACTTTAAAAAACATTTGCATGGCATGGCTTTTCCCTCCCAGGCCCTTGAAAGCTTGAAGGGACCTTAAGGAGATCACTCAACCCTTTCATTTCAAGATGAGCAAGCAGAGTCTGAGAAACAGGGTTACACGTGATCCGTGATTCAGGCTTTTGTTCCTTCATGAATGAGTGAAAAAACGTTAAGTGCTCGTTCTGTCCAAAGCCTTGTGCTCGGTGCTGGGGGTGCAGAGGGAGACATGCCCCCAGTGGTGCCTTGTGCATCTGGGGTAGCTGCAGCTACAGGTCACAAGGGAAGGGTCCCAGGGCCCTAGGCGACAGTAGCGCAGAGGTCATGCAGCCTCCTGAATGGCATCCCCACTTGTTTCTGCTGTGGAGCCATTTGACAGACCCAAGGACTTTGGGGCCAAGAAGGTCCTTTTTGGGTCTTCATTCACTGCCTTTGTGGAGGAGGCCCTGGGGCATCGGCACCTGCAAAAGCAGAGGCTGGGCTTCGCCTCCTGCGGCACGGTCAGGCCCTGTTTGGGCAGCTGAGCTAGAAGGAGGTAGCTCAGACTCAGGGAAGCCACACACTGTGCCCATCATGGCTTTCATGTGCTCAGCCCCCCTCCTCCGCGGTCTGTTCACGAGATTGTACTTTGACAGCCTCTTGACTCAGGGTCACTAACGCTGTCCTTATTGCTCAGTTAAGTGGCCAACTTTTAGTCCTTTCTGTCTTTTACCTTTTGGTAGTACTGGTGATACCATTGTCTCAATAGCAGTTTGCCCAGTGCCTGGCACGTAGTAGGTGCTTAATACATCTTTATTGACTGTTGCGCATCCTTTGGTCGCTCTGAGGTGAGCTCATGTCCAGGTTCTTCTCCTTCTCTTACAATCATCCTTCCTCTAGGATCTGAGATGAATCAGGAGCAGGCTCCGAGACTCGGGCCTTCACTTGGCCTTTCTGTCTCTTTGAGAATCTCAGTCAATCTCCTGCTTCGGGAATCTGGGCCCACAGAGGATTTCCAGCTCCGCAGTCCAGCCATGGCATTGTGCTCCAAGCCCACGGCTCCAGCTGCTTCTCCTTTTTAAAAATTTAAAATTTTTTTTTATTTTTAGGCAATTGGAGTTAAGTGACTTGCCCAGGTCACACAGCTAGTAAGTGTCAGGTGTTTGATCTGAGGCCGGATTTGAACTCAGGTACTCCTGACTTCTGGGCCGGTGCTCTATCCACTGCGCCACCTAGCTGCCTCCAACCAGCTGCTTCTCCTTTCTCAGATTTGCTACCCCCCTCAATTGGATACTTTCTCCCTGACTGTCTGGAATTTCTTTCAGGAACCATCGTTTTTTTGTAGTCCTTCGAGCCTTAGTGTTAACTTTTGCTGGCTTTGACGCCTGTCCTGTTTTCACTCCCTGAATCTTGTCATGGAGCCAAAGGTGTTCCTTTGAACTGGTGGCCTTCCCTTCCCTCCGCTTCTCATTGCTCACACCTCACTCCTCATTGCCTCCTTTCTGGACTTCTGCAATAGTGATGTAATTAATTTCCTTCCCTCACACATGCCAGGGGACTTATGGCATTCTGACCATGTCCGGGCTGTACTTGAGAACCCCTGGTGTTTACCTGTTGTTTGTGAGACAACGTCTAAATAGTGAAAGAACTGCAGTCTGCGGGAGGAGCACCCCTCGCTGCGGGACGGCCGCTCAGATCACTGTGCAAAAAGAAGAGACCTTCCGTGCTCTTCCCCGCTGGTCCCAGGCTCCCTTTACAGCTTCTGTTTCTAACACCAACTGTCTCCTTGGGGCGATTCATGCTCCCCTTAGCAGATGACCTGTTTGCTGCTTTCCTCATTCCTCTACAATGGGAGCTTCGAGGCTCAGCTGAAGTGCCCCCAGGCCCAGACTGGCCCAGACTTGCTCAGAACGCCCATAACACAGGGTCGCTGTTAATTCTCCAGCGCTGCGTTCCCATGCCTGGCTGTCGCCTTTGCCCAACTCAGTGTAAACCTTTTGGAGCCAGGTCAGTGATCTGCCATGCTGCTGCCCTGCTGTACGCGTTGTTTGTCCTACTCAGTAAATACGCATTAAGTGAAGAAAGATGCCTGTTGAAGACGGTTCGAGTTTTCTCTTCAGATCAGTCCTCATCTAATAAAGATGAATTTCTTACCAGCTTCTCTATTCTAGTGTAGGCTAATGTTCTCTTATCTATGTTGTGACAATTTTAACTGATTGTCATTCTCTGTGACAATCTGTGCCAGCCTTATCCTCTGCTTGCTAAATAATTTAAAGTCCTGAAGCCCGAATATTGTTTTCCAAATTTCTATACAGATATAATCCAGATATCAGAATGTTAGGTAAGGTCACTCTCGAACCTTAGGTCAGGTTTCCTTTGGTGGAAAGTTCAGTTGCATGTGATCTTCTAATGAGATGAAGACGTTTCTGGAAACATGTTTTCCTAGTGTTCTCCCTAAGTTCATTTCACAAATTGTTCTTTAATTGCAAAGTGATTTTCTTTTTCATTAATATTGTGGAATTTTTCTGCATTTGTTGATCAGTGGAATACTCCCAATTTTGTCATTCTGTTGTCTTGTGCGGAGTTTTGTTTTAGGGGTATGTTCTCCGGAACTTCTGATGTTTTCCACGATTGGTGGATGGTAAGCCATTGGCATAGCACATGAGGAGGCTGGGCACGAGTTCAAGTGCTGCCTCAGTGACCCTGGGCAAGTCACTTTACCTCTGTGTGCCTCAGTTTCCCCACACACAAAGTTTGGGTAATAATAGCACTTCCTCCCCAGGGTGGCTGCGAGGGTCAGATGAGCTTTGACATTACTGTATGGAGGGGGCCTTGAAGTCAGGAGTACCTGAATTCAGATCTGGCCTCAGACCAAACACTTGACACTTACTAGTGTGTGATCCTGGGCAAGTCACTTAACCCTAATTGCCTAAAAACAAAAAACAAACAAAAAAGACATTACTGTATGGACAAGATAAAGTCCCGGAGTGTGTCTGGCTGTGACTGAAATGGGACCCAGGTAGCCTGGTGCTGCTCACCCCGGCGTGGCCGCGGTAGTGGACGCACACAGGCCACCTTGCGGGACAGTGGAGGACCCAGCGACGTGCCGGCACATGTGTGAGGGGAGCGAGCATCTTCTGGCCACGACAGATGATGCCAGGATGGGGGCAGATCAGACCTGGGCAGCCGCAGAGTCTCATCTCCTGGCCCAGGTGATAGAAGGGAAACCAGAAGTGGGTGTGAGCCCGAGCTTTAACTGTGTGGAGATGGACTGGCCTTGGATTGATCAGAGTTTCCTTCATTCTCATGACTTCTTTTTCTGTATTTCTGTGATGAGAAAATTGGAACAAAGCAGAATTTGCAGATCTAAAATGTATCAGTTAATCAGAAGCTAAAATCTTCAGTGAGAAACTACTCTTGATCTTTTTTCTTTCCTTAGCTGCTGACTGTACCACGCTTCCTAACCCCCAAGTAGAGTCTGACTGTACCGTGGATTCTGGGTGGCCATTGCTGCAGTTACAGAGGCCTTAGTTGTTATGAAGAAACTTTAAGAGGGATGAAAGGATGGACCTGCTCAGACAAACAGACATTTTAAATAGATGGGGCCTGACAGGATTGTTTGTTTTTTGTGACACTCTGTGCTTTGGGCCTGGTACCGAACGCTGAAGAGCCACAGCGTAGAGGACAGAGGGCGTGAGGCGTAGAGCACAAGGGGCTCTTACCGGGTCTCCCAGGTGTGTTTGTTAGGGCTCTGTTCTTTCCTCCAGCCGAGAGCCCCTTTGGTCTGTTGGTAGCAGCCATCATCACTTTTAGGGAACATTTTGCGGTCATCACATTTTCTGCTAGGTAGTTACTGAAAGTATTATTGTCTATTCCCATGTTACAGATGAGGAAACTGAGGCCCTGAGTAACTCCAGTGGTCATATCAATGAGCACAGCTGATAAGTGTAGAGTTTATTGTATTTTTCCTTAATTTGAGCATTTTTCTTTACATCCTCTCACCTGCCCTCTCATCCCCCAGATACTCCACCCCCCCCAAAAAAAAAGTTTGGAATAGAATTCCAAAGTTTCAGACCTTTGATTAGTCATTAAGAGGAGGCAGTTTGGTATTTTAGGAGGAACATGGAATTCGGCATTAGGACGTGTTCCCATGTGGCCTTGAGCGTGTCACATAAGGCCTCAACTTCTTTTATATAAAAGGAAGGGGTTGGGCTAGATTCTCTCTGAGGTCCCTTCCAGCTGTGAACGCCGTGGTGACCGTTTGACACAAAGTCTGTAATGAATAATGTTCTTGTCTATTCAGATCACGTTGCCACATCAGGCACCCGTTTAACGTGGTTAGTTTGGGTGCATTTCCTTCTTTGCTTTTTGGAACCCTTGGGGTTTTGCTCTGTGACTGAAGCAATGCTCCCTGCTTTATTTCAGATAAAGTTGTCAGATTATTTGGTGTGAGTGTTGATGTTTCATGTTCAGATTATTCAAGTGGCTGACAAGTGTCACCACATTCAGTTCTCTTAGTTATAAAAACCGATTCAGAGCTCAGTGTACAAATCCAGGACCACGTGACTACTTTGGCTTTTCCAAATGACACATACTCTTGCGGTCCCTTCATGCTGATGCTTCGGTCCTGCTGTTTCCTGAGGCTGGGACTCACATTGAGTTTATGCAGTTCTGTACCAGATGGGTTTCGTCCACCTTACAATTTATAACCAATTTAATAAGCTTCCTGATAACACTTTATATGTGACCAAGTAACATATAATGTTTCTAAGTGTCCCTTTACCTTTTCTACTTGAAAAAAAAATGCAGTCCTGTCTCTTCCTTTTATAATTTTCTTTAGAGTCTCACTCCCTTTTCCTTACCTGTTGATTTCTGTCACAAAACATCTGGCCCTTGATAGCAAGCAGATTTTGAAATTTATCCCACCAGACTTCTCCCCTGCCCCATTGTTCCCATCCCAGGTCTTGCTATAGGAAATCCTGTTTCACAAAACAAGTGATAGGGGGCAGCTAGGTGGCACAGTGGATAGAGCACCAGCCCTAAAATCAGGAGGACCTGAGTTCAAATCCAGCCTCAGACCAAACACTTGACACTTACTAGCTGTGTGACCCTGGGCAAGTCACTTAACCCCATTTGCCTAAAACAAAAAAAAAACAAGTGATAGATGAAATGTGACTTTTCTTGATGGAAAACTTAAAATTATTTAATGTTTTGAAAAATTTAGGATTAGGGTTTAAGATTAAGGGTTGCTAAAAGTTAGAATTATAGCCTCATGTGCTGGAAACCATTTTTATAAGAATTGTTTGACCTTTCTTTAAACTGAGGTGTATAATCATAATAAGAAAAAGCCTTATATTTGAATATAAAGGGTGTGCTATTTAGGTGAAATTTATTGAGAGTGTTTTGGTCACCATAGTCCCTATTTAGTTGTGAAGAGCACAGGTGCTGATGAGCGACATGACTTCATGGGCTGTCCTCCCCCATGGGGGGTGAGATTGTATCAGCTAAATGCAAAGCGTTGTCTTCACCTACTCAGGGTCGTTGTATATCTATAACATTTATAAGTGACAGAATTTTCCAATTTGAAATGTCTTGTGTGCCCAGCACTATGATGAGAATGCAAGTGTGTAGGGAGGCACCCTTAGATAAATAGTTACTCTTAGCCATCATTTAACAGGGTTACTGAAAAAAAAAAAACACACTCAGCCCCGACGACCTACCTGCGCCTCGACGCGCCCCTCCTCTCCAACCCCCCGCCCCGAGCAGGGGCTGCTTCCTCCTGTAGGGTAGGGCAGCGGTCCACCCTGTTGAGTTCCACAGTCATCTGTTGAGGCCGCCTGGTGTTCAGGGATATCCGCAGCATTTTCAGAGGGTTGGGTAGAGCATTTTACGTCTTTGGTTGTCCTCCTTTTGGCTGAAGAGATTGTGTTTGAAAAGCAGTTGGCCGAGCATCTGAGATCCCTTGCGCTAGTGAGTGTAGGACCCCGGAACTTCACAATGATGACGTTTCCTCGGGGTCTCTTAAGGCCATTTCAGTCAGAATCGTGAGCTGGCCGGACGGGCTCCCGGGTCAGCCCTCCTCCTGCAGACAGTAGCCATCGGATGGTAGTTGCTGTCCCGTGAGGAGGTTTGGGCATTCTTTTGATCCTTCACTGACTTCCGTTTGTGTCTCAGTCTCTCATTTCAGACTCTTCCTCATTTCATGTTGTCTTTTTTTGTCCTTTCGTTTTCCTCTTTCGTGTGTTTTGTTTCTCCTTTTGTTCTAAATGACTAGTCTGTGCTGACTGTGACCCCTATGCTGTGGCAGGCGTGTGTAATGACCATGGCAAGACGTACGCCTTGTACGCCATCACTGTGCACCGGCGCGGCCCCAACAGTGACGAGATCTGGAAGACCTATCGCCGTTACAGCGACTTCCATGACTTCCACATGCGGATCACGGAGCAGGTACGGAGTCGTGTTTGTGTGTCTGTTTATTATTCTTGACGGCAGTGAGTACTGGTTCCTTGGGAGCGAGTGTCCGTGTGTGTGTGTGTGTGTGTGTGTGTGTGTGTGTGTGCGTGCATGTGCTGGAGGACAGTGGTGGCCAAAGTGGATGCCACCCATGTGACCAGGCCGGTCAGCCTCTCAGGCCTTGTCTTCTCCATCTCTGAGTGAGGGGTTTGCATGGCCCTGTCTCTGAGGTCGTTGTCTGAGAGCCTCTGAGCAAGCCCTTTTAACTCTCAGAGCACTCAGCCTCAAATGATCTAGGTCTCTGCATTTTTAACAAGGAACTTTTTAATGATAATTAACAGACAGGCTGGTATCATACATGTGTCAATTAGAAAAAAATTCCCAGAATTTGGTTCCACATGCCTTTTAGATTATCTGTACAAACCAGTAACATTCAAATGTTATGGGAATACTTTCATTTGGCAATTTAAACATTCTATTATTTCTAAATACGAGCAACTCAAGCTGGCAGCAGACTCGTTTAGACCCTCATTTGATACTCCCCACGTAGAAATGTCATTTCTTTGCACCCAGCACTAAATAATTGCTGTGAAATTGATATAGGGTAATAAGCTTTTGAATTGGCTTTGTACAAACTAGTTCAGTTGTTTAGCCATTGTCTTTCCCTCCATAGAGCGGTCTGCAGAAGTCTGGTCAGCAGAAGGGATTGAGTTTACTTGTTGAATTGGTCACAGAGCTGAAGAAATAAAAACTGAGCTTGAGAAAGGAGGAATTCAGTTGAAGTACAGGACCTGTGTGGTCAAAGGCTTAGCCAGCTGCTGACTGTGCTTGATACTCTTAGACAGCCTACCTTTGATTGCCTGCCCTGCACTCACATGCTCTTAACCCCCATGAAATAATAGAAGGAAAAATGTCAGAACCTGTGATCTTGCCAGGGGTACAAAGTAGAACCTGTTGACATAAGTGTTAGCTTCCTAGAGCTCTGACGGCAGCAAAATCCCTTTGAAGGTACCACAGTTGGATGGAGTTACTTGGCTACATAAAAACTTTCATTTTAAAAGTATGTGAACTATATAGTGTGCGAATCAGGGAGAAGTTATTGACTATGTATGGAAGTAGCAGATGAAAAGTTTTATCAATAAACTAAAAGAGTTATTTGAAAGAGCGAATTTAGTCAAATTTAGCCTGGATTGTACAAACTTAGCATAAGTTGCTTGTGATATGTGTATTATGAGTGTAGCAACATGAGAACTTGAGATTGGGGGGATGTTAGCAGCCACCCAGTCCAGTCCAGTCCCTGCTCAAGAGCATTGCTCACGGTGAAGTACCTGACAGGCGATTGTGTAGCCTCTGTGGGAAGACCTCCAAGGAAAGGGAACCGGCCAATTCCACAGAATTGGCCAATTCTGCAGACGTGGCGGCCATTCCACGTTTCAGTAGCCCAAGCCCTAGGGAACTTTGTTCTGGCATCACGTCTACAGTTGATACTGATTCTGGCCTCTGGGGCTTAGCAGACGTCTCTGCCCTCTCCCCTGACAGCCTTTCAAATTACTTTGAAGACAGCTCTCAGTGCCCCCAAATCTTTATTTCTACTTGCCTATCCCTGGTCCTTCTGGGATGTGGATTTGGGCCCCTTGCTGTGTCCCTGTGGCCTTCCTGAATGAACACAAGCCTCTAGGCATGCTCTGACCAGGCAGAGTACAGCAGGACTTTCGTCTTGTCATTCCTGGAAGTTTTGCCCCTTTTAAAAAGTAGCTGGGATGCCACTGGCTTTTTGGGCAGCCTCTCCACACTGCCTGCTCCATGAAGTATGCTGCCCTCATCTTGTTTAGGTGAGGTGGAGCTTCTGAACCTAAGTGTAAAAAAGACCACTGTGTAAGTATTCCCATTGCAGTTCACCTAGGAATGGTGTCTGTCAAGATCACTGGGGTCCTGGCAAATATGGTGACTGTTTGGGGGTTTTTTATGGTAGAATTTGAGATTTCATTAAAGCAACTTGGGGAGGCATATGAATTGAGTCCGCATCGAAACAGTGAAAGTCTCTTAGAAAAATGTCTTCATAGAAATGTTTTCCTTCATTGTTCAACTGGGCATGACTTGACTTCTTTATATTTTCACTGTTGAGAGGTCGAGTCTTTGAGAGGCCTAAGGAAGGACACAAATAGACTTAGGCCTTGTGAAATATTAATGGGTTTCTGTTTCTTCTTAAATGAAATTATTGTTGCATGGCATGCATATTTATAACTGAATGGAGAATCTTAGAAAACCAGCTAGTCAGTATTTCACAAATATTAAGGATTTATCATTTTCATTTGAGTACTCTACATTTGCATTATTTTGATAAAGCCTCTTATTTTCTAAGCATAAACTGCTGGATTACAAACGTTTATCCGTGTAATTACATCTCCACATGTAGTTCATTTTTAAGGTTCATTTTTATGTGTGGTGATTCTTCATGGAGTCCCCAAGTATGTCTGAGATTCAAGACAACTACATTAGAGAAAACTATTAATAATATTACTTTCGGGTTTTGAGATAAAAAAATACTATTAAAATCTAGGTTGTTTCTCTTTAAGAAGTGATATTTTACTATCAGTGTTATAGCTGTTCCTTTAAAGTGTTAAAGATATGTTCTGTTTTCTTTAACATTACTTATTTCAGAATGTCTGAAATGAATTGATTTTATAATGGACAAACTACTCCATGAAATTAAATAAATTCATTCATATTACTTGCATGAAAAGCCATTCATAAAATTAGTAAGTGGAGCCCAGGCACTGTGAAGACGTCTTGGCCTTAGTCCTTTCCCTTGTTTCTTCGCTCGTCCCACTGTGCCTCCCATCCCTGAGATAGCATTTGCTCACAGTGAGATCAGATCCATATTTAGGTGTAATTGAATCACAGAATCTCCAGCTGGAAGGGACCTCATCTCGACCCTGAACAGACTCCCCTGTGTCACCTGCAGGCAGTCACCTGGCCTTTGCTTGATGACCAGTGTTGTGGGGGGCACCTGCAACCTCTCAGGGTAGTACTGATTGTTAGGATCCTCAGCCTCATGGCACCAGTTGCCTGTTAGACATCGATCTCTGCTCAGAAAGCCACTACCTCAATTCAGTGTCTAATCACCTTTCGCCTAAACTATTGCAGTGGCCTGCCTCCCTGCCCCAAGTCTTATTCCAGTCCGTCTTCCATACTCCTCCCCCAGTGGTTTTTCTTCAGTTCCGTTCTGGTTGTGTGGCTCAATAAACTCCATGGGCTCCCTGTTGCCTTCCCAGTCTGGCCCCAGCCTGTCTTTCTAGCCTCGTGGTGCCTTACTTCCTCCCTGCACCCTAGGGTCTGCCAAACTGGCCTTCTTGGGTTCCCTCCCACATTGCGTTGATTTCCCATTTTAGCTCCTTCACACTGGGTGGGCCCTGACCCAGAATATCTCCCCTCACACAGTCCTTCTCTTCCTCTGAGATGCCGCTGGCCAGGGCCTCTTTCTGCACGAATCCTGATCTCCCTCATTGCTTATTGACTGACTTCCTGATGACCTTCCATTTGTTTGTATTTGTTCTGTGGATGTTGAGTATGTGTGAACTTGGACATGGGCTCCTCTCTCCCCTGTAGAGCGCTGTAAGTGCCACATAAATGCTTGATGATTTGATGTTCCAATAATGGCTGTTGTTTAGCTCCGACTGTTCAGTCAGTTCTGAATTAGTGTAATGATTTCTCGTCTGGCCCACAGCTCTCCGTCTTTTTGACAAGAGCAGCACAAAAAACCTTCTCAGGTACTTTCGTAAGATCTCCGGAAACTACGTGCACAGTGTCCCCCTCTTTCCAGGTGTTTAGTGATGATGTTGGTGTGGCAGGGCCTGTTCTAGTTGAATCCAGGCAGGTTCTTTGGAACCACTTCCTCCTTTTCTAGATGTTCATAACCCCGCTCTCCCCCTGCCACTAGTGATATTTTGCAGAATTTTTCAAGGAGTTAAAGTCAAGCTCTTTGGCCTATGTTTGCGAAAATGAGTATCTCTCCTGTTTGCCACAGTCTTTCAGGGCTCACTGCCCTTGTACTCAGCAGTCCCGCTGGTCTGCTTTGGGTCCTCTAGGATGTGGTCGAGTGGGGTCATCACAGCCGGGTAACTTGGCTCTTCAAGGGTGCTTGACTAGGTCATCAACTCTCAGTCATTTTGGTCTTTTCTAGTCCCAAGACAGTTGGTCTTGGTGAGGCAATAACAACATAATGGGACTTGAGCATCTCTTACTTCTTTCTTTCTTGTTACATTATCCTTGGTCTACCCTCCTGGAAGTGTTCACGGCCCTTCCGATGCATTTTGTTTTAAAGAACTGTGCCATGTTTTTTTATTCCCCGTGTCTTACCCACCCTTGCTTCCATGATTTATAAAAATCTTGTAAAAGTCCAAGTCACTGCTGTAAAAACCTGTCCTTCTGCTATTTTAGAAGTTATTTGTGTAAATTGTTATTCATGTGAAGGATATTTATTTCCAAGTCACAAGGTAATATAAAATTCACTTAATTATTGTGGTATATGACATCACAATCACCTGTCTTCAGAATAGATCCGCGGTTTTGTCTCAGCATTGTCCCCTAGGTCCAGGAGAGTGTTTCTTTAGAGAAGTTGGTTCTTTGTTGCAATGTCTAAAATTCTTATCTACTTTTGTGTATAGCAAAGTAATGAATTTTAAGGGATAAATATTGAATATATTTTGTATCCTAGTTTGAGAATCTGTCAAGCATTTTGAAGCTCCCTGGTAAAAAAACATTTAACAACATGGACCGAGATTTTTTAGAAAAGCGAAAAAAGGACCTAAATGCATATTTACAGGTAAGAGTATTGACCTTATCTTGTTATTTAAATCATAACAAAAATATATAGGAAGCTTCTTTTTTCTTGAAAAGCTTGGTTAGAACGTCCATTTATAGGAACCTTCCTGCAGGTTTGATTTTAAGACTTCCTTCCTCAAATGTCAAATGAAAAATTAGAGGATTGGACAGAATGATCCATGAGGGCCGTGGCAGTTCTGGAGCTTTTTGAATTGGTAAAGCCACATTCCTCCTCAGTACTGTAACATGTAGATATGTTAGAGTAAGCTAAAAAGTGTCCACAGCTTGTGACCCACCCTTTTGGTGACTCTCCATAGGATGTGAAAAGAGATGGGCGTCTTCCGTTCTAGAAATGTCAGTACTCCATCCTTTGAGCTGAGTGTCTCAGTCTGTAGTCTAGAACTTGTCATCGGACTCCAGGCTCAAAGATTGTAGGCCAGTTTGGTCTTTTATTCCTTTTCTCTAAGATCTCCTCAAAATGATAAGCGTGGGACTGACTCCCTGTAGGGTATGTCAGCACTCTCTTTGGATTTTCTTGGAAGTGTCCTGCCTCTTGGGGGGCACCCAAGGACTAACTCTGATTCCTTGGAGGACTGTGATATAGCATGGGTATCTGCTGCTTCATAAGACAAGCTGTCCTGAGGATGTCACAGATGTTCCCAGCTCTGGGCAGGTGTGATCCCTCCAGTGCCTGGCATCTGCTCTACCACCATGCCCCTACAGCCTGGCAGAGATCAGAACCTACCCAATATTACATAGCTGACTTCCTATTCTAATTTATAAGATTGAAGAGTCTTTCAAATTCATATATTCTAAAACTAGGTAGAATTGTCTATTCCAGTGAGGTGAGTGGATTCTTAAGTAATTTGTAATTTTGAAATGACTACTTTTTACATTTTTTATCTCACAGCATTATTTAATAAATTCATTAGTGTATTCATTTCCTAAGTCATTCATTATATTAAAGGAGCAAGATCAATGAGAAGTGTAAAATGAAAATGTTAATTCTAGAACTCTAGGAATCCTAAGAACAGTGTATTCATTTTCATCTTGGTCATGTAATTTGTTTTCAGATTGATGATTTTTTTTTCCTTTTCACATGACAAATCCATTTGTGATTATCCTGTCTACTTATGATATTATCTTCTATGTAACTTTATGGAAAAGAACTTAAGACATGCATTCTTCACTGATCCTTGTCTAACTAGAATTGATTAAACTTAGAAAGGGGCAATATTTTGAAAAATGAATGTAGCTGTAGAAATTCTCCCCTAAGTGTTTTGCGAATAAAAGTAACTGTCACCACTTAAAATGGGTTCTTTTAGAGGACACTATAAAAAGTACATCTGGTTGTGCTATCAAATTTGTAAAAATGTTATGAGCTCCATTTTTGTTTAAAGTGACATTTTGCTTTTTTAGTTATTGTTGACACCTGAAATGATGAAAGCTTCCCCAGCCCTGGCGCCCTATGTGTGTGACTTTCTGGAGAACAAAGCCTACAGCAAAGGAAAAGGGGATTTTGCTCGCAAGGTGAGAAGCCGTTGGGACGCTGTGGGCTGGAAGTGTGACATATTCTTCTGTACAGAAATGGGGGACTTTCAAGGAGGCATTTATTGTTGAGGTTCTGTTTTTAAAAGTAACTAGTGGTTGTTGTAGGTCAGTCTTTATTTCAGCAGGACCTCAACTTACCTAATTTGCTTCATGGGATCTCCTGTTGACGTCAGTGTTATCTTCATGTGCTCTTGCTTGGTGTCTCCCTGCTAAACGGAGCTCCGTGTGGGAGAATGTGTATGAACCTATAAGAATGTGTGTGTGTGTGTGTGTGTGTGTGTGTGTGTGTGTGTGTGTGTGTTCCTCTCTCCATCTGAATCCCCCTCTTTGATGCTGCTGCCATTCAAAGGGAAGTCCCTCCAAAGACGTTGTTCAGACACTAGAGGTCTTCTTCCCTCCTTCTTGCCCCCCCCCCCGTCCACACAGTGTCATGTAGGTCACCTGCGTATTTCTTCAAGTGGGTCTGTAATCTCATGTGGACGAGGCCCCACATCCAGGAGATGACACATCCATCCACTGGGCAGGATCCACGTAGGACTGACCTCCAGGACTCAGAAGGAGGGATTACGTGGACGGTGAAATTAATACAGAAGGAAGATCTCAGAACAAAATGGGGCTTTCCCTTGCCTGAGGAGAGTGAAGATGCACCAGTTCTGTCTTTTGTTCTGATACCCTGCGATAGGTGACTTTTATCGTGGGCTTTACGGTTGACCACTGGCTTGTGGGCAGCTGTCATTTGACTTTCACAACAACCCTAAGGAAGGTGCCATGAGAGATTTTACAGCTGAGGAAACTGAGGCTATCGAGTGACTTAGCCAGTGTCACCCAGTAAAAACTGCATCTGGGTCTTCTTGGCTCCCAGTCTGTTACCATCTCTTCTCTACCAGTGAGGTCAGACCCTGTGGGCCCCGTATTGGCTCAGAAAGCCATGTGTTACCCTTCTTTGCATTCAGTTGTGTCTTTGTTTATGTTTTAAGCATTTCCCAATTGTTTTTTAATCTGGGAGGTTTTGTGAGTGCATGTGTGCTACCTCTGTTCTATTTCCCTCATCCTCTCAGTAAAAACTGTGAGCCAAAGGACTGTGTTCCTTCACACAGCTGTGATTTCATCAGCGTGATCACGGCCTTCAGCAGCTCAGATTGTCGCCACTCTGCAGGTCAGTAGACGGTCTTCAGGAGTCGAGGCAGCTGAAAAGTGTACCACCATCACCCCACCCACCCCCCAGCCAACCTAGTCAGTGGATAGTAAACATTTATGAAGCACCTACTGTGTGTTGGGCATTGTGTGAAGCGGGGGGGGGGTACAAATACGAAAAGAGAAAGGGAGAGCAGAGGTGGGAAGGAGCCCGAGGGGGGCTAGGGAGAGCAGTCAGCCAGAGACCAGATGTGTCATCAGTCTCTCTATCCAAAAGCCTTTTGAGTTTAGTCCAACTTAGTGCAGCTTGCATGTAGGGTCATCTAACGCCATGAAGCATAGGATAGGACTGGAGTGAAAATCAGTCTGAACAGAACAGTATAGTCATTTCTGACTAGGTTAGGACTCAGGCAAGGAGCAAAGAAAAATGGTGGGAGGAGCCCAGGGTTCTAGGTGAGCCCAGCTAAGGCCCCCCAGGCGTGATCAGCTGGACACAGAGGCCAGTGAAGTCAGCGGCACGGCCCCAGGTTCCAGGGGCTCCTGGCCAGCTGCACCGGAGCGAAGCAGAAACGTCCCCAGACATCGTCGAGGCCCACGGGGGAGACCAAAGCAATGGCAATTAACACTGCCCTCAGACTTTTGGGACACCCTGTATGGAATAGACCCATATGTAGTAAGAATGCCAGTGTTCAAAACTGTTTGATATTTAAACACTACCAACACAGTAAGGCCAAGCACAGTTGAAATAAAGTGTGGTGTCTTTCAGGCTTTGGCTAGCCCTAACATCATCAACATCTTTTCTGAATAGAACTGCATATGGCTTCCGAGTCATGGGGGAACCATCCCAGAGTAGCTTCTCAATGACTGGGAGTCTCAAGAGTGACAAGTGCGGGGCTCTCCATCACCTTCATTCCTCAGTGATGGAATGTTTAAAGTAAAACTCCATCCTAGTGGGCGATCTTTGGGACTTATGGGCAGGCTGGCTGCCCGTTCAGCCACAGAATCTCAGGCACATGTGGGACCTCAGAGGATACACCTCCATGGGTCAGTGACAAGTGCTGACCCAGCCTTGTTTGGTTTGGCTAAAAAGCAAAACAAGCCAAAAAACGACACATGAAACCACTTTGTGATTTCCGTGAAAGCTCTCCAGGGACCTTCAGGATGTCGTTTGAACTTGATAAGAACATAATCCGGGGAACAGGAAAGACTGATGTCTTTGAGTTTGAATCAAGAAGCTCAATAGAGCCTTTGGAAAAAGATGGTGCTCATAAATCTGAACTTCTCCACACAAGATGCACCGACCACAGAATTGACAAGGAGGCAGTCATGGCCGCGGGTGTCGAGGGACTTGATGGCATCCTGAACTCAAAGTGCGGCAGGAGGAAGGTATTTAGAGCCATGGCGACTTCTGCAGTGGCTACTTAATTAAATGTGATGGAAGGCAGCTGAGGGGACAAGTAACCAAACCGACTTCTGAAGCCCACCGCCCCAAGGCATCTGTGGAAGAAAGAATGTTTCTTTTTCAGAAGGGAGGAAGAAGACTGATTAAAGATAAGTTAAAATTTACAAAAATGCCTGGCCTGCATAGGTTCCAGCGGTGGCAGCAGCATGGGAAGGCAGCAGTCAGGGGGCTGTGAAGGCTTTTGTTGGGGGCGGCTCCAAGGAGGACGGAGTGAGTGGGGAGAGAGTGGACCTACACGTCAGTGGATACTGGCTCTGAGCTCGCAGGGCATGGGAAACATTCCCTTCTGGATGTCCCCGTGTCTGAAGGTGACCTCGTTGTCTTCCCCCCAGACCCATCTTTCTATTCATTGTACCTGCCTTTCTTTCAGTCATCTGGGTTCACAGTCTTCTAAGTCATCCTTCATTGTCTCCCCTCTTTGCCCATTTTCATTCTGTGGTCAGATCTTATTGGTTCCCTTGCCACACAATCCATCATGGCCTGGGGAGTGAGCAGATGCCATAGGGTCTGGAATGTTAGCCCATGTCATCAGCAGCCAGAGCCCTCCTGCACTGCTGAAGCTTCAGTTCTGAGGGGGCCGGCCAAATTCAGTCTGCGCCCTTCTCAGACGGTTTCAAGGTCCCAGCCCCTCACTGGGTCTGTAGAAGGAAAGGCGGCTTTCTGCTGCCCCAGCACCGGAACACTGAGTCCCGGCCCCACCAGGTCTACGTCTCCTGCCTCCCTGGAGTCTGAAGCCCGGTGGCAAAGGAAGAATGAGGTCCCTGTGTTCATCAGTTGGGACCCCCATCAGAACTTGAAGAGAGGATTAGCGTGGCTCCTTCCGTCAGTTCCTTCCGCTGACCCCCCTGCGGCTTGATTTCCAGCCTGTCATCGTCCTGTCACCTTCCCTGGAAGCCGTCCGGATCAGTAAAGCCCTTCCTGAGAGGTGCTACCCAGAACTGACCGCGTCCGGCCTGCCTGTGGTGGCATTACTTTAGTCGCAGATAGGAGGTCACTCTTGATGTGACCAGAGATGGTACCAGCTTTGGGATTTCTGCGTCACACTTTTTTTTAAAAAGTAAGCTTTTATATGTCTTTTGGCTTTGTCCTGGGATTACTCAAATTTTGCCCCTCCCAGATAACTATTTCATATAACAAATTATCATTATTTAAAGCAAAAGATGAAAAGTAAAAAAAACATTACGTTGGAAAAGTCTGAGAAACCTGCAGTGTTGGACACAGGAATGCCTCCCACATATGCAGGGAAATGGGTGCAGGGTGATCTTTTCCTGTTGCTTCCATGAGGCCAGGCTTGTTCTTTATCAGGTTGTAGCATTCCCTGCTGATTGTCGGGGGCTGCTTCTTTCTGCCTCCATTATCAGGGGTTGTGCTGACTTCCCTCTGCATCAGTTCATGTAGACTGTACCATGTGTCTCTGAATTTATCAGTCACATTTATCGATCATTCCCTGATGTTCATGGACCACAGTCTGTCTGATCCTTCCCAGTTAATGGGCTTCTCCTTTGTTTCTGATTCTTTGCTCCCACAGACATTTTGGTGTTTGCTGGCCTCCATGCAGTCATCATAATGATAGCAGTAATGTCGTGTCAGTTAGCATTTGTGCAGCTCTTTGAGGTTGTTGCAGAAACCTCATTTGATCCTCACAACAATCCTGGGACGTAGGTGCTATTCTTCTTATCTCTATCTTACAGATGAGGAAACTGAGACAGACAGAGGTTAATGACTTGCCCAGCTTCACACAGCTTGTAAGTGTATGAGGTTGTGTTTAAACTCCCAACTCCAGGTCTAGCACTGTGCCACCAGGAGCCTTTTTGGAACTTGAATATAAAACTATTTAGGAATGGGGACCCGACCTTTGATTTCCTTGGTATAGAGCAGGGCTTCTTAAACTTTTTCTGCCTGCAACCTCTTTCAGGACTTACAGTACTTGGCATTGCGTGACCTGAAGGCATGCTCAGTGCAAAGTGCGTGTGCTGTGTGTTCAGAGCCAAAGCTGCAGTGGAGTCGCGGATGCAGGATGGGCAGGCGCTGCTAGGAACACCTTGGATTCATTACGTGTTTGATTGTGAATTAATTTTTGGTCGTTGTGCATTCTTTACTGTTGCCAGATTTTTCATGATCCCTACATTCAGTTATGTGACCTCATATAGAGACCTTGGCCCTTCATCCTTGACGTCTTTCCCACTGATAATGTCCTATCAGTGCCTGGTGTTGAATCATCTGACAGGGCCGAGGACGCCAGTGGCCAGAGAGAGCCTTCTTTCTTGGGTCTTCAGTAGCTGTGGCTGCTGCCCCCACGGGGGCGTCAGTCCTCACCTATAGCTCCGCAGCAGTCCATGACAGGGAGTGAAGGCCCTGGGTTGGAAACTTGGCCATTCCGAAGGCTTCTGGGCTCGGTCTCAGGGGACATGGGGCTCAGGGTGGGCGTGGTGATGGAGGAGGGGGGTGTGGAGGCAGTTTGACCTGCCAGGCATGTGCTGCTTCCTGCTTGTCCCTCAGGTGAGGGCCCTGCTTCTTCAGCTCTTGCCAGCGCTCCTGGGCATCTCTGTAACATGGGGGGCTCCCAAGCTTTAGTACCCTTTAAGCTTTCATACCTTAAATGTCTTTAAAAGCTAAGACTTTGGAACGCCCTTTCTGTGTAAAAGTATGGAATGTGATATATTTATGAGTAATTATGTGTAATATGTAATAATTGATCACATAATGTCTGTAAAGTACTCTGTAAACTTTAAAGTGTATCAGTGTGATTACTAGTTGGAAGCTTCTTGCTGCTTCCTCATCCATTCTTAGCGACTGGTTCCAGTTTAGGCTGCACGGATTCTCCTTTTTATCTGCTTCACTTTCTGAAAAATGAAGGTGTCAGTCTAGGATAAGAGCTGCCCAAGGGGAAGAGTGGACATGAATCCAGACTGACTTTGTGCCATGGCCTTCAGGTTGTTTATTTTTATAATAAATTCCCGATCTTGACTAGTTTCCAAAGCCATTCTTTGTGTTGTCTCATTAAAGTAAAGCACAGGGAAGTCCCTTTTTGTAACCTTCAGTTTCAGTTTCAGAATAATGCATACTTACTGTATTTGTGCACTATGCATCCTATTTGTTCCATTTTTCATTGTGTCACCAGGGTGAATGTTAATTTCATCATCATTTTCAGTTATAATTTCCAAGTCTTCTTCCAGGAAGTGATGGAGAATAAGTTGCACATTGAATTTTCTTTTGTGAAAATAATTCCAGAATTTTTAGCCTTATAAATATGTGATAGTCTCTTTGATTAAGTAGTCAAAGCTTGGTATTATGCAAAATGGTCCACACTATACCATTATTATTAGCAAAATATATACCGAAGACCAAGTCAAGATAATTGTTCCCCATTTAAAATGTGTTTACCCTGCATATGTTTATAGTGGGAAGCTCCTTTCCAGCTCGTACAACACAGGAGTCTTGGAGCAGAAGTATGGGAAGTTAATTGGTGGCTATAATGTACATTTCCAGGCTGCTTAGTTCGAATTGAAAATGCAGTAGAAAGGAAAGTCACTCTGTGCTCTTCCTTCCCCTGCAGATGGACACTTTTGTAAATCCACTTCGCAATTCTATGAGGAACGTTTCAAATGCGGTTAAATCTCTTCCTGATAGCTTGGCAGAGGGCATGACCAAAATGTCAGACAACATGGGCAAAATGTCAGAGAGATTGGGACAAGACATAAAACAATCATTTTTCAAGGTAAGAGTACTTTTTGGGACAGTTTTTCTAAAAGTTGTCTATTCTCAAATCAGTATTTTTGGATAACCTTCATGCAAGATACTTGTATCGTTTCCTTATTTACTCTTTAATTTCTTCCATGAACAAGCAAGATAATATGTTAATACATTTTTTATGCAGACCTGTGACTTTGTCAATGTGGACATAAGGAAACCTCTGCTGGGGGAGACCAGCAGCAATTCTGTTTACTTAGCATAGGGGTGACGTGATTTCTTGGGAGGGGTAGATAGCTGGTGCTCAAACTCAGCTCTTTGGAGTTTTGAGGCCGGCGTCTAGACTCTGGCGCCACTGTGATGGTCTACATTCATCTTGTTATCAGGAGAATATTTATAAATGGCAAAATTCACTGCTTCAATCCATTCTGCTATTACCAGAATTAATTGCACAGTAATTAAGTGCTGTGATGACAGTTAAGTTATAGTCTTCATTCAGATCATATTAATCCCAGTAAATTCTCATATTTTAGGTTGCAGTTCATCTGGCCTTTTGACAAAAGAGCCTTTCTCTACCATCAGTCTTGGTAGTGCTGTGTTCTTACTATAAATGGCATTTCAGAGTTTGTCAGTCCCATGAAACTCTGAGCACACCATCAGTCTGGGTTCATGAAAGGAGTTGTCTTAATATATTTCCAGTTTCCACTTTTGAATTTGAATTTATTATTAATAAATTATTGTTAAAAATGTTTGCCTTCACAAATTCCTCCTCTGCTGCCTTATCAGGGTGTGAAGGCGATGCTGAACTCGCCAAGTTCTGCTGGCAGAATGCCAGCCTTGGTGGGTTCTACCAGCTTGGATAGGTTTCAGGTGTGAAACTGTACTAGGCAGTCTTCAAAGGTCCCTTCCAACTTTAAATTCTGTGAACCTGTAAGGCAAATAAAATGTGTGATTCTGGAAATGGATCCTTGGGAAAGGTATTTAGCCAGTCAGGTAGCTAAAGGGTATTAAGTCAGCAGCCTTGAAAGCTTCACTGGTACCCACAGGATGTGAAAACACCAGGATGAAGGGTTGGTCCTCTCTGAAAGGTTTAGGGAAGACTGTGGACAAGAAGCTGAGAAGGTGGGAATGAGTGACTCACTGTGTTGTTGGGAGGAATGGGTGTTCAGCAGCCAGCTGTTGGAGGAGGAGATGAACAGAGACAGGAAGAAATTTCTGTTCTACCCATGTGACATTCTTTAATTCTTTGTTGTTTTCGTGTTGTATTCTTTCTCTTTGTTTTTTGTTACATTGTGCTCTTCAGTATATTTATTGATTTTTAATGTTCCTCTTAGGTACCTCCTTTAATTCAGAAGACAGATTCTGATCCCGAACATTGTCGCGTCTCCGCCCAGCTTGATGACAATGTAAGTGATTTCTTCCTCCCAGTGTTTTTAGTTAATGACTTGAAAAATAATTTGCAAATGAGTTTTGCTGACTTCATGCTTATAATTAAATTTCTCTTTTCTTATAAATTTTTTAATGATAAATACTATTAGCCTTTAAAAGGGAGTCAAGAAACCTTATTAAGTGCTTACTATGTTCCAGGCACTGTGCTAAGCATGGGAATACAGAGAAAAGCAAAAACTGTCCATTAGAAGTTCCCAGCCTCATTAGAGAGACACCATGTCAGTGACTGGGCACACACAAAGCACAGACAGGGAGAGAGGCATTTGTAGTTAAACTCTGATGGCTGCAAGGACGTCATGTGCATTCAGTGTATTAGAACAGAGCAGAGCCTGCTTGGCCTAATTAGCAGAAAACTTGGTGGTCGGAGGGGCCAGTCAGTGTGGAGATGCAGTTTGTGTCAAAAAAGTGAAAGAGAGAACAAGATTCTGAGCAAGGCACTGAAACTCCTTCAGCCTTCATTATCTCGTGAATCCTGTTTCCACGGTGTTTAGATTGTAACATTGATGCACTGGAGAGAAGGGCTGAGATCTTTTCTCCTTGAGGGTAACAGAAGGAATCTAAAGTTATTCCTAGTGGACACAGTGAGTCTGAGTTCTCCTGTCCCTCACATCTGTTTGTCACAGCCCCCTTTCCAAGGCTTATTAATAGGACTGCAACTGGACCTTGGGAAAAGCCCTTTTCTGTGTAATTGGTCATTTAATGTCTGTTTTCTACAGGTTTGGCTGAATCACTTCTAATTTTCCTACATTTAAAAATTTGTAAACTGAAAGATAATCTTACCAAGACTAATTTTGGTTAGTCCTTATTTTTTACTTTTTATTTATTTATTTATTTTTAGGCAGTTGAGGTTAAATGACTTGCCCAAGGTCACACAGCTAGTACGTGTCAATCAAGTGTTTGGTCTGAGGCTGGATTTGAACTCGGGTCCTCCGGACTCCAGGGCTGGTGCTCTATCCACTGTGCCACCCAGCTGCCCCTAGTTTTAGTTAGTCTTTGTGGTTTGTCTTAGAGCTACTGGCCTTATTTGCTCTCATGAAAGGAATTTATTTTCTTTGTTCACGAATCATGACTCTGAATTATGAAGTTGGGGCCCATGTTCCCATTTGCTTTATGCAGTGGTTACCAGTGCCCCTGAAAGACTGGTTGAAGGCTTGTCAATGCCTAAACATCTTTGTTTCTTCAGAAGAGGTCAGAACCTCTGCACTTCAGGTTGTGCATTTTCTTAGGGTAGATTTATGGAATTAACTATACAATTAAAAATAAGTGGGTAATTTTCAATTTACAACATAATGTGAGTTTCCACTTGGGAGAAGTTAACAGTAATAACAATGGGAATGACAGTTGACATTTATGTAGTGTTTTAAGATTTACAAAGCACTTTCCTTCCAGCCGCCTTGTGTGGTCAATAGTGTAAGTACCATTGTCCCATTTTATTTATGAGGAAGCAGGCTGTGGCGTGAGTTCACTTGCCTGTGGGCAGTCTAACGTGTCTTTGTTGTTGTTAAGTCATTAGTCGTGTCTAACTCTTAGTGACGCCGTGGATCACCCGGTACACCAGACCCTTCTATCGTCCACTGTCTTTCAGAGTCTGTCTAGCTCATGCTCATTTGCTTCCATGGCACTATGCATCCATCTCATCCTCTGCTGTCTCCTTCTCAATTTTCTCCTTCAATTTTTCTCAACTTTAGGGTGTTTTCCAGTGAGTCCCGTCTTCTCATTATGTGGCCAGAGTATCTAAGCTTCACTATCTGACCTTGAGTGAACAGCCTGAATTTCTTTAAATGTTGACTGATTTGATCTCCTTGCTGTCCGAGGGACTCTCAAGTCTTTTGCAGCACCACAGTTGAAAAGTGTCAGTTCTGTTGTGCTCAGCTTTCCTCATAGTCTAACTCTCACAGCCATGCATTTCTTCTGGAAAAACCGTAGCTTTGACTCTACAGACCTTTGTCGGCAGGGTGGTGTCTCTGCTTTTTAGTCTGCTGTCGAGGTTTGCCCTAGCTTTTCTTCCAAGGAGCAAGCTTCTTTTCCTTCCATGGCTGCGGTCACCGTCTGCAGTGATCTCTGGGCCCCAGAATACAAAGTCTGCCGCAGCCCTTGCTCGGGAGCGGCTCTGTCAGACACAGAGGTCCCGGAAGCGTTGGGAGTGTTTGAGTCCGAGTAACAATTGCGTTTCTTTTCTTTCTTTTGCCAGGTGGATGATAACATTCCTCTTCGGGTCATGCTGCTCCTCATGGATGAAGTCTTTGACTTAAAGGAGAGAAATCAGTGGCTGAGAAGAAACATCAAAAACCTGCTGCAGCAGCTCATCAGAGCCACCTACGGAGACACCATCAACAGGTAGTGCTCTTGGCGGCCAGGAAGCCCCGCCGGCCAGGTCTGTGGGGTAGCTCCCCTGCCGTCCCGTCCCGGGAAGATGCTGATATTTCTGACTTCAAGTTTTTTCCTCATAGAAGAATCACTTGTTTCTTCTGCTGTTGCTTGGTGTCTTTCTGGTCATGGGATTGCTCACGTAAATGTCTTTAATTTCAGAAAAATAGTTGACCATGTTGATTGGATGACTTCACCTGAGCAAGTTGCTGATTCAGTCAAACGTTTCAGGTATCGTTAAGATGACTCTTGTGGCGTTAACAGTGCAGCGTGATCATGAGTAGAGCTCATGTTTCTCATGCGTTTTGCAACGTAAAGAATGCCTTCCATTATGACAGCCTGGTGAATTAGGGAGTTCAAGTTGTTATTTTCCCCATTTTGCAGATGAGGAAACTGATTCTCAGAGAGGGGGAAAAAGGCAGCGACTTGCCCATGGTCACACAGCTAGTAAGTGTCAGGGCTGGGACTTCTGTCCACGTCCTCTGACTCCATGTCTAGTGGTGCGCTTTCCTCTAAGAGGAACTCTTTTCAGGGGCTTTATTTTTCAGTATCAGGGACAGCAAGTTGAGGTTTGCTTTGGGTTTGGGGGGGGCGGGTTCTTGGTTTTTTTTGGCAGAAGAGGGGAGTGAGTGTCATTTCAGTTTAATGAGTAACTTCCAATGCTGGTCTTTCTGTGAAATTAGTCATAAGAATTCTAAGACTTAACACTGAAACATTCATTTCTCTTTAGTGCATCCCTGATGTAAAAACTGATAGGAAGAGTGTACAGATGCCACTCGATTAACGTTGTGGAAACATTGGCCCGCTGATGTTGAAGGGTTATGGGGGCCTCTTGGGTCTTTGGTTTGCTTCACATGCTCAGGGATTCTTTTGCTTATTTACAGTCATGGAGGCGGGGCACAGATAATCCCAAGTGGGAGAGCCAATAAATCTTTGCTTTGTTGGGAATGCTGTTTTGAATTTATATTTGTGCCTGTCTGTTTAATTCATTGGAACTCTCAAAGCCTCAAGTGTCGCCATGCCCTTTCTTAGAGGGTGTTGAAAATTTCCTGATTTTGAATTTGGGAGTTTGAAAAATTCTCTGAGTCTCACTTCTCATTTCCCATTCCCCATTCCCCGGTCCATTCTGAGAAAGGATGGTATCTTCCTTCAGGTAGCCCACAGAAATTGCCTACTCATCATTATGCTGCCCCCTCATACTACCTTTTCTGTCTGTCTCTGCAATTTCCAGTTTGCTTAGCCGGAGCAGAAAGCATCCGTAGCACAGGATGGGGCCATGTCAGGGTGGGCTCAGCCACACAGCTTCCTGTCCCTGGTCAACAAGTCTTGATTAAGCCCAAGGGCTAGGCAAGGTGCTCGGGATTACAAAATGGCGTTCAAATTCTGTTCTCAGGGTTGGTTGTGCAGGAGGCATGAGATGCGGATGGAGTCAGTGTGTGAGACAATTTAAAATGTGATGAATGTCTAAGAAGGCTTAGAAGGGCCTGAGACATTCGTGAGTCTTTCTAACGGAGAAGATGAAGAAGGGCTGCATGTAGAGGAAGATGGAAGGCTGTCAGTAGGGGGAGATTTCTTAGTGGGAAGGCCACGGTCAAGGAAAGGGGGAATGGTTTATAAAGGCCCAGAGGTAGGAAGCTTCTGGAACAGTGAGTTGTCTGGTTTGACTGGGCATCAAGTCCACAGAAAGGATTATTAAAGTGGAATACACTATCAAGGGGCGTTAGGGCCCCACCGGGGGAGGCCTTGAATTTTAGGCACAGGAGACAGTCTCTGGCTTCTCTCTGAAGGTGGCCCACAGGAACCACTGTCCTGAGGTTTGGCTGCCTCTGAAGGAAGGACTGAAGAGCCCTCCCTTGATCATCCCGCAGAAGCCAGGATAAAGTGTTGGAAGTGAAGCCAAAGGGCCTGGTTCCAGTCCTTAGCTATGCCACCTACTATAGAGCTCTATGACCTTGAACAAATCACTTGAATTTCCCAGGCCTCAGCTTTCTCATCTGTGACACTAGGAATTTGGATCAGGTGGTCCCTTTATGTTGATGATCTGCAGTTCTGGGCTCCATATACTTGGGGAGGAGGGGAGGAGAGAGAGGATCTCCCGTGGTGCATTTTACAGCTGTGCTCTGTGAAGATCAGGGGTGAGGAGAAGGACACTCATCCCCAGGGTTGGGATGCATTTAGCCCCATTGGAAGAGAGATTTTGTGGTGTGATGTTTGGCCATTGCAGAAGCGCACGGCAGCTTCAGATTCCATCTCCTGTCAGCACCTGTAGAGTCCGTGCCCAGGGGCACCAGACCGTTTGTTCACATTGTCACGTAGCGACTCTGTGGGAATGACACCACAGGTTCACTTCCTGAACCCCTCTTTTGGCACTTGGCCGTGAGTGCATTCAAGCTCAGGTGCGTGGATAGACAAGGGAGCACACCCCGCCACGTTCCCTGCTGGCTTGTCTGTAAGTCTCTTGAGGGCAGGGATGCTCTGGGCCTTCTCTGCCTTCCCAGGCTGTTTTCTCTAAGAGTCTGGTAGGAACACAAGAAACATTGAAATGCGTGCTCTCGCACACACACACATACACACACACACACACACACACACACACACACATGCACACTCACAGATGGCAATGGATTGTCTCTCCTTGTGTGGCTTTTTGTCTTTGTATTTTATAAGGAGGCTTAGGATACTTTTGGGGGGAACCAGGGATGTTCTTAGACATTCATTTTTATTCCCTTGTTTTGAATAGGGATGCCTTTTGGCCAAATGGCATTTTAGCAGAGACTGTGCCATGTAGAGACAAGGCTATCAGGATGCGAACCCGAGTCGCGGGAAAAACAAAGCTTCTCGAGATAATGCCTGGTGAGTATCCAGTTGCCTGGGCACCTTTAGGACTGCTGGGTGGGGTGGGGTGCCCTTGTACCTTCCTACTTTGGATCTCGCTGTTCCAGAACTTTACTCTGCAGGCCAGTTTGGTGGGGGCAGCGATGGGCCACGAGCTGCAGCTTTGAAGGGAGTGGTCGGTGACATCATTGACCAGCTGGTCTCGCCCTTCCATGGGAGTTCTGGAGTTGCTCTTGGGATAAGACTTAGGCTTTAGTCAGTGCTTGTAACTGGCAGGGAAGAAGGGCCCACCAACCAAGAAGGGGGAGGAAGATTTGAAGAGTTCATTCGAGCTTCCTCCTCCTCCAATTAAAAACAAACTTTCAGGCACCTCAAAGAGGTCCCTGTACATGGAAGTACTTGACTAGCAAATCATTTGTGAATCTGCCCATGAACGACTCGGCAGGCCTTTGTCAGTCAGCTTCCTTTCTTACTGTCTGCACCGGAAACCAGAGAGACTGCAGCTTCAAATAACGTGTCATCATTCAGACAAGACTTTAGTTCAGAATGATGAAGTTTTCTGCAGTCACCCCTTGAGCGTTTGCTTTAGCCCCTGGTCATTTATCAGTGTCTCCAGCAGGTCCTGGAAGAGTCTCATCTGAATTGTTCCCTGTGATTTTTCCTGATAGAAATTAGAATGAAAAGACTATTTAGTATGTAACAGCCACAGATGATTATATGTTTCTAAGTAAGATTTTAAAGTTTTTACCATAATGTGTTGAGTTACACCTTTGTATGAGATGTAATTTTCCCAATGTGCTTTTAAAAAGAATGATCAAATAGATAGTATCACCGCCCTTATTTTTTATTGTGTGTTTCGAACCAAAAATGAATCATAGGAGTTAGGAGTTATTCATTCATTCATTCCCATGGCATGGTGATTATGGTGAAGCAGACAGTCGAGAGGACAAAGTCAGGGGACCTTGAGGCCAAGAGGCAGCTGATGGCCTCCCACATGTCACAGGGAGAATTGTACCTCAACAGAGTGGTGCGAAACCTCTTCATCTTCCATTTAACTTTGGAAACTGCCTCCTCCTTTCTTTCCTCCTTCTCTCCCTCCCTCCCTCCTTCCTTCCCTCCCTCTTCAGGACTCACTATATTGGTGGCTGGCTGGACTACTTTGTCCCTTTTCAGATATCCTAGGGCCTTCCCTCCCCCCCACCTCCCGCCCCCTTGAACAGTCACTGTTTTTGGTGGTGGGCTCCCTGTGAATGCCCAGGCGGTTGCCTTTGGCTCTTCTGCCAAGAGCAGAGCATTCCCGAGCCTCCCTGTGAGCAGCCTCCACCATGCCCTGGTCCTGCTGTGAGTTCCTATCTTAGGAGACGGCACCTCAGCCTCCTCCAAAGTGCCGCTTTGTCACTCCCTCACTCAAAAACCTTTCGTGGCTCCTCGTTGCCTTTCATATCCAGCACAGATGCCCAGGGCTTTGTTCAGGCCTCTCCCCTGTCTGGTCCTAGTGTCCTTTTCAGGCTCGTTGCTGCTTCAGTAAGCTGGCACTGTACTAGGTGGGATTGGCCATGCATCTCCCCGGTCAGACTCACACCTCCTCCATGAAGCCTTCTACACCCCCCCAGAAGGAGATGGTTCCTCCTTCCTCCCACCTTCTGTGGCCCCACCTCGGGTCTTCTTCTAGCACTCTGGTGAGGGTGTTTGGTTGCTCGAGGCCGTGCACGTCCTGAGGGCCAGGCTCAGAAAGTTCTCCTGTGTGGTGAATCCCTGAATGCATGCAGTGTCCATGCTTAGCTAGTAGGGAGTAGCTTGGAAAGGAGGTTCATGTCTGTGATTTTTAAAAGTGAATCTGCCTTCTTCTTCAGATGAGCTGAAGCACATCATAGGCGCTGAGACCACACGGAAGGGCATTCTCCGCGTTTTTGAGATGTTTCAGCACAACCAGTTGAATAAAAGGATGGTCTACGTCTTCTTGGAGGGCTTCCTAGAAACCTTATTTCCCCAGTATAAATTCCACGATCTCTTCAACAAACTGCATTCACGGTCCAAGCAGATGAGAAAGTACAAGCAGAGACTACAGACAGGCCAGCCACCCTCTGTGCAGAAGAGGTGACCCTGCAGGTAGAAGCCAGGGTTTGCTTGTCTGGGATGGACGCTGGGCAGGGCCTCCGGGGCGTCCCTCCCGGCCGTGGGGTCTGCTCCAGTCTTGTAGTGTCACGCGTTAGCCCATTAGTACGTCCATGAGACCTGGGGTTCTGCTCATCTTCACCCATTGTCCCGCCGGGACCGCCGCAGACAGATGGGCTCAGCGTGTCTAAGTGCCCCTTTCTGACTGAGGAAGCCTCTTCCAGCCGTGGGCGCCAGAGAGTGCGTATGGGAGGGGCTCACCACGAGCAGCGGGCTCTCGTCTGGGCACTGGGAGATTGTGCAGCGGGCGCCTTGGGGGGAGGGTGCTCTGTTCTGCATTAGGACTATCGAGGTCTAGGCCAGCATTCCTGCATAGGAGGCATTGCTACAGAACACAGTGCTCCCCAAAGCATGGACTGACGGTTAAGACATCTGATTCTTTCACCCTGATTAACTATACTCTTGTGATATGAAGAAATAAAACTGGGTAACATTAGAATCCGGTCGTATCTGTTATTCAGTGGAATAAGCAGTGTCCCTTTTATGTGTAGGATGTGCTGTAAGGGTCCTCGTTAGCTCTGGAGGCCCAACGGACTGGTCCTGTTGGGATGGAGAAGGAAGCGTGCTCAGATCCCGGCTTTTTGGGAAAGGGCTGCAGGCCCTCTGTCTCCAGCAGGCCAGTGGGGGTGCCCAAAGGGCCACCTGCCCCAGGGGACACAGCAGTGTAGCTTGTTGGAAGAAGCACCATGCAGATTTTGTCCTCAAAACAGAAACATAAAAACCCTCACTTGGCAAAAAAAAGTTGTCCTCTTCTCATTTTAATTGATTGGAGTTTCACTTACCACAGTTAGATTGCTAGGTTTGCTACTCACCAAAAAAGATTTTTAATGAACGTCATTTGTCATATGCAAATATACAAATTCCTAAATCCACCACAGTGTATATATGTGAAAATAAAGAATGAAAACACAACTATAATATTTTTTTAAATATTTTTTTTTATTTTTTGTGTAATGCAAAGTTTAAAAAAACCCTCCAGAAATCCCTCGGTCTGTCCCTTTAATTCCCTGAAATAATTCTATACTATGAAGAAGCAAATGTGTACTTTCACTCTTTGGGGGCCTCTGAATAGTTCAGAGTTTTCTTCTGCTCCACTTTCTCCACTGGAATTCTTCATCTCTGCCATGAGGGTTGCTCCTGCACAAGTATCCATGTTCCTATTAACTGAGAATGGGGGAGGGGGAAAAGTTCTCTTTATGTCTTTCTTTTAAAAATATTTAACACTACGAGCTTAAGAGCATGAAGCTACTTACCAGATCACTGAGCCAAGATCCTGGTGGCGATCGAGCCCCCAGGTGACAGCAATATATATATCTATGTATGTATGTGTATATATATATACATGTAGATGTATGTGTGTATATATGTATGTATGTGTGTATGTGTATATCTCCAGCTAAGAGAGGGTCTAGGCATCCAAGGCCCAGTTATTTGAGAGCTTTAAGGGTGAGAAAACACCCCATGGCAATTTTTTTTTCTCTCTTGGAATCTTCTTTAAGCCTATTAACACAGTGAAGCCTTTCTTTAAATATTTGTCATAATGATCATGTTTACTGCTGATGTCATCATGCATACTTGCAGTATATGGGAATTCACGTATGTTGCATGTCTTCAAAACTACATAAATGAAATACCCTGAAAGAGAGAAATCCTGAGGACTTGTGGTAGATTGTCTTGTCCTAAGATAAGTGGGTTTTCTCCCCAGGCTTTAAAATAATGATTGGAGAAATGTGCCCATCCATAGGAAGGATCACCTTGGCCACTAGAAAAATGACTTTCATGCCCCCTCCTTCCCATTGTCATTGTGACTATTTTGAAAATAGAAGAGTGAGTTTAGTTCTGCACAAGTGAAAGACTGTTCAGAATAGCCGTGTGTGTGTGTGTGTGTTTAAAGATGAACTCTATATGTGAGAGATAGGCCATAAACCATAGAAAGATGGTGTCCAAAAATGCAGAAAGTCAGTATAGAGCGCCCCCTGTTCCCTGAAAGGAACCTGGCTACTCTCTCGCCAAAAGGTTTTTTCTGAATAAATTGTTTGAGTCACTTTTTACTAAAGAATTTATAGGCAAGATTTTCAGAGCAAGAATATTAGATAATGGTTGAGCTAAAGCAGGTGTACCTTATCTAAAGGGGCCTGTGTTCTGGAATGTAGAAAAAACCACGGCCATGCTAAATTAATGCTGGAGATCTTCAGGTATCTCGTGTTAACATCTTTAGTCCAAAATCAAGGACGGTGTACCCACGTTCATAAAGGCATTGCATTAGTGCATCTAGAAACATATACATATATACATATACCAGAAGATTGGTGTGTTCTGACATTTAATTTCCTAACGCGGTTTTCAAAGTCAGTGGTGCCTTTGGGCAGGAGCTACTGAAAATGATCTCTCCGAGAGCCCTGACTTTGTCCTTTGTTGTTGCTGTTCTGTTTTGTCTTTAAGATTATACAAGATTGAACATAGAGAAAAGTCTTCCCTGCCAACTTCTGTGTTCTCTTACCCTGGGAAAAAAATGTAGAGGGACAACACAGCACTTAGACAGGCGTAGTCTAGGATTTGGGTGTTCTGAATAGTTGCTGAAATGATTGTGCCATTGACCAAAAAGCACACTTGGTCGGCCTTAACTTTCTTCTGAAGGAATATTAGAGCTTTTAAAATGCTCCAGTTGGTTTGTTCTCAAGCTTGTGCTGCTGGTGTTTGCTATAATTAAACAGGTAATTGTAAGTGCTACCAGAATGTGTACCAACTTTTTAAAAAGTTAACTATTTAAATCCCACAATCTAAAATTTAATTTTGTGCAATATTTTCATTAACGCATGTGAATTTGAATAATTGTAAAATAAATGAATTTTTAATGTTTTGAGACATAGGTTAAACTGTCTTCTTAACCCAATAACTTGCATTCTGTTGTTGCTGCATCTGTTTATTTAAAGACTTGTTTTAAAAGTCTTGTATGTCGGATTCCTTGTAAAATTCTCTTGCCTTGGTGAATTTCGCTTGGGGGAGAGTGGTCGCCGTGTTCCAAGGGCAGACTCTGCTGAGCACATCTTAGGGATAGAGCTGGTAAAGATGCCTTGTGCGCATATCTGTACAGTCACTGTCAACTGTGTGCCTCATTGTTCTGTCACTACTTTCTCCCCTTCAGCAAAGAACAAATTTCAGTCAAAATGTCAGTCATTTATTGAACTGGAAAAAAGAAAGAGTAAAATTTTTATTTGGGTTTGCATTATGTTCTGTCCATTAGGAAAGCTGAAAAATATTACACTAATAAAGTATTAACGATTTTTTTTGGGTTGAGTGTATGTGATAATTGCTAATGTATTGACAACTTAAACATGTCCAGCCTAATGTTATTAATAATTCCCTGAAAACACATAGGAGCAGGTGGGAAGCTTCGGTGTCCCCCAAACGCTTTCATGCTAACACTGCTATGTTTTCATTTCTCATATAGCAAGCGTCGATAGATGTGATGCGCATCAACAAAAGGCTCTTTGGAGGGGGCACCTTAATGTTCACAAGTGTAGAGGGGGCTCTTATCACCAAAAGTGGAGAATTTGGGGGGCAGACGTGCACTGTACAGGACCATACTTCTTTACAGATAAATACAATAGAGATATGGATAAAATTAACACCTAGTGATTGGGGGAAGGAAGCGGTAACTACTGGAGGGATCCAGAATCCACCACAGTTCTGGCTGGCCGAGGTCCTCCAATACCACGCTAAAGCGTTAGCTCGGGCAGGGGATCCCTCCTGGCTGGGCAGGAATCAACAAGTTCTGCCTCCCTCCCCCTCAGTACAGGCTTCCTTTCTTGGACTGAAGCCAGCACTGTATTCTGGCCCTCCCCAGTGCCCTTATCACGAACATAGTCCTGTAGTTATCCAAGTCTGCCTAAATCCAGCCAGCCAACACCTGTGAAACACCATCGTGTGCTGGCCACCAGGGTGGAGGGTGGGCAAGCAGGAATGGGTCGCCGTCTGTTCCATGAGATCACAGCCATCAAAGGTAAAACGTCACATGGGAGAATGTAGCTCATTTTCCCATCCAGTGTAGGCTGGTGTGGGCATGAGGCCAAAAAAGTGTCCAAAGGTGATCTAAAGCAGTAAGTTTGTTAATAATTAGAAAGCAGAAGTTCTCAATATGTTTGCTAAAGAATGTGAACCTCGTTCAGAACGCCATCATCTATTGTCACTGTCCAGATCGGGTCCCCAGATGAAGCGGAGGGGAGGGGAGCTGGTGAGGATGTGTCAGAGATGAGGCCTGAACCCAGGTTTTCCTGACCAAAGTTGTCTTCTTTCCCACTAAATCACACTGCCTCTGCTCGAGAAAGTTGTCCCTCCTCTCTTATAACTGTTGATCATGATAAAAATAGTCTTTATTTGGTTGTTGTGATATCAAGAAGCTGGTTCCTTAGGCCAAGGTGGGTGGCCATTCTACAGAGCCCCCTCCTAAAGGAGTTAGGTGTGGTGAGAACTGATGGTCCAGTTTGCCAAGAGCACAGGAGACCAGAAGGGGAGCAAGGTGAAATACGCTTGGAAAGGTAGGCTGGGTGGAGGTGATGGAAGGAAGTGGATTGGCATTGATCCTGTTGGCGATGGGAAGCCATTGAAGACTTGGGAGCATTGGAGTGACGCGGTTATCCCTGTGCATGAGGAAGATGGTCCGGAAGATGTGGGGTGGACAGCTTCGAGACAGACCAGTTAGGTGGTGACCACGGTAGTCTGGGGAGCGGAAGAGAAGGGTCTGAGCTAGGCTGTTGGCTGTGTAACTGGAGAGGAGTCAGTCAGAAGCCCCAAGTTCAAATTCCACTTCTGAGGCTCACTGCCTCTGTGACCATGAGCAGATTGGTTCATCTACCTGGGCCTCGGTTTGCTCATCTGTAAAATCAAGGTTCTCAGACAAAGTGGCTGCTGAGGTCTGTTCCGTCTCTAAATCCTTGACCCTATGAAAATGACTTGAGCTGGGACACCATTGCAACAGCAGCTCAGAAAGGACTGGGGCGGGGGGGGGGTTTGGAAGGTGATTTGAGTCTCTTCTATATATTTAAAATAAGTCTTGATCTGTGGTAGGAAGGCAGAAGGTGACAGAAAATATTGATGATGCAGGAAACATCCCCATTTATGGCAAGCATATTTTCCTTTTAGAATTCCTGCCAAATTCCTCAGAAAAAAGAAATTAAATTAGTGAAAACACCACAAAACCAATTTTCTTAAAGATTTCATGGTTTCACATCCTCAAATGGTCTATCTGGATTATGAGCATTTTCTGTTTCCTCCCCACCATTGGTGCTAAAAGTCTTCAAAGTAATGGGGTTTCACTGGGGGCCACATTTAGAGTTCCGTGTTACATATGCTGATGAGAATGGTTGGGTCCCATTTTTCTGAACCTTAAAAATCAGGCAGTGATCTTCAAAGCCATCAGGACCTGGCTTTTAAAGTTTGGATTTTTTTCAGTCATTTTTCATTCGTGTCTGACTGTTCATGATCCCATTTGGAGTTTTCTTGGCAGAGATACTGGAGTGGTTTGCCATCTTTCATGTTACATCTCTCTGGAGAATTTGGTATAGGTGTGACTGGTGCTGCCATTGAGTGAGAGAGGCTCTACTTCTCATCTTCCCATAGCACTTTTCAAGTAAAGCCCTTCCTTCATAACTCGCCTGTGAGATAGTGCAAGTAGTAATATTCCCATTTTACAGATGAGGAAATAGCTTCATCAGTCACCAAGTATTTGTTAAGCACCTACTGTGTACCTCATTTGGTAGGTGCAGGGGATATGCCAATACAAGTGAGACAGGTCATGGTCTCAGGGAGCTTCTGTTCTGTTGAGGGGTAGACAACAGGTACTTCTATAAAGATATAGACAATTTACATGTTGGGGGATTAAGAAAGAATTTAGGTAAAAGGTGACAGACAAGAGGTACATTCCAGGTATTGGTTCCAGCTAGGGCAAAGGCAGAAATGGGAGATGAAATGTCTCTCTGCCTCTGATACGAAGGTGGAGCCATGAACTCGGCAACCTCCATTGAGGGAAGGAGCCTGGCTCAGAACATCTCTGAGACATCTCTGACTTTTCTACCGTGCCCCCATAGTGGGTATTGCTCCTTACAGCTCCTTTTCTGTGTCCCCCTCATCAGATTGTATTTTTTTTTTGTATTTGTATCCCAGCACTTCATACAGTCCCTGGCATATCATAGTCTCTTGAAAAGCATTTAGTGACCATGACCAACTATCATGGATGAGGTATAACAGGAGTTTGAGGTTGGTTGGCTCATAAATCATGAGAAGGGAAGTCACGCATACAAAGTTTGGAAAGGCAGGTCAGGGCCAGGTTGTTAAGAACTTTGAGTGCTAACAAGGAGTTTATCTTTGATCGTAGAGTTAACAGGAAGCATTGAAGTTTGTCGACCAGGGACGGTAGGTGGTCAGACCTGTGCTTTAGGAAAATCCCTTGGGAAAGACCTTCTGCAATGGAAACACTCAAGGCAGGGAAAGTAATTACAAGAGGTAATGATGGCTTGGATGAAGGTTGTGGCTGTGGAAGTAGACAAAGGGATGATGAGCAAGGAATGTGGATGCGGGAACGAGATTCGGTGACTGAGTGAATGTCGAGGGGTAGAGGGGGTGAGTGAAGAGGCAGAGATGGCGCCACGATCATGTAAGCCGAGTGATTAGGATCTAGTTCTCCTGGTCATCTCATCTATGACTTTCATTTTATAGATGAGGTGCAGTGACTTATCCAGCAGGGGACGAGTGTCAATGACGGGATAAAACCTAAATCCGTTGTTCTTTCCCTGTGTGCCAGAAGCTAGAAGGGGCCTTGGAGATCAGCTCAGAGATGGCGCCTTTCATTTCCTAGATGATCATTTGCGTTTCTATCACATTTCCAGTTTCCAAAGTACTTTCCTCACGACCACCCTGTGAGATAGGAAGGGTGCTGTTACCCCCCACTTTACAGGCGAGGAAATGGAGGCTCAGGGTTGATGTGACCTCCCTGGGATCACCCCAGGAGTCAGCAGGAGAGCTTCCTTTAGCCCTGTTGAGAATGAGGCAGCTCGAAGAGCCCTCTGTGTAGGCACGGTGTCTGATCTGCTCCTCTCTTCCTGGCTGTCTTCCACCCCCACCCCCAGACCTGACCCCTTTGACCCCCACCTCCAGACCTGACCCCTTTGAGATCTGAGGATTAGAAATCAATGTCTAGTTAAAAGCTAGGTGCTGCTCCTCCAGGATGGTTAACGCTGTGGCTCTTCCCTCCTTTGTTCTATTCTTGTCCTTCCTCTTCTCTGTTTGACTGGGCCATGTTGTGCCTTGGGAGGTCAGCAGTGATCAGGGTAAGGACCAGTGAACTGCAGCTGTGAAGAGGTGTCTGGGAAGCTTGTCACGAGACTGTGGTTAACTCTTAACATTGTCCAGCTACTGGCCTCCAGGAATTCAGTTTTCCTGCAATAGTTAACCACTATTGATACTGAATGTCCCTGAGGCTGGGGAGCAAGTGGGCTTGGTATGTGTCACCTAGTGGCAATTCCTGCCTGCCAAGGACTTCAGGTTGGCTCCATCATTCTTGTCATCATGGTTTCCCTCTACTGGCCCTACAGTGTAAAGGGCAGCCTCTCTGGAGTGTGCCCCATTGGCACGTTAGCTCGGACACCCAAACGATTTCATTTCTGTATCTAGATGTTGCCCGTGATTTGGGAGTGTTGCTGGAGCAAAAGTGAACCTTCAAAGGCGCTTTCAAGAGCTCTTTTGGAATCAATGAGCACCCACAAGGTTTTATGTTATTTCTTAATTAACCTGGATAATGCAGTCCACTGAACAAGTTGCTTTGGGCTTTTTTTGGGAGCATTTTTGCTTTTTGTTTAAAGAGACATTGCTTTTGTACTTGCATAATTAATTAATTAATTAATTAATTAATTAACACTTGCTGAGTATATCTAAGTTGGTACTCATAAACTGAAAATTTTGGAAAAAAAATAAAATTCTGTGCAGGAATTCTCCATGGTGAGTCCTGGCCTTGTCTGATATCCCAGGCAAAAAGCCACCTTGGCCCTCAATAGTATGGGAGTTCAGCCTACAGATAAGATGATAAAGAACTTTAGCTATTCCATAATATGTATAATGCTGACTGAGTAAATTCACAGAGAACTGGAAGGTTTGCCAAGCTCTTGCTAATCTCTTAATGCATTCGAGCTTTACAACCACACCATGACTTAAAATACTGCAGGTATTGCTGTCCTTATTTGGAAGATGAGGAAACTGAGACCTCGAGAGGGGAAGTGATGTTCCCAGGGTTGAA